AAATATAACAATTTTTATGTCGATAGTTTACCTTTAACGGCCGAAAGTTTACTTTTACTTTTGAAGTTTACATCTAAATAAATTAAAATTTTCTTTATACAACTAAATAGCGATTCGATTTAACAAAATTTATAATATTTTCTATTTACTTAACTAAAAAAAAGAAAAGTTAAACAAAATGATAAGAGAGTTTTTCATCTTGTGATTTCATGAATTTTGTCGATGAAAATATTTTATAAAACTATTGGCATATAAAATGAATATTTTTTATTTCTTTTTCTTCATTCTTTTATTTTGAACTCATTATCATCTATCTTTATCAGTATTCAGTATCATCTCCGATTTAGCTGGCTCCACTAGTTGCCAGGAATGAGACTCCTTTAGCCAGAAGGTCACTTGTAATTAGAAGTACAAATAGGTTCCTCGGACTGCCCGGAATTCATTTTTAATAGCACGCTTATTTCCATCAAGAGACACAAAATCCGCAATGTTTAACCTGAATTATCGAACTCGATTAGCTCAATCATTTCGCCATTTCTTCAAATAATTTAAATTTATTTATGCTGCTAATTACTAAACTAAATTCTGCGATTAAATAACTAATATCTTTTTTATACGTTAAATAGGCTGATTTACACAAACTAAACGAAAAATATGAAACTTTACTAATTCTTTACTTATTACCATTATTATTAATAAACTCCTTTCAAAAGTTTAATAAATATAATTTTATTTATAACAAAAATTTTTATTAGCTTAAATTTTCAAAAAAATTTCAAAAATAAATAGCAAAAATAAGAAAAAATATTTGATTCTATAAAATTTAAATTTTTAAAAATATTTTAATTTAAAATAGAAAAAATAGATTTTTTGCAAAACTTTTTACAATTTGCGTCGTTATTTCAAGTAATTAAAAAAAGATTTAACGATTCGCACTTTATAAATATTTAAAAACGATAAAATATTTATATTGAAAATGTTTAAATGTTTAGAAATTCAAAATTCTTCGATAATCTTTTAATTTTTGATTTTCATTTGCAAATATAATTTTTGCAAATTTTTACTGAAACATTTAATCGTTCGTTCTAAATTTTACCTTACTGCTACCTTAATTTCATCTAATTTTTGCCATCTTTTTTCGCAAATATTTATTTTCGTATATTAAAGATGTTGAAGGTTTTCTTAAAAGCAATAACCCTGAAATCCAAGGTGTAATTTCATTTTATCATTGCGTTTGCTTCAAATCTCACAAATTTTAATTTAAGTTTTGCCAGAGAATCATGGAATTAAGGCAAATGGCCGACGTCATCCGCATGGAGACGGGTCTGATCATGAAGGAGCGAGCCTCGGCGCCACGGTGCTGCGAACAATTAGCAATAACTCAACTCGTTCTATCGCCAAGGCTAATAGATCTAATATTTATAACGATAAATCTCTCTCTAAAGGATTGAACTGGATCGATTTAACCTGTTTGAAATATTTTGGCTTATGGTCTTTATTGTGTTGATCAATTCATTCATATAGAAATAAAAAAATTTTCATCGATTGTTGAACATTTTTTGCTTCCATCATTCATTAGATGAAAACTCCATCATTAAATGAAAATCTCACTTAATTCAGATTGAATTGTCCATTATCATCCGAGGATTTGTCCTATTTTTGGGATAACAATTCTGGATTAAATTTGCGGATTTATGGAGTTCTGAGGATCTTCAGCTAAATCTCCACGTTAATTCGATTCAAACTATGCATTATTAAGTATTAAATATTGCGCAATGCCTTTATCGTTTTCTTTATTATTATTATTATTGAATTATATACTGAATGGTACTTCGTTTGTTCATTGCACATTTATCTGACTACTAGTTAAAGCCACGTTTCCTTCTTAGAGACGGGCAGAATTGTTTTTGAACTTTGGCATATTCATTGGTACTTCACCTAAATCCGTTGTATTCCATTAATACCGCTTTCAAGGACATATTTGTTTTAACTTTTTGAGAATATTTTACACTTTAACATTTTTCTTTTTGATTTTGCCAAGTTAAAAAGAATTAAATTAAATTAAAAAGAAGGAAGAACTAATAAGGAAAGTAGAAAAATATACGTAAATATTATTATTAGTATTAAGCGATGGTACCCGTTTATTCATTAATTTTAATCAGTCAGTCTAAATTCATTTGTACTCTTTTATATAGAAATAACCCCGCAGGAGCGAATCTTGCGAGTAATGGTAAGGGCTCCTCAAAAAAATATGGCAAACATATTTTATTACGAATTAAAGAATATTTTACACTTCAACATTTTCTGTTTGTTGAAAGAAAACCTAAAACTCGTTATTTATTCGTTGCATTCGTTGGTACTACAGTATTTCGCTTTTTGGATTATCTTAATTTCAGAATGAATCAGCAAATCAAATGCGCATTTCGTATTTATCATTGTTATCAATATTAATAACATTACTGAATACTAACAAAAATTTAACGGCGAGTTGATTCTGAAGTGAATCCTCGCATTCACTTTTCTACCTTAAATCCCTCCGTTAACGCTAATTTCATCGACTTATTTATTGGCAACCGTTTTCGTCAGAGAGTCACGGACGTCAATAGTCGATGAGGCTATCAAGTTGCCGTCAACAACCGAACAAATCTGTCGCTCCCCTCTGGTGGGTCTAATTAAACTTTAGTCAGAGCTGAACTTAACCAAACATTAATCGCATCGAATAGTGACTGAACCGTATCGTATGTATTATTTTTTAATTCTTTTTTATCAGTATTCAAAACTAACAATAATCTCATATTTCAAATTTTTGCCATTGGTTTCGTAAAATAAAACGATTCAGCATTTCATTTTAAATGTTATAGTTTTCCTTATTCATTGTTGAATTTATTTTTACCTTGAAATAATGCATTTATTTTATACGATAAATGTAAATGATAGGGGTAAAGTAGCTCAGCGAGTTAATGTTCTCGTTTCGGAAAGCCAGTGCCGGAGCTCTTCAGCAATGCGATTGAACCTATAAATCATAACCGGGTGATGCTAGCGACTCATCTGTGCTTCCATCTGTGCCAAGTGGCTCTTTGGCAAAAATTTGAATCTGATCAGCTCTTAAGAAATCGCAATACCGACAGAATAATCGAAAATGAGCTTTAAAGAAGGAAAGGTGCATATAAATATCATGCAAAACTTGCAAGCATCTAAGCATTCTGCACCACTTTCTGTTCAATTTCTCATCCTTCATATTTCATGGTTTTACTTATTCGCACGCCAATTAATTTAGTTAACTTGCAAATTCAGAGAACGAGTTTGAGATGATAATGGAAGTTGTTATTTTATTAATGATTTTATTACTAATACCTTTCTTTTAAATTGCAAAATGTATTTTTTTAAAACTATTTAACTATTTATTTATATTTATTTACGCTTTTTTTAAAAAGAATATTAAAGTTCAAAATTGGCATATTTTTTGCCAAATCAACCGATTTTTAAGTTTTCACCTAATTTTTTGAATTCACCTAAATTTACTACTATATTTGGCTATAAATTATCTCCATTTATCATTTTTCAGAAATTCTGAAAACAAATGATTTATTCCAAGTTTGCTGAGCTGTTATTTTTTATTTTGTTCTACTCTTTATTTTCCAATAAAATAGTGAACTCAAAAGAAACGACGGCATCAGATGAAGTTAGTTCGTGCCAAAAAGCCGATGGACCTATTCAGTCATGTCAGGAATGTGTCAATATTGCTCAGGTAATAGCAATATTATTTAAAAAAATATTTGCAGAAATTATTTTGCTAATAGTTTAATTGATAAATAATGAAATCGAGAACCACACTCACGAATCACAGAATTGCCCCGTGGCTCAATTTTTGTATAACCTAATTTGTCGACTTCCTTTGCCGATTTTATTCGATCGACTTGAGGTGGTTCAGTTCTAATCGGCCAAATTTTCGAAGATTCGTTTTAATAATTAAAATAGATAAATGTTTTGCAAAAATTGATAAGGAACTCGAATAAAAGCAAATTCTGCAAAAAATTTTTTTTAAGCTTTAATTCTAATTTTTTTTTTTATTACTCTTCAAAGAGTAATAAAAGTACCTCAAATTATGTAAAGCCTTGTCTTGGCACATATCAAATTATATTTATTTCCGAGAAAAATTAGAATTTTTCCAATGACTCCATTAAATTCTTCATTGATAAATGAATCAATTCTTTAATCGGCAATAAGAAATTATTTCCATTATGGAAGCTTAAAGCCTCCTTGACAGCTCATTTACAAAGATGACCGATGTTGGGTTCAGCTGCGAGTGGCTCATTTTACTTACAGGTTTCGCAGAAAACCAAAAGGCTTTAAACCTTGAAATAATTTTCCATCTTCATGTTCACGTAGAAAAACCAACTTTATTAGCAATGGTGCGGACTATTAGAGAGGGAGAATCGTTCACGACTGCTTGAACCATATGGCCGCAGTTTTCCTTCTCCTTTTTAGCGCAAAATATTTCAATTTGCAGGAATGTGTTTGGTGTGAAACGACCAAAACATGCTTCAAATATACCTGGCAAAATTTGTCAAATTGTACATTGTCGCATTTGAGATATAATAATTGTTGGGGTTCGCGAAATTTTTTTCATCATCTTTCACCTGATTTTTGGAATATTTCGCCTTTCAAAAAGCAATCGACCACAATTTTTTAGGCTTCAAAATTTTCCTAAAACTTTGCATTTTCTCAAATTTTTAACGATTTTTTTTTTAGAATTCGTTTTATAAGAACAAATTACCTTTAAAAAGTATTCGTTTTTAAAATAAATTAGGTTAAATCGTTAAAAAATTAGGAAATTTGAAGAAAAATATGCTATGCGCGCATTCAGTCTCATATTTTTTGCAGCAGATTGGTCGATATTAGCACTGATATTTCTGATAGTAACTGTAATACTTTTAATAATATTATGCACTATGGTTTGCTGCTTGTGTTCGGCTTATGATGGTTGGCAAAAGAGGCGAATGCAAAAGAGTATTGAAAAGCAAATGGCAATAAGTATTATGAAAAAGGCGGAAATTGAGAATGAACGCGAACAACGAAGAATGGAACGGCAAGCGCAACTCGATGGAATCCGACAAAAATATGGTAGATTTCTTAAATCACTTGTTACCACTTTGATCTCTCTGGAAGAATTTTCTCTTCTCATTAGTTTTCCGGAAATTCCACGGTGTACAAATACAAAATCAAGGCGAGCTACCGCGTTCAAAAAATTCCATTGAATATTGCTTCTTTATTCCACTAACAAAAATTATTTACTTATCAAAATCCTTATCAACTTCTTAATTTAATCTTTAATCTTTAATTTAATCTTTAACCTCTTTAATCTTTATTTGCCATTTGATTATTAATAATTATTAAATAATTATTAATTATTAATAATTATTTATTAAGCTAAGTACAAAAAACCTGCTTATTTCATTGTTATTTCTTTGCAAATTATTACTTCATTCGTTAAGCGAATATTATGTTTTCTTCTTATTCTTTTAACAGCTCGCATGATTATGTTTGTTTTACTGGTTACAAAGGCATCTGCAAGCCGTCCAGTACCATATCTGAGAGTAAGAGAAGTCCGTTTCCGTTTCCTTCCGTCTAAGTCCACATATCATTAGTGGTGTACATTTAAAATCTTTCCTGATCCTATTGGTCTTGAGTTCCCCCTCTCTTTTGGTATTATTCACCGCGGTGTTCAGGACAAATCAGTTTTGATGCTGATTTCGTAAATTCCATATGAAATATGATTGCAAAAAATTTCTTCGTCACAATTTTTTCGACTTCACGTTTCAAATTTTGCGCGCAAAAGAAAGCTTTTTTTCAGGATTTGTTTCTCCAACTCCACCTTATGTTAAAATGGAGAAGAATAATTCATCACGGATTAAACGCTGGCTTTTCGGTCAGTAAACTGTCGCAAAACGCATTTGTAATGTATATACATATACGGTTAAATTCAATAACGATAACCAATTTTTTCTCTAAAAATTGTAATTAAAGATCTATTTCATTGAAAATATGACTTTCGACGTTAAAAACGAAATTTTTGTTCTTTAAAAAATTCTTGTAATTTGCAAATGATAATTGATAATCTGTTTAATAATAATTTTAATAAATATTATATTTAATAGTTTTAATAATTATTAATATTAAACAATTCAATAATTAAAAATATCACTAAAATCACTGAAAATTTATCGCGTTTTTAAATGATTTTTTTATTTTTTGCTATTATTTTTATTCGTTGTCCACTTTAAATTCTCCTTTTCATTTATTGTTGGCTTATTTTTATTTTTCATCTCAGCTTTGACAAAAGAAATTTGAAAATTTCAACAAAATTCAATTAGGTGAAACCAACTATTTCTTTTTCCTCAGCGATCATTTCATTTCATTTTTTATTTCCTTCTTTTTTCCGCCAATTTCTACATTTTGCTAAATTAATAAAAATTTTAAATTAACCGGTAAAATTAATTACATTAGACGAAAACGAAATCGGCGAATTTATTTCCGATAAATTTACTTAATGAACGACGCAAAATTTGGAACTATTTTGAGGAATTATATGCGCGAAATTTCCTCCTTCTTTTCGTCTAATTGCTACTATTTCTTTTGGTTTTTCATTTTAAATTGGATTGGGCAAAACGCATTATGCATCGAAATTTTTCTTGGAAAATTTCCGAAAATGACTTTTCAATACCGAAAAAAAGATGAAAAAATTCGACAATTTTTATAACATTAAAGTGATATAAATTTTTGATAAATAGAATCTTATCACTTAAAATTAACTGATACTTTATACGAATTTTTCGACCAATTTCCACTAGTGATTTTAATAAATGGCTCCGAGAATCCGAGAATCCGTCCAGAGAGTTGTAACCAATGTTCAGGCATTCGACAACCAAGCAAATCTCAAGAATCCCCCTACATTATTATCCCCCAATATTTATAAGTATTATCATCTGGATTTTTTAGGATCTATTTTTGCGATTTTCCGTTTTATTTTTATATATTATTCACATATTGGGTTTTATTTGTAAACAATATTCAAGTATTTCGTTGATGAATGAATGTATTAATGAGAATTTATTTGTACTAGCAAGTACGATTCCAACTAATACGAGAAATTTAACACAGAAAATTTCAGCAAAAAATGATCTGTTAAAAATAAAAAAAAAAAATACCAATTAAAAAACGAATGGACTACATCAAAGATTAATATTTACTAAGAGTGAAATTTTCCAAGAAATGATCGATAAATGATAAATGATAAATAGAGAAATTATCGGAATAAATGCGTTGGAAATTTTTCATCCGTTCTAAGGCATATATATGAAGTGAGTGTAAAAATCTTATAAAAAAAATGAATAAATATCAATCATATTTTATATTTCATGTGATCCACCTGTACTTTTAGCCGTGATGAAATAAGCGCTAATAGTCAGTGGAGCTAGCCTAGAGAATAATGGTAACAATTTCTTATTTGTATGGTAAAAAAAATTTTATCTCGGAAATTTTAAAGTAACAAAGTATAAGCGTAGGCTACACTTTTTCAATAACATGGAGCATGTTACATGTATATTGTTAACAAATTATAACAAATTTAGATATAAATTTGTTACTTCTATCTGCAGTGACTATAAACGACAACAAAATTCGACGTAATAGTCATTGGCAAGATCTACAAGCATCTAACTTAATTCGAGTCCAAAAATGGAATACAGAATATAGAAATGGAATATATTTATAGTATATAAATATCGAATAAATTACACTATTACAATGTGATCGGAAAACGAAAATTAAGCTATGAAAACAAGAAAAGCGTTTTTGAATTTTAAAAGATAACTGACAGAGCTTAAAAGAGATGTGAAGTTTCGATCTACCTATTTTTTATTTATATGATTTTATCACATACTGCGCTTCAAAGTGAATGGAAAATCATCCAAAGAAAAAAAAATTTCTTACGCTTTAGTCTAATTTTACAAATAAAAATAACTAATACTAATCGCCTTTACAAATAACGAAATTATATACAAATGTTACGATGTTGTATGCAAAGATTCGTAAAGAAAAGAATGACATTTACGAAATTATAATATACCTTTTCAGTTAAAAATTTATGAAAAAATATAGGTAAATCCGCTTTCAAAATCAAACCTATAAATTTAAAAAAAAAAATTAAAATTCAGCAAAAGGCGATTGGCACTGTTCGATGTTACTCCAGTCAATTCCTTTAAAGAATTCATGCTGCATCACAACTTCAACACCACCAGATTCAACTGAACCTAATCGCTCAGCAGGATTGACGACAATTAATTGTTCTATTAAATGACGAGTTTCCAGAGAAAAATCTGCAGGCATCTCATATGAAGCGTGACAAATCTTTTTATACATAATATATTCACTGGCTTCATAGAAAGCATGACGACCCGTTAAAAATTGATAAATAATTACTCCAAGTGCCCAATAATCACAGGCCTGTTGGACCAATTGACCACAGAGAACTTCTGGACTCACGTATTGAGCAGTTCCAACGAATGAACATTTCCTTCGCCTCAAAATTTGTTGAAAATCAACAATCCTTACATTCCATTATGAAAGAGAAATTTAAAAAACGAAATTCTTGATTAATACCACAGTACAAATGGTTCACAAGAAAAATTTCACAGAGGAACAAAATAAAATGAATAATAAAATGAACCTATTTTGTGATTGCTCGTGATTTCGTAAAGGTTCGCCATCCACTAATTTCGAAGAACCAAAATCAGAGATCAAAATATGGCCAATCGCCGAAAGCAATATATTTTCCGGTTTTAAATCTCTGAAATACACAATTTTCGATAATCCTTTTCACAATATTCTATTGATAAATTAATTAAATAAAAAAAAAACCTGTGAATAATTTTCAAACGATGCATATGCCCAAGAGCGACCACTATCTCACTGGCACAAAATTTTGTTATATCTGTATCGAATTTGATTCTTTTTTTTAATTGACGCAGCAAATCTCCTCCCTTCATGAAAATTTTACCGGTTATCATAAGGGTAAATTCAAGTGTAATTTTATTTTTCTGATTTGTTTTTTTTCAACAAGTTCTCTCTTCTATTTATTATCACCTAATTTATGAATCGTCCAATATTTTGCTTATCTTCATATCCATATTAATTCAATCATTTGGCCACTCCTATGCTTTCTTCGTTAATTCGTTTTATTCTAGTAAAATGTATTACTCACCAATCAAGATCAATAAAACGAAAATAAATTCCGGTTGTGATAATTTAGTCAATGCCTAAAAAATACAAAAAAAAGTACAAAAAAATTTACAAAAATATTTACTTTAGCTAAAGTTGTAACAATATACAGCGAATCTGAATCTTGAAATGTACAATAAATCTGAAGGAAGAATGCATGCCGATTTTCCGGTTTTGATAATCTAGCCAATGCCTAAAAGTAAATATGCTAAAAAAAATGAGCAAAATATTGAAATTATGAAATGGAATTTACTCTATTAAATCAAAATCTTTCATAAAATTCGATCAAAAAATAAAAAATAAAGAGAAATAAAGACGAAGTTTCGCAAAAAAAAATTTTTGAAAAATCTTTATTTTACTTCTTTCTCACGATAAATTTGCTCGATTTTTCGTTCTCTTAAAATTTGTTGTTTTATACAAACTTTTATAGCAAATTCTCGTTCAGTAGTTCGTTCCTTCACTTTATATACCGTCGAAAACGAACCTTCTCCTTCAAAGTCGAAATAAAATTATTAAATATTTGAAATGAATTACTGAAAATTTGAAAAGAAATTCATCTAAAAAGTTAGAAAAAAATTTTTTTTTTATGAAATTAAATTCTAAATTTTAGTCGAACAATTAAATTTGAACTTTGAAAAATTAAAATCTACCAAATTTAAGAAAACATGAATTAAATTTTATGAAAGAGTGTAAAGCAACTTATGTTATAATATGCACTAATTATATAAATCAAAAAAAATTTTTTTTTTTTTTCTAAGAGCGCTCACCACTTCTAATTAAGCTCGCTCCGCTAGCTTGCCGAACCAGACAAATTCTGCCGGGGAGTCACTTGACAATAGAAACAGAGGTGAGTAGCCAGTCTGGATTTCTGAAAGACAGGTTTCCGGGAGAAGAACCTTAACATCTGTACTCCGAAACGAGAGCAACAACCCACCGAGTCATTCTACACCCAACTTTGGGCATTCAAAAAAATATGTTAAAAAAATTCATTAACCAATAAAATCAAAACCTATTTCATTTAGAAATATGAAATCTGAACGTGATTTCGGAGTGATAACAATCTTTTTTCCATCATCGCCGGAACAGCATTCCTGAATTCCGTTATCACATACTTCAGATGACGATGATAAACTTTCAACAGCTAAAGTTTTCTCAGTGTTTCCATTTATATTCTCGCTCGCCATTGAATCAACGATAAATCTAAAAAAGAAGCTTGATTAAAATTAACGATCTGATTCAGAGATTCTTAAGCTTTTTGTGCTCTTCATAAAATTTAGTTGCACGAAAGCCACGAATCTCTTGGAAAGCCATGCTGAAAGCGATGATATGGATTATTCTCTCACAGCCACGAAAACCTAAAGATCTCCTGTTTAGAAACTTACGAGTCCCTTTGAAAAGCTCTAAGAAAAGTAAGTTAAAAGCAAAGAGAAGAAATTGAAAATAGCAATAAATAGCATTAAAAAAAGAAATCGGTTTAATGGCAAGGAAAAAACCTGAAAAAATTTAAGCTAAAACCAGTGGTTGCCGAACTTCTTTTTCCTACGGACCGCTTAGACGGTGCAGTAAAAATCCGTGGATCCTCGGTGCAACAATTTTAAATTCCAAAATTTTGAAATATTTATTAATTTCTTCTACCCACAAACAATGCAATAAACTACGCAATAAATCAATTTTTACCACTTATATAAAACAAATTCCACAGAACTCCTGAGAGACCCGACAGTATTATGTTTATTGGCAAAATAAGGTGGCGACGCTGCTATGACTCCAACCACTCACCCAATTTTCCCTTATTACACTACTCACTAGCCGACCGAACCGAAGCACCACACCGGACCTTACTTCCAAGGCCAAAGGCTAAAATCTGTGGCCAATACTCGCGTTACGCGAATTATTGCTAAGATAATCCAGCAGTACCGATGGCCCTCGGAAGACATCAAACGCGGCCCTACCGTATTTTTTTCAGTTGTAATAGTTTTACTTCCGTCGTCTATTGCTGGTATCTGAAAAATTTATATTTTTTTTCGCTTCCCTAAATATTCCAAAAAGTTTCATCTTAAAATTCCCTTTCTTTTTACTATTTTCTATTCTATTGCTAAAATTTCACCAAATTGATTGGTAAAATTGAGGCGGCCGGGGCCGCAAATTTTCTGCTTGACTCGGACATTTTTAATGTGTCTAACTTGCGACTTGACTAATTTTGGAGCCATTTTCGGTTGAATTTTATTTCAGTTTTCATTCTGAGGTTTCGAGCGAATAAATTTAGCATTGGAAATGGAATTAGGGTGGTACCAGGGACCTGCTTGCTCTGTTGTCTTCAGGCTTTGTGTGGTGCAAATTCCGAAGAAGAGTGGTATTCAGTGAGGAGTTTCGAGTATTGCTTGAGCAAGAAGAATTCTTACATTCTTTTATTTGTTCTATCGTAGACTGTAATATTATTAATTCGAAGATCTCAGTGGTTTGTTGCTTTCATTTCAGAGTGTCTGCTGGGGTACTACTCTTTTAAAGCAAATCCAAGGCCCGAGTAGTACTGACGACTCACCCATATTTCCATTGCCAGCTGACTACCTCTGTGGTATTTCTAAGATATTTTATCCATTTGTGGTACTTGTAGTTCACAAAATTTGATTGATTAAAACTTCGTTTTTGCTTGATAATATTTTGCTTAAATATTTTTTCAGCTAAAGTTAATTCATTATTGATCAATAAAATGATAGATTAATCGGAATTCATTGTTCCTATAAAGAATTTTCCTATGGGGAATATAAACACGGTTGGGCCAAATGAAGCGCTTATTATTTCTGGTCTCTTTTTTATATGATTTATCATTTAATGTTTCATTAAATAACGAACTATTAAAAAATATCGAAAGTCTGCAGAAATATTCGATAATTTATGTATAATTTTAACAAAACGGTAATTGCATGCGATAAATTTTTTCTGAAATTGTTCCAACAAAAAATTTCTTTTAGAAGGTTATTTTGATGTTTTATTTTTTTTATTGCTTGTCAGGAGGATGGTGTGGAAGTACCACGAAAAAAATGATAATCGGCAGTTGGGGGTGGTCTTGGTGGTTTGTATCCAATGTACAACGTTTATCATTAGAAATAATGACCTTAAATCCGCGTTCCGAATGTGTCGAAACCGCTCAAGGAGTACCTTTAACGGTTACCGGAGTGGCACAGGTGAAGGTAATGACAGGTTCGTCGTTATTTTATCGTTTTTTTCCCAATTTTTTCGAAAAGAATTTTTTATTCGTTTTTAAAAATCATCTATAACCGTAAATAAGTTCAGAGCATGGTCTTTTGGAAATCGCTTGTGAGCAATTCCTTGGCAAATCAGTTAGCCATATTCAAGCAGTTATACTGCAAACGTTGGAAGGTCATTTGCGAGCAATACTTGGTATTCGCATATTTTCGATTTTGTAGGAAAATTTTTTTATTTAATTTCTTATGAAATAATTCAAAATCAAAGCATTATTTCAGAATTTTTGGGAAAATTCAGTAAAAAAATTGGTAAAATAGGTAAAAAGGAGATTTACAAGAGTTATACAATAAGTTTATATAACAATTTAATCTTTATCTTCATATGTTAATATTAATATGTAGCAACGATTTTAATATATTATTATTTTCAGTGATATAATGAGTATAATATCGAAAATTTCAGGAACAATGACCGTTGAAGCTGTGTATAAGGATCGTGACAAATTTGCTCAATTAGTGCGAGAAGTAGCTGCACCAGATCTTGGTCGAATGGGGATAGAAATACTTTCTTTTACTATTAAAGATGTTGTTGATGCTGTTGATTATCTAGAGTCTTTAGGAAAGACTCAAACTGCGGCCATTAAGAAAGATGCAGCAGTTTGTTTTTTATTATTTTTTTATTTTTATTATTTATTATGTTTTATTTTAGTAGTGGCATGATTTATTTTTTCAACATTATCGTTCCAAGCACTTTACCCCTAGGATAAACTTGTAGCCTACTTCCATCTCCAAGTGATTCGTTGGTAAAGTATTCTCGTTGAATTTGAGTGGAAGAAGCCTAATCGAAAATAGTGCTAATATTGCTGAATGTGATGATGATCATTTCTTTAATGATTTCTTTTTTGGATCCTTTTGATCTTTGAGAATTTCATTAATCTATGATTTTGATTTGGTTTAGATTTAGATTTAGATTTAATTAAATAAAATTTTTATTATTTTGGATTTAAAATATAAAAGAAATAACAAAAATTCTTTATCTAGGCTAAATGTTGGTTTTTTATTAATTATCTATTTGATTAAAAATTAAAAATTTATACTGAAAATTTTTTTCATGTTTAAAGATTGGTGTTGCTGAAGCAGATCGCGATGCAGGAATTGTTGAAGCAGAATGCCAGAAAGTTGCAGCTGATGCAAAATATGAAGTAGATGCTAACATTGCAAAGGCAAAAAAAGAGTTTGATATGCAACAGGCTGAATTTGATGTTCAAGTCGCTACTAAAGTATCATCGTTTGCTGCAGATTTTATTTTTCTAAAATTTCAAGGCGAAATTTCAATTTAACTACTAAACGGTAAGAGTGACTTAAAAATTAATGTTTTTTCTTTGTATTTCATAATATAATTCATAGAAAGCAGAAGCGGAATTGGCATATAATTTGCAAAAAGCACGCCTCATGCAATCGATTCGCGAGGAGGAAATTAAAATCGATGTTATTGAACGACGGAAGAATGTATGAGTTTAAAAATTTACTTTTTAAGAATTAATCTTGATAAAAGCTCTGACACTAATTTTTAAAGATTACCATTGAAGAGAAGGAAGCGGAACGAATGGAGCAAGAACTTTTTTCCACTGTTCGATTACCTGCTGAAGCTGAAACATATCGAATACAAACTGTAGCCCTGGGTGAAAAGTTTGTATTCAAATTTTTTATGAATGGTTTTATAAGTCATCTTTTTATTCTCATTTATTTTAAAAGTTATTTAAATTATTAAACATGAAGGAAGCGCGTTATCGAAATTGCAATGGCTGAAGCAAATGCTTCCAAGAAGATAGGCGAGGCACAAGCCGTTGTAATCGAAGCAATTGGTAGAGCTGAAGCTGAGCGTTTAAAACTTCGTGCTGAGGCTCTGAAAAATTATGAGAAAACAGCAACAATGGCTATGGCTCTTGAAAAAATCCCCGAGGTATTATTTTCAATTATAGTTAAACTATTAGTTTTTTATTTTTAGATGTATATTCCTATATCTTTGAAATGGAAATATCTGATATAAGGCTATTATTTTAACAGTTTCATTGAATTCATGTTTAGATTGCTGAAAGTATTACGAAACCGCTTAAAAAAACAAGTGAAGTACTTATTGTGGGAAGTACTGATAACATCACCGGTGCTATAACCAAACTTGCGGCCACATTACCGAATTCTTTAAAGGCTGTGACGGGATTTGATGTTACAAACACATTAAAGAATGTGATTGGAGTTACTAACAACTGATACTTAAAAAAAGAAAAGTAAGTATGGTGCAAACCATACTTAGAGGAATGAGTTTTGCCTTTTATGCAAGCGGTCACCTCAGTTTTCTACCCTTTCAAGTATTAATTGATTATTAAAATATTCGATTGTTATATTTATAGATATTTTTTCTCCATTATATGAAATCTTTGAAAATTTTTAAAATTTGGCGCATCTATAAGTGTAACTATAAGTGTAAGATAAGTTTTTTTTTCTTTTATTCATACTTCAGTTTTCAAATTAATTTTTGAATTTTTAAAAAGAAATAGAAGAAAAATAAACGAAAATAAAAACAAAAAAAATAATCGAAATGATAAAAATGAAAAAGTTTTTTTTCTCTATTTTCAACTTTTTATTTCTCTTTGTCTTTCTTGACAGAAGTAAACCAATAAAAACGAAAATCCTGTTGGTTGCTGAGGACTTAGGTCTTACATAGACTTCTATCCTCAAATGACTCTTATGGTGAAAGGGTTTGGTCTCGACATAACATTCGCGTCTTCCGATACATCCGATACGCAGCCTGGGGGTAAATGCGATAAATGTGCAAATCGCACTTTGCTAGACGATAAGGATTAAGGATAAAACGAATTTTGGAGCGATCGAGATTGATCGAAATTGGTCAAGAGAAATGAATACACGGTAGTGGTGCTATAGCTATGGATGTTGCGCGTCATATGGTCATCCTCTTTCTCATTTTCAATGGATCCATTCTTCTTCTTCTAACTCTCACCATTACTGGTTAGGCTGGCTCCGACGGCTACAAGAGTAAGACGCTTCCAAGCGGTGCGGTCTGATGATATCGGCAACATTAATGGAAGTCATTCCTTTTTCCATCGTCTAAGTCCATATATTGCTGGTCCATCTATACGTTCAAAATCTTTTCTCACCGTATCAGTCCAGGTCCTGATTGGCCCACCTAGCTTTTGACGCCATCTATCACACGGTTTAGCAAATAACGAAATATGCATCAACTCATGTGGTGGACGAAAAAAATTTAAAACAATTTTTTGCTGAGCGGTCGTTATTCTCTATTTATTTCTGTGAATTTATTTTTCATTTCTGATTACTTCCGCTAACTTCTTAAACTCTCTTCTTAAACTTCTAATTTTCTAAACTTTTTATTTTCTTTAAATTTTTATCTTCTTGAATTTTTAATTTTTTACCAAACAACGGTTAAATTTAAAGTAAAATAAAATTAAATCAATGAAATTAAATCAAATTAATTAAATTATATAAATAATATATATTTCATATATATGCATATAATTATATATATATTTTTAAATTTCATTGTCTATTTTATCATTTTCTTCAAATTTAATTTTTTTCTTTTCGTCTTTGACAGGAGTAAACCTGTTATTATGTCAAAAATCCGGGTGGCTGCTGGGGACCTTCCTGTAACTCTATCCCCAAGTGACTCTTCGGTGAAAGGGTCAGATGCACTTAATGGATGTATTCTATGACATGGATGAAAAACTTCATAACTACAATAAAGCGGTCCTAATCGCAATATCCAAGAAGAGCGGCAAGGTATACTGTAACAATTATCGAGGAATAAATAAACTAGAAATTTTCTCTGGGAAAATTTTCGCTTACCTTATGCTGAAAGTACTTATAGCAGATTAACTACAATAACCAAGTTGAATTCAGGTCTGGGGATGGTTATTAAGAAAGTTGGAAAGTATCGGTAACCCATCAGCATTTATTTCATTGATTTTGCCATCGCCTTCGGTTCATTTGATAAAATGGCGCTCTGAAAGGTGATGGATTGAGATCGTTTGACTCATAAAGATATTTTACCAGCGAAAATCGGCAGAGGTAGCTGATAGGTCGAAATAATCTGGGCTACTTCCTTTCCGCTACAATATGTGATAGACTGGATCATGGTCATTGCTTGCCCGATACTCAAGAGCACAGAAAAGTTTAGCGCACATTATCATCGATCATGGTGGTTAAGTCCTTGTTGACTGTTATGAAGAAATGCAGAAGATGCTAGATAATATATCGTTTTAATATATCTCTTTTTATATATCTGATAAAATCGTTTTTTGTTAGTTCATCAGCGGATTGAACAAGTGGCTTTAAATCCACTCCCAAACTGTCAAGCGATAGATAAAATTGCAGCTCGGGTATAGCAGTTAAAAATGCGTTCATTCGTATGGCGAGGCTTCTATGGAATTGCCATCAGTGCGGAAGTTCGCATCTATATAGCTATAATAAGTACAGTTTTCTTGTACAGTATGAAGTGAGAGTGGGAGATATTAACAAGATACCTTGACAATTCGTGTCTAAGATATATGATGTATGCACGTCAAACGGATAAAATCTCACTGCATCCGTGTTTGCTTAGAGTAACGTACTTCCTGGATTAACTTCCTGGATTAACATACCGCAAGGGCACCATCGACGCTGGAGGCAATGTTCATTGCAGGGATTAATGAATGCCTCGTAATATGTGGGCTTAAACGATGGAGAAAAAGTGGTTTCTGTATCAGCGGCATGTAGATCCTTGTTGCCTTTTATCATTTTATCCTTGTTGCCTTTCTAACTGTTACTAATGATAATTGCTAGAATAAAAAGGAGGATAGAAATCTTAACTACTTTTTTCATCTTTTTTCAATATATAAGCCCTAGTTTTTCAATATATAAATATTGTTTTCACTTTATTTTATATGCATATATGGGACTGAAAATTGTATGTTTTTTGAATACCTCTTTTCCTTCGATTCGTATTTTTTAGTAAATTTGTGATTTTAGATTTCTTTCTATTGGATTTTTTTTTCATATTTTTATATATCATTCTTTATTATTTATTTTAATTTTGTTTATGATTTTTTTCAGTTTTTACGCAGAAAAGGTAGTTTTAATGAATTTAATTTACTTCATGAAATGAATTCAAAGAAAGAATGGGGAATATTTTTAAAATGGGGATAATCTTCTTCCTCGTGTTCATAATGTTTCTATTATTCATCAGATGTTATGTTTTTTTTTATTTGTTGTTGCATTTGTTGCGTTAAAATTTTAATTAACAAAAGCAATAAAATATTTATTGGTTTGTAAAAGTTTTGATTAATAGTTTTCCGACTATTTTTTATTTGTGATTCAGAAAAAGTTCATTTTCTTATTTAAATTTATTCCACTTGGAAAAATAGGTTCATCATCAATAAATTGGAAGGTTTTATTTAAATTTATAGAATTGGAAGTTCTAGAAATATTTTCGTGATAGTTGTACGACATGGCGTTACGAGGCATATTTCACGAGGTAAAGGTGGTTGTGAGGATAAACTCACTCATTTGTGCAAAAATCACCCCCGTGGCCAGCTGCTCCAAGTTTGCAAAAATGGGTTGTTAAAGGAAGATTGAGAAGGAATTATTATATTTTATGTTGGAGATTTTTAACATAAGATTTAAATTGCTTGCATTAATAAATCATGAAATATTTATTTGTTTATTGGCAGTTGATCGTTTTTTCCAGATTTCTCTCTGATTTATAACATTTGATGTTCAACTTGGGTTTTTCTGATTAATATTCCGACTGACTTTGGCGAGAAACTTACATCTGAAGCGCATCTTTATTAATCATTGCAATTTGCTTCGTTCAAACAATTTCTTTTCTATTTGTTTTATAAAATAAAAGGTTTGAAAACGCTTAAAAAATTCTTGATAGTTGTCGATTTATTCATTTTTTATTTATTTTACCTAATTCTAAAATAATTTTTAATGCATCCAATTTTTTTCGAATATTAAAGTTCAATGAGTTTGAAATGCTAATTTTATGTTCTGTCAACGTTATTGTGATTTAAGAAAATAATTTAGTCAAATTTTCCTTTTTTAAAATTCTTTTCTATGAAAAATTAGATGTAATACTATTCAAATTTTCAAATTTAAATATGATTCTGATTTTCAAATCATTTCATTTGCAAAGAATTTGCATAAAAATGTTGCAACAGTTTTCTGAATGCAGTTGTTAGTAAACGATTTGAAATTTGAAAATAAATAAAGGCTATTAAATTAAGGTAAAGAGGGATGGCCGGAGTATCTGCGAACTCTCGTGATTTCATTGTTGCATCAAAATATAAGTTAATTCGTAAGATCGGATCTGGTTCATTTGGCGATATTTATTTGGCAATAAATATTACAAATGGTGAAGAAGTTGCAGTAAAAATGGAGCAAATAAAGGTAAATTTCTTAAAATATGTTCGATATTATTCGCATATCTAAGTTTCAATTTTCCGTTTTTTTTGTTTATTTTTTTAATAAAATTTTTCAGGCTCGTCATCCACAGTTAATGTACGAAAGTAAAGTCTACAAAATTTTACAAGGTGGTGTTGGTATTCCACATATTAGATGGTTCGTTTCATTTGCTAACCTTTGCCCTTGCAACATTGGTGTGTTGGCTTTATATATAAGTAATATAAGCCATAATGATTTACAGAGCTTTATTAAAACAGGTTTTAAGTCATTGTTTTAATTTTGATAAGGCATCTGATAATCTTTTTCATTTCTGTTTTTTATTGTAATATTATGGCAGATATAAATAGATAAACGGCTTAAGACTACTATTTAAGATTACTATACTATTTAAATGGGTTCCAACTTGATTTATTTTTGTTTTGAACCAATTAAATTATTTTACAGTGTATAAAAAATTAAAATGAAAAAATTCCTTTTTTTATCAAAGTTTTGAATGTTCATTCATTAATTTTGATGCTTCAAAAACATAATTTTACGAATTTAGTCGCAAATAGAAAATATTATGAATTATGAAAATTTTCACGCAATTATAGGTATGGAACTGAACGAGAACACAATATATTAGTAATGGATCTGTTGGGACCGTCGCTTGAGGATCTCTTTAATTTTTGCAGTCGTCGATTTACAATGAAAACGGTATTAATGTTGGCTGATCAAATGATTGGACGTGTCGAATATATTCATGTTAAGAACTTCATTCATAGAGACATAAAGGTTTTTGCGACTATTTGTAACAATTTTTAATTTGGACTATTAAAATTAGTTGAATTTTCTATATTTTCGGCCAGATGGGATAGGATGGCTTAGTGGGTTGTTGCTCAATTCGGAGCGCCGATATTAAGGTTCTATTCCCTTTAGGAGTAAACCTTTCCAAAAATGCGAGTGATGCTGGCGATCCACTTGTATTTCTATCGCTAAGGGACTCTCTGCCATATTTGTCCAATGCGACAAGTTAGAGGAGCGAGTTTAACCAGTAATAGTGAGAATTCTTTAAAAAAATTTTCAGCCAGATAATTTTATGATGGGAATTGGTCGACACTGCAACAAACTGTTTTTGATCGATTTCGGTTTAGCGAAAAAGTATCGAGATTCGCGAACCCGTGCTCACATTCCATATCGAGAAGATAAAGTAAGTTTATATTTTTCGATGGAAGGAAATTGCTTAAAATTATTTTTTACCGCCCTCTTTAAAAGATACAGGATTTTAATTCAGCATTTTCTTTCTTTATTAAAAATGGAAATTTTTTGATTCTGTCTTGAAATAATTTTAGAATCTAACGGGCACAGCTCGATATGCATCGATTAATGCTCATTTGGGTATTGAGCAATCCCGAAGAGATGACATGGAATCTCTTGGATATGTTTTGATGTATTTCAATAAGTAAGATAATTCGTAACCTTTAGTTTTCGACTTTAATTTCTCACTGTTGAAAATATATTTTAATTTTTGCTTAGGTTTCAAGAACATTTATGGAAATAATTCTGCTGCACTATTATTGAAATTGATTTTATTGTAATATTTTAGAGGTGTACTGCCATGGCAAGGTTTAAAAGCTGCAACTAAGAAACAGAAATATGAGAAAATCAGTGAAAAAAAGATGGGGACGGCTGTTGAAGTAATTTTATTTTTATATTGCTATTTTTATTTTTTATCACGAATTTTCTTTTAATATGATTGAATAAGGGTTGAAAATGTAAATATAAGACCTGTTCATTACTGAAAATTTTATTTTCCGGATTTCTCTAGGATGTAGTTGAATTAGATTTGAATATGATTTTAAATTCGATTAAGGTCTTATGTAAAGGATGTCCATCGGAATTCGCAATGTATCTTAATTATTGTCGAGGATTGCGTTTTGACGAAGCTCCTGATTACATGTACCTTCGCCAATTGTTCCGAATCTTATTTAGGACTTTAAATCATCAGGTTTTTTCTTTTTTATATATAGAAATCTAGGTATTAAGAAACATTAAAGGAAATTTTGAATTTTTAGCTTGAGAATATTCTACAATTTTTTTGCTGAATGTTGCAAATTTTATTTTATTTTTTTGTTTTAGTAATTTTAAGTTTTAGTACGATTATACATTCGACTGGACAATGCTTAAACAGAAAGCTTCACAGAATAGTAGTAATGCGCAGTTCGGTGTATCTGGTTGTCAAGATGCACAATCAGGTACATTTCCTGATATCTAACAGATCGAATTATTTTGAATCATTTTTATCATGTGAAATTAAAGTTTTTAGTTCTTTATTCTTATCTGAATTCATTGTAATAATTTTCATTTTTTTTACAAATTAAAAATTTTAAAAATAAAAAATTTTTACAGCAAAAACAATTTTTTGTCTGCATATTTTTCTTTAAGGGTTTTCTTGGGGAAAATCTTTTTAGTATGGAGAAATTTATTAAAATATTAAAATAACGAATTTTTTTCCCATTCCATTTTTTCTTATTTTTCACTAAAAAATTCTTTGGATTTATTCATTTTTTTCTAAAAATTGCTTGGAATTTCAAAAATTTTTTTAAATAATCATTTGTTTGAATTATTTATGTCTTTTTTAAATTATCATTTGTGTTTTTTTTGAAGAATTAAATTTTTTTCGTTCAGCTTGTTAGTGTAATTGAATTTTTAATGATTTTAATGTCTTTTTTTGATAATAAAGAAGATTTTACAATTTTTTCGTTGAGAAACATGCTGATTTTCACGAAATCTCTTCATCTAGGAACATTCGATTCTTTTATACTTTGTGTCGAGGTATTTTTCTAATTTCGTTCTTTTTATGTTATTGCCTACTGAATGTTCCACTCATATAATTTCTGCGCGGCGGTGGCTATGAAACTGCAAGATTTCGGCCAGTCTTTGTGAAGACTAATATATGAAATATATGGAAGAACTGAAATTAACCCTTTTCATATTTGTATAGTGGGTTGCGGATGAAAATTTCTGCATTTCAGAAGCATTCGCTATTATCGTCTATTCCTTTCGTCTAATCCTTTGCTCCGAGCATCTCTTCTAGAATACCGTGTAGTTGTCATTAAAATGGAATTTTAGGCTGTAATGATTTCAAAGTTTCTTAAAGCGAATGTATGCAAAAGGTACTTTTCTGTTAATTTTGAACCATTTTTTTAAAATTAATATTATCATATAAGAAAGGTGGGATTGTTTTTTTCGATATCAGTTCAAAAAGCAAGTTAGACTACAATGCATTTCTGTTGTCTATTGCCACAATACTGCCTACAACTTCTACGGGCTTTACTATTTATCGGCTGGAAAATACTACGAATTCTCCACTTATCAATGACTGCTTATTAGTCCATTTGGCGGACTGCTATTTTGTCTTAGACGGTAAATTAGAGAAAACGAATTTTTTTTCGGAGGAGAAGATATTCAGTTCAAAAATTAATTGGATATTTCCGGATCAAAAGGAGGAAAGGAAAACATTGGAATGGCCAAAGTTATAAGAAGTTAGTCTCTTTCCTTTTCTCCCTCTTTACTCGCCAATCAGTTATTCGTTTTTTCGCATTTCACGTCGTTACACGAAGGCGATTGTTTTTGCCGAGAATATGGCGCATCAGTGTTCAGAGATATTTGGTTTCGAGCGAAGGGAGCGTCGGAAAAGCTCGGAAGTGGTCGATCAGCCCAACTGCGACTTTGCTGTCATTCGAGCTGGCCGATCCACGTGTTACGTGGGCGACTGAGGCGGAAACTCCTTGTCTCACTTACCAAATAGCGCAAGAAGTCGTGAGCACTTACCGCCTACTCGCATTTCATTGGATAGAGCCTTGTTTGATTTCCTTCCAGCTTTGTCTTTTTTAAACAATTTAAATCACTTTTGGTTTCTTTTGGATGGGTAAGGTGAGTCGCTAGTGTCGCTAGTCACTCGACTTCATCGCTCCCAATGACAAATTTGCTCTGGCGAAGGTGCACGAATAGGTTCACGAAATGGGGGAAACCCACTTTGACTTTGGTAGAATATAGTGCTCAGTTAACGCACTCCTCCCAGTTTTCTTATTTCTACATTGTCGCAACTGTTCTGAAATAATTTTCCATTTGTTATGTTAATGTAAAAGTTATAAAAGTTTCTATATAATATAATATAATAAATATAATATTGAAGTTTCTTTCCTTTAGTTTCTTTCCTTATTTCCTCACGAATTACTGGAAGCGCCATGACTCGTTTGCCTACCCTCTTTAATATAATCTTTTAATTTAATCTTTTCCCAGTTTTTCGGTATTACTTTTCTTCTTCATACATTTCTTCACCAAGAATATAGATTCGCTACTATCAGTTTAACCAAATTTCGCATTCAACAAGACTGGAGGATAAGACTATTTAAGATTATTTATAAGACTATTCATTGTTTCATTTGCAAATGTTTAAATTTGCTTGTTATTGCTTCCCCTTTTGTTTTATCTATTTAATGAGGCTGATTTAAGGGCATATCCAGTTATGCATTAATTTTATTTTATTTAATTTAATTTAATTTTAATTAATTTATCCTCGGTGAGAATTAAATTATTTAGACGTTTGGGTATATAAGAAGACGCACAGCTACAAATATTTACCGAGGAGGCAAGATGGGCCTAAGGAGTTCGATTATACGTCAAACCAAGTAGATCCTGAGAACTTTCCTGAGAAGGTTGTTAAAAATTATTATGATTTCCATGATTTCCATACTTCTGCTTTTTCATCAGTTTTTCCGTATTCTTGCTATAAAGGATAGGAGGAGTTATTTTATTCTGAATGATTAACTATTCACAGTATAGATGGAAGGTGAACCACCAAAATTATGGTTGGCATGGATCTATCGTAGTGCTAGTGGTGAACCACACTGGACGAAAAAATGGCTGGAGAAATTGTTTGGTAAAAATTTTCAAGTAAATCTTTTCTGTTTTTATAATATTGTTGTGAAAATTCGTTTTTTTGTGAATTTCTTGAAAGATGTTCTTTGCTTATAGTGGAATAGTTTCATTTTTTTAGCCCGGAGAAATGGCTATCTTTAAAAATACACCGTCGCAGAATAGGGAACTATGGCGTGTGAAACATATGATAGAAATACGACCACTTATTTTTCCTAATGGTGAACCAACGATGGATGACATAAATTCTCTGGAGGTTGCTTTTCGAAAATTATTGTATCAAATTCTTCGTTAATCATATTATTTTAGGTGTTTGCTGATGGACGATGTATAATAGACAAAAGATTGGCATGCGATCCAGCTCAATTACAAATCATGGATTCCAGAAAGCAGGTGAATTTTTTTAAAATAGGTCACTAGGTTGATCACTAGGTTGGTTCCATCATTTTTTGGCATCTAAAGGTTTTTCTGCTATCACGCATATAAAAAAAGAAGTGAATCGAGAAATTTCTTAATCTTTTTAAATTTTTTTTTTAAATTTCTCAATTTTATTAATAATTAATTTAATTAAATTTATTAAATTTAATTAATAATTTCTTAATTTCTTAATTTTTTATTTCAATAACATAAAAATTTCTTTTAGTTATCGTCGGGATATCTGAGTTTTCGACTGAAACAGCGATATGATTCATACAAGGATATATTCGAGGATAATGTCTATACGCCGTCAAATATTAGTGTATTGGATTAGATTGTTTCTCTCTTCTTGTTTGTTAGGAATTTTTCTTTTCTCATTTCTCGAATTCCTTGTAATTTGTAATTTTAATTATCATTGATCATTTCTGACCATTAAATTGAGAACTTTTAACCTTAGACCCACTTGAAAATCTGGCTCAGGGATTACAACAGCTCTACTCTTATCAAGACATAATTTGAAGAAGCTGCTAAATTTTTTCTCATGATCTGCTATGTTTTTTCATGCTAAAAAAAAAAATCCAAGCATATAAATTTCTCTTTTCCATTTTTTTGTCGTTTTATAAAATCATTATCAGCTTTATTTCGGTAGCATTTATTATGCACAGCATTTATGCGCTTGTAAATCAATCACAAATATGGATTTCTTGGAACCTGTTAAATTTTTTTTTCTTATATTAAGAAAGCTTATAAATGATGCTATAATATATCTTTCGAATCTTTATAGGTTTCGAAATTAATGGAAGTTGAAATCTTGCAATTTTGAGAAATTAAAGTGAACTCATCAGTGAACTTGAACTTAAAGAAATTCTCCTTGAAACTCATTTTAAACTCATTCGATTGTTTGCCAGCAAAGTCGTTACTTGTCGAGCATTACTTTACTCAAACTAAGGTCGACTCTATGAATTCACTAATTAATAAACTGAGTTGAGTCGGATGGTACTGGGTCCTCCTTATCTTTTGCTTTTCGTTTGATAATTTCACTGGTCTTGTGAACGACCCATGTCCAGGTTCTCTGATATCCAGGTTCTAATTTGTTAGATTCGATTCGAAATACTGAATGGCAATTAAAATCTATTTTCGATCCGTTCTTGATTTATCTACCGTTCGGTGTCATGCACTTTTGACAGAAGATTCTTATCTTAAAGTAGTTTATGAGGCTAATCAATTCAGCTTTTGCAGGAGGAAGTTTTCTTATTTTTGAAATAGCAGCTTATTTAATCATTTTTATTTTTTTTTCTGTCAAACACCAATTTTATTATTTGCGGATTTTATTATTTAAAATCTCAGGTGAAAAAAATTGCGTTGAAATTTGAAATTTTTTTCTTTACCTCTCAGATTACTTAACATTACTTAATATTTGTTATTTGTATTTAATTAAATCCACATAGATATTTATTTATTAGTCAATCAGACTCAACTGGTTTTTATACCAGTAAAACGTTCTGAATTTGGTTTATAAAATTTTACATGGTTCTGTTTTGTATTGATTATTGAGAAAGATCACTGTGAAAAAAAGGAGGTTGCTAATGCTGCTGTGATATAAACTGATAATTTTATCCCTCTTTACGATATTTTTTTGTTGTCTTTTTTTGCCCTATGAGAGCAACACATGGCTCTACTTGGTTAAAATTGGTTTTTATTTTTAAATAAAACTTAGTGTACTCACTGTAGTCATTGCAAGCATCTGACTGATGTTGAATGGTTGACGCACATTTTCTTGAGGTTATTTATTCATCCTTGACGAATAGTGAATACGTGAACTTGTCGAGCTTTAGCGACAACAAATAAATCGCATAAATCGATTCCATTCGCGCGGAATATATTATGCATACGTGAATTAAAATAAAAAGTCTTAAACTCGTGGTGCTCAACTGATCCCCGGTAGATCCTCGTCCAATATCTCACTGAATCACCTCCATACCTCTTTATGAATTGATGGTATTCCAGGTGGCGAAATGCTTACAAGCTAATGCACCACTGGATCTTTTTAATTAATAATGATTAGTAAATAAATCTGAGATGGAATGTCTAAGGAGATCAGTGCAGATCCCCCGGGACCGACGAAAGTTTGAATGTGGACGGATCCGGAAAAGTCGATCGGAGTTCAGTAGGAACCCCGGGGTCAGTGGATCAGTGGATAAGTGAGAAAAATAAGGTTTCGACCAGAAGCACTCAAAAATTTCCTTTACTTATATATAGATTTTTTGAATTTAATAAAAATCTCGTAAATTTTTATTATTTCAGAGAATTTATATAATCAGTATTTTATTTTATCTTAAAAATTTTATTTTTTCATTAATTCACACGATATGATATGGAAAATTTTCAAAAATTAAAATTCTAATAGAGTTAATATGAAAAAAAAATCCGACTTCTTGAGAGGCGATGCGAGAAAAATACTGGCATACCCGGCCCGGCCTAAACTAAACACCTCCGCCGCTAAAGGTTAGTAAACCCTGCCCGGCCTAAGCTAAACATCTCCGCCGCTAAAGGTTGGTACTCCCGGCCTGGCCTAAGCTAAACACCTCCACCGTTAAAGGTTGGTAACCCCGGCCTGGCCTAAGCCAAACATCTCCGCCGCTAAAGGTTGGTACTCCCGGCCTGGCCTAAGCTAAACACCTCCACCGTTAAAGGTTGGTAACCCCGGCCCGGCCTAAGCTAAACACCTCCGCAGCTAAAGGTTGGTACCCCCGGTCCAGCTAAACACTTCCACTGCCCCGTGTCATCGAATGCACTCCGTGTATCTAAGATAAAAAGCTATGCTATTGGACAACCACAAAGCTATAAGAGCATGTCGGGTTGGTGTGTGAACGAATATATAAAAGTGACGAATTATTCGTCCCTATCGAATGTTTACCTATCTCTCAGACCGAGCATGGTCGCATTTGCTTCATAAAAACTGCGCTCATACCTCATTTGAAAATTTAGATTGGCTAAGGTTTGCGGCTCGGTCTTTTTTCGGTTTTTTCGCTATTTTAGAATAATCACAAAAAAATATTCAATTCTCGTTTTTTCCCGTTAATTTCTCATTTTTAAGAAAAATTCTAACTTTATTGCAAATTATTTTATTATTACATTATTTCTTTATTTTATTTTATTTATTTTATTCAAAAAATTTTTTAAAACGCTAAAATAAATTGAAATATCAAATTTTTAAGCAATTGTTGGGCTATTTTAATTTGACAGAAATCAATAATTAAAAATTGCAATTTAATTATTCACATATTTTTATTTATTTACTCATTATTTCATTATTTGTTCATTTTTGTTTTTTGTTTGTTTATTTCTTAATTTTCTCTCTTATTTGTCTTTCCCTTTATTTATTTTATTTTATTTGTACCATATTTTTTTATTATTTTGTTTCGTTATTTTTTGATATTTTCCGCTTATCGCTGAAAATAATTTGTTAAATTACGACTATTTTAGGTTATTTTTGAATTAAATTGTTTTACTCATTGACGTTCATTTTCTCTTTTGTTATTGTTATTGTTGATATTTGTCTGCAATTTCTTTATTCTATAATGATTTTAATTTGTGGCATTCCTTGTCGTTTAGTTTTAAATTAACGATTATAATTATTTAGATAAATTTTTTAAATTTCTTTAAATATAATTTTTGAAATAAATCATTTAAAAAATTCATTGCTGCTTCTTAGCAACGAATTTCACTTACATTTATTTTACCTTTTTTGAAAGTCCATTTTGTGATTTAATCTTTTTTATGGTTTTGTATATAAAGGAGAGGTAAATAGTTTCTCTCTTTGTCGTGAACCCCTCAGTTATAAATATTTTGATTTATGAGTGGTTCGTTAACTTACATGGAAAAAGGAATGGCTTCTATTATTGTGACGATTTCTATTTGAAAACCTTAGCTTCAGACCGCAACATATTCATCGCGAAAATAATTTACCTTGGATTATTTTAAGTTATTTTAATATTTCCAATGAATTACAGTGTTTCCGATGTATGGAATCATATAGCGTTAATTCTATTTCTTGAATTTATTGCTGTTATCCCTAGCTTTTAACGATATTTTATTTTTACGTTACGCATTTATTATTACGTTATTTTATTTTATATTCGTTTATGTTCTTCGAAATTCTTCGAATTTTAGGTGATAGAACAAAAATTAACCGGTGAAGGATCTAAATTGCATTTCAGTTGTTGGTTTATGAAATAATATATTTAATGGAGAATCATTGTGGTTATACATCACGCAAGGATGGTTAGATTTTTGCTTTTTTGCAACTGCATTCGAGTATTATAACTCATAAGTTACAAACTCAAATATGAATATGGAATTCGTTGAAATTTTCATTGGTGCGAGTGATAATTATTTTGTGGGAAGTCGTCTGGTATTTCATCGAATGAATATACTATTTTATAGGGATTTTTCAGAAATTCGTTGAAGATGAATTTGAATTTTACAAGTCTTATGTAAAGCAAATCATTGCAACACATAAAATAAATTGATTCTTCATCAAAAATTGGAGAAATTTTTTAAAATAAATTCAATATGCAAATTTCGAAATTTTTTAGGGCTAATATTATGTATTTATATATGTATTGAAAATTAGAGGATTTTCGATTCCCCATGGGAGTAAATCTGTACAGAAAAAATCTGGGTGATGTTGGCTGTTACTCACCTGTATTTCTATCGCCAAGAGATTCTCTAGCACATTGCGAAATGTGAATTAATTATTTATTAATTAATAATTAATTAATTTTCTTTAATTAATTAATTATTAATTTTCTTTATAAATCATTTTTTAGCTGGGTTGTCGCCTTCACCGTCAGTGTCACAAACAAATTCAAGTTTATCATCTCATCATTCGTCATACAATTGGAAGATGATTTATTTAGATTCGAAAAAATTTTTATATCGAATTAATGGGTATTGCAAAAATGCACCAAAGGTCCTTTTATATTAGAATCCTTTTTTTATTTTAGAATAAATTTTATTTGAAAAGGATTTATTCATTTTATTAGTGGTTGTTGAAATTTGCTAGATTAATACAATGGCTAATCAAGTTGCTATTATGTTGTCTTTTTCAAATATATTTAATAAATTTTTGGTCAGTAAAATTTAATTGTAAAATATATTGGTCAAATTTGGCAATAAAAGCAAGAAGAAATGAACTTTATCAACTATGAATAGCCGTTTTTTTGCATTACCACATTTTTTTATTTCAGTACAATGTACAATCAGTATCAGATCCTAGAAATCCACTTATAAGGTTTCGCGCGGCCGAAAGTGTTGATCTCATTTTTCCATCATTTGTTGTTAGTTTTTTAAACCATAATTTAGCATTTTTTGTAGCATCATTTTTTCATTTATAATTTGATCACAGAATAATTTGTTTTTTTATAAATATCATGTTTTTTTAGCTTAATGATAATTCAGTGGGTCCGCAGCCGAAGCGTGAATTATCAGTTTTTGGCTTGAATGACAACATTAATTTGATTTTTTTAGAAGATATGTGTAGGCAAGTTATTTAGTTACTTGATTCGGTGCGAAATGTCTGTCAAAAATTTTTCTGATAATTTTGTGTTTCTCTCCTTTTTGCATTTACAAACATTTTTTTTATTTTTTTATTATTTTTTATTCTCAGTTATAAAACGATGGAATATTTTTCAGGAAAATTGGTCCAACACTCGACTTGATGATATATCATCATCCACGCACCAAAAAGCACCTTGGTATGGCATATATTGTTTTCCAAGAAGTCAGTGATGCTGGTGCATTTATAGAAAAATATAACGGTGTGACGGTGATGGGTAGTGCAATAAGTTGTTCATTTGATCCCTATGGTAATTATATTTTCTATCTTTTATTTTGCACTTATGGCATCTTTCAATTTTATTGGCACTATATCTTCGTCTTTCCATTAGTATTTTTTGAAATCATTTTCTTTTTAGCTTCTGAAGTAAGTGAAAAATATCAGGAATTAACAGTGGAGGATGCACCTACTCCAAATTATTTAAAAAATATTAATAAAGAAAGATTGAAAAAAATACGACTAAATTTTGTATCTTGCTGTTCTCACAGTGAGAATCATTCTGAAAATTGCGAAAGTTCCTTTGCAAAAGAACAAGGTGAGTTTCAAATTTATCTTTTTTCATGATTTTTTAAAAATCATTCTCCATTTTTTCTTGCCTTTTTATTAATTATATTTTATCATTTCATGATTTTAGATGAAGAATTAACGTTGGTCGAGAGTGCAAAAAAAACAGCATTGCCACTTCCAAAAATTATTGTTCCAGCGGATGCACCTCCTGGTATTAGAGAATCTTCAATTGTTTCGTGTTCAGAACCGGCATATATTGCACGTCTTCCACCACCTCCATCTCCACTTTTATGCCCACCGTTCCGTCCTCCTATGTTTAATTTTCCTTCTTCTGTCCCTTTCGGTCTACCTCATTCCTCTCTTTCATCCGTCGTTTCTATGCAGACACATAATCCTTGTTTCTCAAAATCGAGTTCAAACCAGAATCTGTTTATTCCACCTCCACCACCACCTTCATCATTTGGTAATTATCGCTTTTCTATATAACTTGTGTTTATTTTTCTGTATTGATTTTTGAGAGATTTTTTTTTGCTCTTATATATTGAATTTATCTTTTTAGAGAAAGCGATATCTACGGATTGCTCAAGGATGCCTTTGGTTCCTCTTATTGCACCTCCTATCCCTCCTCCTATTCCTCCTCCTGTTCCTCCTCCTATACTTTCTTACAGTTCACATCTTCAAAATACTAGCGAGCCATTGAAAGGCGAGGATAATGCAGTTCGTTCATTAATTGCATTAAATTATCTCACTATTTTTTGTTGGCTTTTTTTATTCCTTTTTTATTCAAATATTACTTTTTATGGATTCGTCAGTGCATGGATCAGAGGAAATTAAATTTAAAAAATTTTTTTTAGATATCTGATAGTGCAAACTCGAGGCACAATCCAGTAGAAATTCGCCTTCCAAAAAATTTCGTTTCATTAGTTGGTGAGTCTTCTATTTAATTCCTCTAATTGTATTTGTTCATCATTAATGTCTAGAGATTCTCTTCGTACTTGCTGCTCTTTTTTCAAGGTTTTTGAAAATTCATTGTTCTGCTGCATTTATGAATATTTATGAATATATGTTTGATTGAAGATAAAAGTGAAAAGTCACAAGATTAAGGAATTATGTTGTTATCTAATTCTGGAAAGAGGATATTCTTCCATGAAAAGATATTCACATTTTTGTATGAAAACGATTTCACAATGTTTGCTTTCCTTATTACTATTTTTATTCCAGTTCTCACATTCTAACGCAGTCTTATTGGGCTGCTTTAACAGATAGAAGATAAAAAATCTATCCAGTCATATCCACTAGGTCGATTCTTTTATGGTTTTCGCAGGTCCGTTTTTTTGTTTTGTCTTCCTTGAAAATTGGGAGATTTGTTTTATTCCAGTTGAATTATGAATTTTCTTTTCTTCATTCGAGCGAATATATCCTTTGGACGTCAATTGGCTTAGACGCTGGGTAAGTTTTGAAGAGATCCGCCAAGAGATGTATTATGAAGTGTATTTGTTATAAATTTCTGAATTCAATTAAGATTATTTCAAAGATTTATTGATGAATCATAGTCATCACTTGACTGAAAATGCGTTTTGGGATGGCAGGTAAAGCAATATAATAAAGGTTAGTCGCAAATTCTTCATCAGAAAAGGTCTTTGAAGCATCTAATAGGTATTTCAACTCTGAAGTTGTGGTTGTCTCGCAAAAAGGAAGGGCAGAATGTTCCTCGACTAGTTATTTGGTCAGCTATCTCCTTATTCTTCATAACACTGGAATTTCTTTCATGCCAATTTTTCTGCGATGAATGCGATAGTTGGAATCTTGTGGCATGTTTTAGCAGATTTTTCGGACATTGGAATTTTTCTGCTCATCAGTTCTTATTTGCACAACACTCCCGTTTAGGTGATATATCTGGCATGGATTTTGCCAATTTTGGAGATGAGCCTTAAATTCGGTTCACCACTTATCGACTAGAATTTTTTTTAATGTTTAGATCATTTAGAAGTTTCGATAATTTTTCTTGAAACTCATTTGCTGTCTTCGAATTTTTTAAGCTGGAATAATTCAGATATTTTGGAGAGGATGAAGAAGAGCAAAGGGAGAAAGGAGGGAAAGAGGAGAGGCACTTTTTATTGCTCATTACTGTTTAGCTTAATTCTATTCCATTGAAATAAATTTTCATTTTCAACCAATTTTATTATGGTACACAAAAACGTGAATATCTTCCATAAGAAGGATATTGATGTCCTTCTTCTTATGGAAGATATCCTCTTTCCAGAATTTTAAGATAAAAACCTAGTTTCTTATTCTTGTAGTTTTTCGTTGGTTGTGCTTTTTTTAACATCGTAGATGGAGAATGGTCTGAGAATGATGGAAAATCGCTTTCTTGCATTAAATTCTCGAACAAATGATATTTCATTATTCATTAATTTAAAAAATTCATTAATTCATAAAATTGAAAATTGGCGTATCTTGGAAATTATTTTTGTTTTCATATATCCTTCCATAATCTAGGCTTATTCAATTATTGAAAAATTTTTTTTTGGATTCATTTTTTTATTTTAAATGATTCTCGTCAAAACATTCGAAAGCCCCAAAGGTCATCGTCATCTGGCTCAAGTTTTTCTTCTGATACTATTTCAAATGACAATGAAAATATGTCTAAATCGTATAAGCGATCGTCACATAAGGTGCGAAGTAAAGAAGGTGGACATGATGGAAACATTGTCGAAGTAATTTATTGTGCAATTCTTATTTAACTTATTTTTCTTTTGATTTGTTTTTCTGTTGCTAATTATTTGAATTTAAACAATTATTAATTGTATATGATCATATATTTTAATGCAATTTTTGCTATTCAGAAGCGCAAATATTACCGTAGAAAATTTGGTCCGAAAGGGTCGAAGGATTATTATAAAGTAAGTATTTTTTTTTCTTATTGCTTGATTAAAATTTTAATTAGAAATTCAGTTTAAATCGAATTCATTTAGCTAATTAAGTTGTTATGCAAAAATTCACCATTCAATGATAATGATAATGAAATAGAATATTTCTTCTTCAATTTCAAATCATTCATTGGTTAACGCGATGAAAATTTTTAAAATTTTGAATGGACATGAAAAAAACTAATTAAAATAATTTTTTTCCATTCATTTATTTTTACTGTCATTTTTTGATGTGATTTCCTATTGAAACATGGGTTATTTTTAATAATTATTTTCATAAGCATTGTTATATTGTTATATTATAAAATTATAAATTTAAATAAATTGCTATTTACAAAGCTTTATAAATTTCAGTTATGGATTATTTTTAATCATTATTTTTAATTTAATTCGATTTTTTGGTTTGTTAATTCAATCGCGAATCTTTAAGGAAGTTGTGATCCGTAAGATAGATGATGTTAAAGATCGCTCGAGATGTTCGCATGATTCTCCGGAATTAATAAAAGAAATTGAGCGATACCAAAGAATACGAAAGTTAGCATATTTTGCCAAACTTATCTTTATTTATGTTTTTATTATTTGGTTATTATCGCCTATATTTCCAGATATAAAAAAAGTCGTAAAGATGAGGAAATCTCTCCACAGAGAATGCGTTCTGGCTCTTTTGATACCGATTTGCCTGATTTAGAAAATATTAATGATGCTCATGCAAACGAAAAATTTTCGGAAAGAACAAATGATCGCCAAAATTCATCTGGCGAAGTGGTGTGTTCACAGCAGTCTGATTTTTTTTTATTGGAAATTTTTATTTCAGTAGAATAAATTGATCAAAATTTATTATTTATTGAATGATTTATTATTAGGTTGCACTCGACGAGTGTATAAATTCAAATCTTCGGAGAAACCATCAAGAAAACAAGGCAGGATCAAGGTTAAATCTTTCTGATCTATCAGGGATTTTTTGATTTTCTTTAGTTATTTTGTCTTTAAGTTTTTTGTATTTTTTTAGGAAGTCGGTGAAGCACCATCGAAGACAAAGCAGTAATTCTGTGATAAGCACTCATGATAATAACGATTACAAGGGACGTCATCGGTGGTCATCGTCATCTTTTACTTCAGAGGATTCATTATCAGATGATGATTGTTCTTATGCAAGATCGAGATTTTCTGCTTTTAAGAGGTATTTCACTAAATTGATTCAGTAAGCATTTTTTTTTCTGTTCGGTATTTTCTTTTCAACATTCATTGTTATTTTATTGATAATTACTTAGATTTTTTTGATAATATTTTTGATGGTAAAATATTTAAGGATGAGAAGTAATCGATTAGAAACCGACCGCAATTTTATTCAAAAGCGAAATTTCGTCAAAAAAACTGATATCGATGTAATGGTAGGATTTTAATAAATTTAACATCGAAATCTATATAACTAGTGAAAACACCCATCGAATTGGCGTGCAGAATTGTCTTCCCAGGCGCCTAAGATCTCTCTATCTTTTTTTTGAGCTCTGCTGTATTATTTTCACACATCTCGATCCTTATAATTCTACCTCAAAACCCACCTACCTCTCTTATATCAAATCTCCTAATATACCATGTCTTTTTTCTTGCAAAATAGATTCTAGTTAAAACTCTTTGATAACCCTATATTTGTGATCTTTTATGAAAAACCTTTCACATACCCTATCAAATACCGCTTTAACGTCCTCCCATCCGCGCTGTATATGTTTGCCATAGTCTCTTAAGTCCTAAACCTTTATTTTCCACTACTTTCAGATCCAGCTCATTAATTACAGTCACACTTATTATTTCGTTTTCTTAAGATTCCGTCATATTTTCCAGTGAATTTTTAATTTTAAAATGCTCCTCACATCTGGATTCGCTTCGTTGGACCAGACAAGTTTTGGGACTATGATAATTTAAGCAGTCAGCATAACCGGATTGATTTTTGAAGTTTACTGCTGCCTTGAGCAAAAGCCCAGCATCGGCGCTCAGAAATGAGATCGATAATCCATCATCCAAATTATAAGTGCAAAGTAAAAAGAGTAGAATGACGATAACTGCGGGTATTGAGGAAATTTGAGCTGGAATTAATGGGTTTTAAGTAATAATTGTAAGAGTGCAGCAAAGTTCGAAGGGGGAGTTTGGAGAATATAACTTTTTAGAAAAAAAAGTATAGAGGCCTGATGAAAGTAATTATATTTATTTTTAGAATGAGTGTTTTCATTATTATTCACATATTTCTTTTTTATTTCATTTTTGTCTTTAATTTTCCTTGAGCATTTCAGAGTCTTTGTAAATTAATTAGTTTCAGGCACTAGTAGAGAATGTAACTGATAGTAGCGACAGTTCTCACAAATCTGCTATTAAATCGAAGGGTAATATGCTAACAAATTGATTTTTTGCAGTTTATTTTCTATGTCTTGGTTTAGATTATTTAAATAGAATAGAATATCACGATGTTTTTAATTGTTTTTATCTAATGTAATTAATATGTAATTAATTTTTTAAAGAGAATTTGCTGTTAACAAGTGCAAAGACACAACTTGACACTACATGTAGTCCTAAAGCATCATTTACTCAACGCTTGGAATCTTTATTGCAGGAAACCTCGTCATCTGCTTCGAAGGTTTTGTATCCTCTTTTCTTATTCACATCTTTTTGTTCAAATTCTTCATAGTCCTACTTTCATTGACTTTTATTAATCTTTTGAATTTTTAGAATAGTGAAAAAACAAAACATTTTGTTCCGTCGCCCTTTGCAGTTTTTGGTTTGTGCTTTAGATATTGCTTATTTTTGTGCATATCTTTTTTACGTTTCTTAGTAATCCAAATCTTTGAATTTTTATAACTTAAAATCATTTTTTTAAATTCATTTGAATTCTTTTTTTAAAGTTATTTTATTTGAATCTTAAAATTTATTTGAGATATTAAATGATTTATTTTTCAGATAACATTGATCATGCAGTTATATCAGCTTTTAACTCTACTAGTACCCTGCAGAGGTTAATTCTTTGGAACCTCGTTTGATTCTTCTTCTGAAAACTGAAATTTAATGAATTTAATCATTCATTTTTTTTTAGTTCTTAGATCTTTGATGAATGGAATCATTACTATTAAATTTTAATTTTAATTTATGAATTTTATAAATTTAAATTAGATTATAATTTTAAATTTGTTGTTAATTTACAAATTTTATGAGAAAAAAATTTTCTTGTTTAATTACAAGAATTTTCAGTTCCACAATTCGTGCTCCCATTCATGAACCGAATGCACCCATTCCATTCGCTGATTCATTGAAAAATTCAGCAGGATTTGCGAATAATGTAAGTACAATAACAAGTTTTTTATATTCGTGATGAACCTAAAATTAGCACTAAAATTTTCTAATTTTCATCTTTTTTTCCTTTTTCTTTCTATGTAATTTTGCTTCCTGGGAAGGGAAAATCTGAGAAAAGGTACTACGTTATGTGAATCTTCTAGCAAGAGAGTGGCGTAATACGCTGCAAGTTTCATACTAGAAAAACGGCACAATATATTTATTCAATAGATATTTATTTAGGGTTTAGAACAAAAAATGACCAAAAATGATGCTACCGGAATAATCTCCAAAAAATCTCCAGTAGCTTCTATTTATGACGATGATTGTATGGAACAAGAAAACACTGAAGAAACAACGGAAGAAAAGGTTTGGATACTAATTTTATCGACAATCATTTGGATATTTTAACTACACTATATAATTTTTGATGAGGATCTTATATTTTCTTGTAATTCAATTTGAGTGAAAATGTTACTTTAAGATTTAATTTTTTTTACGTACCGCTTCACAGTTTCTAAAGTTAAATAAGTTCCTATTATTGCTTTCAAATTTAGCGCAACAAGCGTGGAGCATACGTCAGCGCGATGTTCGAACATTTGTATACAGATCTGAAATGCGTGTTGGTTAAAGATTTGCTAAGACGATTAGAAACTGCTGCTTTTAAAAAACTTGATCAATGTTGGGAGGATGAGAAACAAGTTCAGACAAAAGTGATTATTGATGCATAATTTTTAATCGATTTTTTATCAGTAAATATTTAAATTAAATTAAAATTGAGCCCTTAATTTCGCAGAAGTTGGTACAAATGGATCAGCGAAAAAGTGAGAATGACAATAAAACAGATTCTTATTGTGGTAATGGAGTACCATTTGATTCGATGAAGAATGAAGAAGTGCCATCCTCTGGTCAAAAAACACCAAGGTTTTCCACTTTTTATCTTTTAGACATCTAAGGGCGCTCGTTATTTCTAGTTAGACATTAGAAAAGAATTTTGCATATTTTCTCGATCAGATGGATTTTTATGAGATTTTTGGGATTTTTATTTAATTCAAAAATAATAATATATGAAAAAATTGGTAGAAACTGAAGAGACAAACACTGGAAATAATGCTGTAAAAATTGTGATTTCTGTATAAGAATATTAGGTTTTTAAACTAATTTTAGACGATTTGTCTATAGTGCCTTTCAATTTTTTATTTTTTTTTTCAGTTCAAAAAATTCATTGAGTGAAATGCTAAGGCAAGTAAATGCACAGTCGAAAGCTGAAATTACAGCTGCATTTGGACCTGATACTGCTGCCTTCCTTGGGACTGGATTATTTTTCCAAGGTTTGATGCGCGGTATGCCTAGTTTCAAGAAGGTAAAGATTTTAATGTTTCAATGTTTTATTGGAAAAATTTTTATGTACTTAATTTTTTTATATGTACACTTCAAATCACCATTACTTTTTTCTTAAATTTTGTATGTATATTTTCAGTTTTTTATTTTCCATTTTCTATTAATTATTAATTATATTAGTGTTTTAAAGAAAAAATCAGATTCAAATTTAAAAAATGAACAAAGATCACGAAGCAGATCATTAAGCTCAAGTAGTAAATCACGCTCAAGCAGAAGTCGATCTTCAGATGAAGACAACCATTCTAATAGAGTGAATGATATGAAGAGGTTTGGTTTTGTTATTGGTTTCTGCACTTTATATTAGATCTTGCTATTTGGTATATGTATATATATATTTAATCTTTTAATTAATTATTTTAATAATTTTAATTTTAAATTTTTTTCAGTGAAACAAACGAAATTATGGATAGTTCTTCTGCTATAATTCACGATTTATTGCAAAATAAGGAAAAAGTTGAGCAAATTGACGAGAAAAATGTTTGTAAAAGCCCGTCACTTTTATCATCCTTGAACGACGAATCAGATGAGGCCAGTGAGAGTGACTATAGTGAGGAAAGTCGTCAAACTAGTAGTGGAATAGAAGATAGATCTAATCAACCTGTTCCATCATCCTGCAGCGAAAGAGATGCATCAGGTGAACTCTTTTTATTGATGGGTTCTTATTATGAAATTTTCGAAGAAATTTTAATTTAATTTTTTTAGATTTCTTTTTGGTGCATAATTTGAATTTTTCAGTGTTTACTGATGATAATGAAACAACAGTAAGTGACATTGGTACTTTTTCGGTCGAAAATGAAGATCAGGTCGTAGGGATGATGAATAATGCTGCAGAAATAGCACAAAATTGGTTAAAACTTTATATATTAAACTATGACTTATCTCTTTTCTTTTTCATTGTGATTACTTATTTTTTCAGTGTTGCCAATTGTGTGACCATTCAAAACAAATGTGAAGTTCTTAAAGAAATGGATCTTAAGGTTTTAAATTACTTATTTTTTCATTTAGGGAAGAGTTTTTTTGTTTTTGTTTATGATCATCCGATTATGATCATCATTTCCTATCATTTATATTTTTTTGAAATTTCTTCAAAAACTCATTTCATATGTTAATGTTAATTTACGAAGTGAATTTCTTCAAGTGAATATTTGTAGAATGCCCACTTTAAATCATTTTATAATGATCACTGCTATCTGGCACTGGATTATGAAAAGATGGTGTTCATGTCGCAGCCTTCTACTAGTGGACGACCAGAGTATCGGCTTGAACATTATGAGGCAAAAAGTTCGCCGTCAAATATACCCAAGGATACAAACTTTTCATTGAAGCGTTCTACAGTTTTGACACCTTATAATAGCATTTTATCGTCCAGTATTTCTGCGAAATCAGTCAAAATAAATCGGAAACGTCAATATAATGAAAGAAATTGTTTTCTGCCCCCTTCTTTTGGCTTGGATATTAAAAGTAAACCCGTCAAAAAATGGCCAGTTCGAACTGAAATCGAAAATGAAAAAATTTTATGTCAGATTTTCAAGGTTTGTCATTAATTTTTATTTTTCCGTATATTCCAGTTTTACAGAGAATATATTCTATTTATAAGATTTAATAAGATGCCATATTTATGCCATATGAAATTTCATATTTTTATTTCAAATTGTATTTTTGACGGAAATAAGCCTGTCATCAATAGCAGCTCAGATCCGAATGTTGCCAAGGATTAAAAGTTGCTAAATTGGACATAAATAAAATATATCAGTTCCATGCACAAGTCACTTAAAGAAACTATATGAAATGCAAAATGTTTATGAATATGATATTGCAGAATAATGAAAATATCATCCATATTAGTTTTGATTATTTTTGATATTTTTGAAGATATTCAGGAGGATATCGATGAAGAAGATCTCAGTTTGCTCGAAAGGGCTTTTTATGAGATGCAAAATGATGGAACAGATAAATGGAATCGCAATCTTTATTGGGTTCCTCCTAGTGAAGTTTTTAATGTTAAAATATTGGTAAGTTTTAAATTTCTTTATTATTATGGGGAAAAAAGTTGATTAGGTTTTTTTAGTTCAGTTTTAAGCACCGTTTGTACTTTATTTTTGTGCACAGTTGATTTGTGGTATGTAGATTTTTAGATTTGGAATCTTTATATTTTTTAAATAAATTGATTTTGTAACATTTTCAAATATAAGTAAAAACGAGTTGTTGATAAAAGTCTTTTAAGAGTCAACCACGAAAACTGGGTAAATTCGATCTATTTTTCGATGATCCCGAGGTAAGTTCCTTTTCTGTTTTATCGATTTTTTTTTGTGTCGCTTTTTTTTCGATTAGTTATTCGGTTATAAATCGCTTACTAAGTACTACTTATTTTTTTGGATCGGTAAATTGATTGCTATGATGGTAATTGTATAATTGAAAAAGAAAGGGAATATAATATTTACTTATTCGGCTAAAATATTCTGAAATGTTTTTCAATAGAAAGTATTTAATTTTCAAATATTTAATTTTTTCATGTATTAGCTTCAAACGAAATTAATTTTTATATTTTGATTTTCCTTATTTGAAATGGAATATGGAATTGTTTCTCAAGAGTTTTTTCAGTTACGAGGTATTGTTCCTCATCCTGCTGGCTGTATGCGTGCTCAAGGTTATTATAAGATGTCGAAGAAGCAGAAGCGTGGAATGAAGCGCCGTCCTGGTACTGGAGCTACAGAAATTAGTGAACGAGTTCGTATCTATTTTTTTGTACCTTTCAGTTTTTCATTTTAAATTTTTAGTTTTTGGCGTAATTTCAATTTTTCTTTCTTTCTTTCAAATTTGGTTTCATTTATCTTATTATTTTTATTATTTTTCAGGATGAAACAACTGTTCGACATTTAGCACAAGCAACTAGAGAAGCTCGTTCTATGAATAGGAGATTGCTTACTACTATGGGCGATGTTACTTCTGATTTTTTCAAAATAAATCAGCTTAAAGTAAGCTTGTTTAAATTTGTTCATTTTAAGAAACTCGTATTTTTTTTTATATTTTTACAATTTCTCAAAGAGTTATAAATTTATAAGAGTTAGTTAAAAGAATTATAATGTCGATCTAAATTTCTTTGGAAAAATGTATTTTTTCATAAATTTCATAAATAAATTTTTATTCATTGTAGTATCGAAAGAAGATGGTCAAGTTTGCTCCATCGCGAATACATGGCTGGGGTTTATATGCTTTGGAAGCAATTGCTCCAGATGAAATGATAGTTGAATATATCGGGCAAAAAATCAGACCAACTGTGGCCGATGAACGAGAAAAACGATACGAAAAACGTGGAATGGGCTCGAGCTACTTATTTAGAATTGATTCTGATAATGTGAATTTTTAAATTTTAAAAAATTGATAAGTTCATGACATTCTGGAATCATTATGCTTTTTTAATTTTCTTAGAAAAGAGGTTTTTTCAATATGCATTAAATATTCTGATTTAGCGGCTAAAAATAACTTCCTTTTTTTTCCCTAATTTCATCATATTCCGCCTTGGATGTTAAGTTGAGTTGTTGAAATTTTGCAGGTTATCGATGCTACTCAAATGGGTAATTTTGCACGTTTTATCAATCATTCGTGTCAGCCAAATTGTTATGCGAAAGTGCTCGTTGTGGATGGAGAGAAAAGAATTGTAATTTATAGCAAGGTACCGATCAGTAAAGGTGATGAAATTACATACGATTATAAATTTCCTATCGAGGAAGATAAAATTGACTGTTTATGCGGGGCCTCCAATTGTCGAGGATCACTCAATTAAAATTTTAGAGTTAATTGCATGGGCCAATTTTTTGCTAGAGCCATAATATAGCTGTGTATTATTTACTTCGTTGTGTTCCATTGTCCTTGTTCTTGTTCTCACAAGGCTCTTGAACTTGATTTAATCTCCCTTCAATTTTTTTTTTGTTAGGTTATTTTTTCATATATTGAAAGATAGAACTTCAATTTCATTGTGAAGCGAAATCTTTCCTTATCCGAGTAGTCCATATCTTTCCTTATCCGAGTAGCATTTCAACAATTTAAGATTAGAATTTTTCTCTAATCGATGCTTTTCTTTCATAGATCATTAGTTGAGTTACTTAATATATTTTCTTTTTGCGATTAAATTATTTTTTATGCATGATTGTTTTATTCATTTATTCATTTGCTTGATTAGCATCTTTTTACCTCTTTTGTAACAATATCATTGCCAATGTCATGTAATATTAGACATATTATTCGAAGACATTATTCAAAAGCGAATTGCTCGAGGTAAAAGTTAATTAACAGGGTAATGAAAATACCAAATACTTTGCTTTTTTTTCATTTTTTTCTCATTTATTCTTTTAAATATGTATGTAAAAATATATTTTTCAAATTTGTTTCGGAATATTGTTGAGATTTTTGAGATGTTAATTTTATCGGATTTGATATTATTGTCTGTTGTTATCGTTTATTTGTAATTGTTCATCGTCAGGTATTTTCATCTCCAAAGTTTCATTGTGATAAGTCATCTACATCATAACAATCCGATATTCCTATTTCATAGAAAGTGAGTTCAGTTGGTTAACTTATAATTATTATCGCATTATTATTAAATAAATATGTTATATAAAAATAAGTAGACGATGTTTCTTTTTCTTACGGCTGGATTTTAATAAATCGCATCAAATTTTTCCTCAAGGAAATTTTATTCTACCATTCAACGACCGGATATTGTTGAATTATGTAATTATATTGTGCAATTATGTAGTTTTATAAATAAATTGATAAAATAAATTTAATAAACAAATTTAATTTGAATAGTTTGGGTGGTAATTCAGAAAAATAATTTAATTTAATGTAAACCATTTCAAATTTTGGAAGATAAGACGAATTTCGAAAATGATTTCTGCTTTGAATTTTATTTAATTAATTTATTAAATCAGTCGTTTCTGTGAGTTTGCTTCAAGCGGAGTTCGTTTTCTTGGCGATCTGTTTTGTATTTTCATATAGGAATAATGTAAAAAAGAAGTGAATTTTTGACTGTCCTTTTATTTATGTAAAATCAAAGTAATTTGATTTGATTTCTTTTAAAAACCAAAATATTTTTATAGAATTTGTCCGGACAACTGAAAAAGTAATAATCATATAGTAATAATTATAATCAATTGTATTTATTAGGTTTTAAAGTAAATTTTAAATTTGCGGGTCGCATTCACTGGAAATATCGCTTGGCTGAGATCTCAGAATGTCTTCCTTTTTTCATTTCTTCAATGAAATTATGAAATTTGGCTTGGCGAAATGAATGTTTGCAGTTTGATAGCGGAATAATTTGATTTTTCTGCTTATTGGATTGCTTCATAAAAAAATGAAGTGGCAATTCAACAATGGTTTTATGTATTTATTAAATTGTGAATAAGCTAAAAAATGATTTTTTATACGAGGAATTTCGAAAGAAATAGACTTTGTTCATTTGATGTAACTTATATTTCTGAAGAGAAAACAAGTTTTTCTTCAAGCTTTTCGTATGAAAATACATCATTCTTCTTCATATTTATTTTTAGCTGAAAATATTTAAATTTATTGTGGCAAAATGATAAATTCGGCTTTACGAATACTTAGATACATTATTCAGCCAAATTTTCGAAAGTATTTTTTTCATCATACTTCAATTATCGCGGGTTTTAAAAAAGGTCGCGGCACGGGCGATCAAGGTTAATATTTTTGATTTTCCTTTTTTCAGTTATTTTTTCTTAGGTATTTTTTAATTATAGCTTAATTATTTATATGAAACAGCTTTTAGGCAAAAGTAGCCTATATTCGGGCGAACGCCGCTGGAAAGATGATAGCATATTTCATGCACTCGGAGCAGTCGATGAGCTCAACTCTTACATTGGGTATGCTTTTCCTTATCCACCATTCACTTGTCCTATTTTCACGCAATGCTCCTTCGTATTGGTTGTATTACGGCGCTACTAAAACCGTGTGAATTTAAACGAACTAGCGAATTAGCGAATCAAAATTTATTTTTTTCCAGAATTTGTCGGGAGAAAATATACAGGGAAGGATTATTCAGAGAAGCCGAGGTGTTACTTAAGGTTCAGTGCTGTCTTCAGGACGTTGGTTCGCACATAGCCACTCCGTCTGATGCGTCAAAGATTAAACAAGGTTCTGATTCCAATTTTTTTCCGTGATTACAGCGTTCGTTATGTGATTCCTTGGCACTCAGTCGTTTAGTCATCCAGTGACCATGCAACCATTAACGAAATAATAGAGCATCTGCAGATTCTACGAACTTTTTATTGGTTCGGGAAAATTGTTGGGGAAATAAATTTATTCGATGGAGAAAAACAAGTCAGAGTGCCATGTATTGCTGTCAGAATTACAAACATTTAATATTTGTGAAAATAAAGAAAATAAAGAAATTAGAAGCATTAATGAGTGCAAAAGCCGACTCTGTTCTTCGTTTTCAGTTTTTTAACGAAAACTAATAGAATTATTCGAAATATCTGAAATCAGTCTTACAATTCACCATTCAGCATTAGTATTGCATTTCTGCAGCCCCTTCCTTATTCGTTAATTTTTTTGTGTTTGCTTTGATTCTTTTAAAACTTTTTTATTTTTTCTCGTTTTTTATTTTATTTTTTTGATAATCTCGCATTTTGCATTTCTAAAGCGACGAATAACTTATTTTGCATTTTTCAGCACTTTTAGTCTCTCTGCTTCGGCCTAGGAAAGCGTGATTTTTGCCCGCAGGCAGTTTATAAATTCAAATTAGGGCGGTGAGCAATCGGGGTAATATGCAAAACATAGAAAGCGACTGGAAGCGACTGGAAGAAGTGCTATTTGCCGAAGTCAGAAATAAGAAAAGAGCACTTGTTGTTTCTTAAATTTTAGTTCTTACATTGGCTAAGCCAGAATTATGTTGTTATAGATCCACTGAAAAATAGAAATGAATAGGCTACGACGTGTGGATATTATTCAGTCATATTAACCTCGATTGCAGCAAATGCAATGTGATTTAAGTTTAATTCAGTTTTCAACGTGACGCAGTTAAGGTGCGATGATGGTGATGTGAGTAGCAAGTGCCATCGAGAATCGAGGCTTGGATTCGGACTCGTCAGTGCACCACTCTTCGTCGGGCGACTTGTCGCTCAACGGAAAAGGACTTCATGCATATCTGTCTAGTCGGACAAGCCAGGAGGGCGAGTCTGAGCAGCAATAGCAATAGAGCCTCTTAACTTTTCCTACTACTAGTTTTACAACGATGTTTTTTGGAAAAGAATAAATCTACTTTTTTTAAAATTTCCTTTATTTCTTCAAAAGTCTTTTGTAAATTTGAATGTATTCTAATGAAATGCGCAGTTTATATTCTTTCTGCTTAATTTTCTTCATATTTCAATTTTTACTTTACTTTTATATATATATTTTTTTAATAAATTTGCCTTCAGAAAAGACGAAGTTCGATGTCTCATTTTACAACTTCGTAAACGAACAAATTGATGTTTATGGTGACCGCACTCCTCCTCTTCGCGCATTCATTTTGCCTGTAGGCAACGCTTTTCTTTATAAATGTTTATTCCTCGTATTTATGAGGAAAAATGGGAAAAAAACTTTCAATTTTTGAAATGATTCATGTTACAGAATGATAAATCTTCGTCGCAAAAACCATTCATTTACTAAAAATCTTTAAAATTTTGAAGGGAGGAGGTGAATTAAGTTCAACTTTACAATATGCACGTGCCGTGTGTCGTCGTGTAGAAAGAACAATTGTTCCGTTGTTGAAAGCGGAAGCCATCGACGGTGATTGTTTACGTTTCGTCAATAGGTTCGCGTTTTTTCTCCTTCCTCCTTCCTCCTTTTGCGAGAGAAATTTAGTTATTTTTTTAGACTATCAGATCTTCTTTTCATTTTGGCTCGATATATCGCGTCGATAAGCGGAAGAAAGGAAGCAGTCTACCATCGTTTTCAGTCAGATCCAGAATCGAAAATAACGCAGATTCCATGAAAATTTAAACGAATGGATCCGGGGAAGCGCTCTCTTCTCTTTATTTAGCGTAGATTCATTTAGTTTTGAGTTATTTCGACTTCTTTCTCCTTTTAATTCTTCGCTTTTAAAAGCCGAGCAACTTTGAGTGGTTCACCGATTTTTGGTTTGCTTATCGCATGGATACACTTCTTACATTGTACAATCGCTTTAGTAATTAGTTCGTTCAGAAATACGCTCACTCATTACAGTTATTTATTTAGCGCATTATTCGATAAGTTATGAGGAAATATTGAAAATTATTTAGAAATTTTTTAATTTTTTATTCTTTTATTGCAGAATCATTTTTCGCCTATTATTATGTAATTTAATTATATATAAATCTTTTAGATTTCAATGAAGAAAAATGCATCGACTGAATCATTTTTGAATAAAATTTTATACAATGGGAATCAATTTTCAAATTTTTTTTCTCAAATTCACATTCACTTTAAATTTAGCAGAGGAAATCCCCTCCGTCGTGCAATATTAATTATCACCCCGGACGAAGCCCGATTCCTTCATCCCTGTTGAAATCAATCAAGAGGCCACCCAAAGATACTAAAAAAGTTGAAATGCTAAATGAATAATATAATTAACGCGACAAATGCTGAGAAAATTATTCACGGCGACTGACTGCTAATCTGCGAAAATATTCATTCGCTGACTTCTATAAATACGGTAAACTTTACTAAATAATAACCACATAAAGGAACAAAAATTTAAGTAAAATTACATAAAAAATGTATATATCGTTTATTTCTTTACGAAATTTCACTTCATTTCATAAACAAAAACATAAACAAAACCCGAATTTATAGTGAAAATGAAAATGTGATAGGAATAAAACATTTGAAATATTTCAAGCAGTAAATACACAGTTTTAGAGATTGGCTGTTGACTTGACTGTCGGCCATCAGCACGGACAAATTTGTTAGGAAGCTATGGACCAAATGTTAGGAAATGTTTCCTTTGAAAAGTGCCTCTTTGGAATTTGAAAATCTGACGAAAAGCAAAATGGTTGAATGTGAATAAGATAAAATTTCTAAATAAAATTGCATAAGCTGCGATAATATTTACAGACAAATACGTTAAATATTTTTATTTACAAAATGAGTTAATTAATGAATGACTGGATCTCAGTCGCTCACTTATACAAACTCGCTCGTTTGCTTAGAAAGTAAGTGACCCCTCTTGAAAATAATCCGAAATTAGGCAATTATTCAATTTTCATCAAATCACCTGACCTCACTTTCCACATACCTATTCATTCATTTATTTAAAAAAGCAAATAAACCACCACCACCAATTTATCTCGAAAATAATCGCCAAAAAATACTTCAAAGAGCGATGAGCAACTCGAATTCTTTTACGAATTTTTCCAATTTTCCATGAAATCAAATGAGCAAATTCAAAAATTCAGTTGATCAATCTCTATTGTAAAAACAGTTACTACCATTTAAAATCGAATAATTGAGAAAAAAATAAAATATTCGATAACAAACAGGAGATCTCATAATTAAGCTAAATAAATACATGAAGCGATCCGTCCATCTTTTTATCGCTAAATCAGACTGTTTCTATTTGAATGGATATTATCGATGGTTTTAATCAATAAAGTGCTATATCGACAGGTGCAGCTTCTCGACTCAGTCTTCCGCATCTTCAGTTGCTTTTAAAAAAATGAGTTGCATTTGAACAGTTTTTGAAATTCCATTCAAGAAGAAGTGGGAGATGAATTAGTTTTTACCATCGACAATCTGCAAAATATTATCCCGAAAGTATTAATTTTCTCACATATCTTTTTTAAGACATGAAAGATTAAATCTTACCAAAAATGTCTCATTTTCGGCTATCCTTTGCATCACCTTCTCTTCAAGAACAGAATTTCTTAAATATTCCAAACCAATAGTTGGAGTTTCTTCCTCTTTTAAGATTTGGTCTAAAGCTTGCCAACATTTTCGATTCAGTAAAATCGAATCATATGTACACTGTGCTTCAGGTAAAATTCGAGATAAGTAACTAAAAATAAAAATCGACAGATGATTCTTTGCTCGATTTGCTCAATTTCTGTAGCTTTATATAAGATAAGAAACGACTTGAAAATTTAAAAAATGTTTCATTATGGATACAATTAAATTTCATTCAGCTTATTCAGAATTATGAAATGTTTGCTGGCAGAATACGAATTTTTAAAAAAATATAAATTTGTATGATTAGCAGCCTTACAATGCCTTACCTCAATAAAAGCAAATAGGAAGAAGCCCTTAAAGCGCTAATAAGACAAAAAAACCTACTCAAAAACTGGAAGCGCAACTGTATCCATAAATTCTAGTTGAATTTTCGGAACACATGCTCGATCACGATCCATCATCTCGATGGGACGATTTCCCATTTGTTTTTCTAGATCGCCTTGCGAAAAGAATTCTTTATAAATATTCTCCTGTAATTTCACCATAAATGCCATAATTTTTTACTGATTTTTAAGAAGACCTACAACTAATTACAGCTAATTACAAAATAGCTGGAATCTGATTCTAATCAAATTTAAAAGTGAGACTGCTTGAAACTCAATCGTTTCAGTATGAAGCTTAATTTTTAGGAGTGACAAAGACAAGAACGATTGAATGAACTAACAGCGATAGCCTTGCTATTTTTAAAATCTTTGGTTTGATCCGAGAGGTCAGAAGCTGTCATTAAGAGACAAATTAATAAATAATGATGATTAGCTGAGGTACAGTCATATCCATCTGAAAAATAACAATTATAAATAATTGAAAAATAACTTAAAAGTTAAATCTTCCAAAAGAGATCATGAATAATAGACGATCGCTTCGTGCACGTGTTTTCAAATAGAGATAAAGGCTTGATAAGGAAATATTGGGCTAAATCGGTGGTTATTTGAAAGAAAAAAAAATAAACCTTCAACCATTTGCCGTATCCTATCAACTTTTCTTAAATGTGCAGCTATATCAGTCGCCAATATTATTTCGCGTATATTATCCAACACTAACTGATATTGCTGAATTAGTAAAAAGATCGATAAGTGAAAAGTGATAAAAGTGATAAAAAAAAATGAATAGCCAAGAATTGCAAATACCACTGGAATTTGGAAACACGATAAGCCGGATGGTTGTAGCTTAGATTAAACCAAAGTTCAGGTTGCTCCCAAGAATAAACTTATTATTTAAAAAATTCAAATATATTTTTCTATACCCACCGAAATCGGCGAACATTGAACATTTATCGTGAAAACTTAACTAATAAAAATTAAATACGAAAATTTATTCCTCGAAAAAACTCACGAACTTTTTCTACTTAGGAAATTTCAAAAATCTTCCACATTTTTAATGAAATACAAAAAAAAGAAACATGTCGGGTGAGTTGATCGAATATATTGCACTCCTCCATACTTAATATAGAAACTGTTTGTGCGAAATGATGTCGCTCAAGCACCGAGCCTTCGCTGCTATACAATTGTGCTAATGGTGTCTTCTAAAATTAATTAATTAAAGTTGAATAATAATAGTTTATTAAGTCGTCTTTGCTGGACGACCGAATTTTTAGGAGAAAGTAAATAAAAAATGAAAAAATCATAAGAAATTAAAGGGAAATACTCGTTTGTAATTCTTTCTATTTGATATTTAAAATTCAAAAATTTACGAAATTCAATGAATGAAATTTTATGAAAGGAACTTTCGAAAGAATTTCGACTCCACTAAGAAAATAAACTCTGAACGAATGGTAAGAGAAATACTAAATTTTCTCCCCTATTTAGAGAATTGAAGTGAATTGCAGCGAACTTACCTGCATCTCTACCCTCAAATAATTCTCTACTGAAAGGATCTGACACTGATAATCAATAATAATAATAATAATAATCGAAAACATTTTGCAGAATCAAAGCAGTAGTTTTATAATTTAATATTGATTCGAATAATGAAAAAATTTTCAAAAAATTAATTCAATCACGAAAAGTAAAAAACGAACTGATTGTAACTGAAAAGCATTCGTAGTACCACGATGATCAATGTCATGGCATAAGCATGCAACGAATAATGAAAGCCTTTCCAATTCATTTAAAGCTTTTTGCACAAAATTTGTTCGAATTAATAAATAACAAAAATGTGAGACGGAAAATGCATGAGACCAATTATGATAAGGCACGTCGCGATATCCTTTTTGAACCATCAATAAAAATCGCGCTAATGTTTGTCGACGAAGACGAAAACGATCTATAAAGCCAAGTTCCTGAAAAAAATTCAATTTTCACAAAAAATGAGCTGCGAACAATTTCGTCAAATGATCAAATTGTTAAATTACAGTATATTTACCGTTTTTTCCATCAAGAAAAAATCATATAATATTCAAACAAAATAAAGTTTCTGTGATCTTTTCCTTAAACAATCATAACTCTCTTGAAAATTTTTCAAGCTTTTGCCATGCCACTGTTGATTAGAACTGATGATTTTATGCAGAATGATAATTTTCCCTATTAACCAATTCTGACTGCTATGCTTCTTTCTGGTCGATTAATTCGAAATTCACTAATACACAACTCCGCAACACCGTACTTTAAAAAAAATTTATAGTATACAAATCACTGAATAACAAAAGGCCAGCAAAATGACTAAAATCATTTTTAAGTACAATTCGGGTTCTGGAACAAAATGGTCCATTTTGCCTAGCCGATCTTTACCTATTGTCGCACCCTCTTTCGTCATAACGCTCTTTTTTTGCAAGAGATAAGAACACAGCTCCCAACTTCCTCCATCTAAATGATTGGATACGTATTTTTTTTGCTATTTTTACCATTCGACCAGTGATACCATCATGTAGAAACGATATGCTTTCACTGAATCTCCTTCAAGATAATTTTCAAGAGACAATCTACGGAACTTGATGGCGAGTCGTTATGTGATACCATCTTCGAAATCCATAGCTCCAAATCCCAACGTCATAAATTTTTTGTTGTTGCATTATTCTGTCTTTATATATACTTTCTTTAAAAAATGTATATATCAAGTTACCTCGGAAATCGAAAATCTTTTTGCTTTTCTATGCCAAGTTTGATTGACAAAAGAAGTGAAAACAAAATTGGCCATATACTTAAAAAAGGAAGTATTAATGAGTACATGCAGTGGCATATAAAACCGGTCCTGCATAACAAAAAAAATTTCACTTTCAAATCGTAGTTTTAGCAAAAAATGGAAGAATGTTTGGTGTCCCAATAACTCAATAAAAGGGAATATATGGAGAATATATAAGGGATATAAGGAAATATATAAGGGAATATATGGAAAATAAGGGAATATACTGAAGTAAGAATAATTGTATTCTGAATGCTCCCAAATTATCGAAGATATGCGCAAGAATAATTCTTGAGCAAATATCACAGTGAAATCCGCGATAATGGTGGAAATCCTATTAAGAGAGTTCTTTAAATCAAAGCCGCGATAGACCATCCAATATCCAGAAAATAACTAGAAAATTTTTGCAGACACAAAATTCCAACACGAATTCACCGACAGAACTACTACTTCAAATCTTGAGGCCAATAAAGCCCGAGAGAAAAACTCTTCACATACTATTAAGCTTCGCTGAGAAGTGTTTTGAAAGACTGAAAAGACCTTTGATTATTTGTTTCACCGTTCTGCTTCACTGATTTGCACTGCTTTCGAATTAATTAAAGATTAATTAATTAAAGATTAATTAGAACAAATAGGGAACTTATAAAATTTTTCGAAATAGAACCGATAAACATCAAGATTATTCTTCTCTCTCCCTTGCCTACAACTTTTAACTATGCTACTCAATAGACGTTATCTGCTGGTAGACAATACGTGCACAAATCGGTCCAAAGCATATTATCATGGACCTTGAATAACCTAATGATGTCGTCCGTTAGGCTAACAGCTATGAGGAAGAACTGTCTGATAACACCAACGAACTGTCTGATAATACTTAATATTTAAATCAGAAATTATTCGATAAATTCACTACCGATTTAAAAAATATTAGTCCTTAGACGTTTCGGATCTACTCGCAAACCTAATGGCCAGGAAAAATCACAAGCGAAGTCTCCACAGAATCATCGCAAAAAACCATAAAACGAAAGGATATAATACGTGCAATTCTACGACTTAGAAACATAGCCAACGGAAATACAAAATCAGGAGACTGAGGAGCATATCCTCTCTGAGAGATCATTCTTCTCTGATGTATATTTTAGGCCAATCGAAGGCATCAAAAGTGGACACACAATGGCCAATTAAATTGATTTAACAGTAACTTCTCCATGTTCCGATTATTTTAGAGAATAAGCGTACATTAAAAATTGACAAAGAAGCTTCGATATACGTATCACCAGTGCCAATTGAACGAGGTGGAAAACAAAATTTTGTAAAATCCGGATGAAATGAGGTTGTGGTAGGAATGTCACGTCCTGTTAAACGAAGTATATCTTCAGCTGCTATCTGAAAAAAAAAAAAAAAACTATAGTGATGAAAATAAATCGAATTAGCGTGACATTCAAAATAATAAAATTTAAAATTTAAAGAAAGAGGCTTCAAAAACTAATATTAAAGATATAATAAGATAAAAAAATAAAATAAAAAATAATGAAAAGCATTTAAAAAATAAAATTATTGCATTAACTATACATTTACAAATAATTATGAAAGTTACTGATAAAGTTGAGCCTTGAACGAGAAGTTCAGCAGCCATGTGAGAACGACGATGAGCTTCTTGAAGTTTACGATAAAGAAGACACTAAAATCAAGTGGGTCGAAAGAAATTAAAACACAAAAATTAAACTTTTTAGCGATCTTTTCACTGTAACGTACTTTACTTGGACATTTCGAAATTATAAATTTTCTTTTATTCCATTGCGTATTTATGTATTTTCCTTCATTAATCAAATTCCTAATTTAGGTCCTTTTTCAACTATGATTTTCAATAATTTAATTCAATTATGAATGAAAAGTTAAAATTAAAAAATAAAAAATTTAAGGATACGATGACTACAAATTATTTATGGAATAAGAGCCTTCCAGAAACCTATAAAATGCTTCCTACTCAAATTCACCCGCAGTCCTCCGGAGGTATCACATAATTATCAGAACCAGTGCCAATTGAACGAGGTGGGAAATGAAATTCCGTAAAAGCCAGATGAAAGGACGACTTATAGTTAAGAGTCGCAGACCTGAATGGGCGAAAATTTGAAAGAATTTTTGCTCTTAGATCGCAAATTTCAATATATATATATATATATATATATAACAAAAACTAACATGTGATATACTTATAGCACAATAAACGGAAAAAGTGGCAGCAATTTGTTCATCATGGCTTGTAAACGATGGTTTTCCAATTTTGTTGCATAGCTCAGCAACGCCAACCAGATTACCTGAAATACAATTAATTTTTTTTGTACACTCACGCTGACAAACTGACTGTCCAGCAAGCGAGAAGAATACTTGCCCTAATGGTTAATAATGCTTGGCTGAGTTTTTTCATGTGTGAAAATAAATTCCAGAAAATCCAGTTTTTAGTTTCCTGGAATAAAAAAAGAGAAGCACGTGGCAAGAAATACGTTAAAATAAGAAACTATGAATTCACCTGAACTATCCTTTATGGGGAAGCAAAGAATATTTCGTGTAACGAAACCCGTACGTTCATCCACTTTTGGATAGAAATATGGATGACTGAAAAATATTCGCAATTTCATTTTCGTATTTGTCTGATTTTGAAAAAACCTCTTAGCCTTTCGTCCATTCGAAAAGAGAAACAATTCTAAAGCGCTATTGGGAATTCTCAATCGAAATAAATGAAACATTTGACTTTATCATAATTATTTAAATAAATATTCCCTTTGCCAACTATGTTTATATTTATTTCTTATGCAAATCATAAATTCATTTCTTTCTTTTCGCCTAAATTAAGCCAAATATTTGCACAGCAAATTCGACAACACATTTTCGAACTCAGCGATGATATCAACTTTAATTACCAAATCTCTGCTAAAATTATGATCGAAGATCGAAGATTGAGTCATCTTTCATATCATAAAATTTATATTTTCCCAAATACACTACAGAAATACGCAAACTGAATTTGCGTCGAAATCATTTATATATTAAAATTAATAAATATTAAAAAAAATATAAAAAATAAAAGTAATGAGTAAAATAATAATAGTCAAAATCACGGTTACTAAACTTAATAAGAATGAATTGAATGAAAGGGAAAGTTCGTCTTTTAATTAACTGATTTAGACTCTACCAGGTTTAAGTTCTAATTATTTTCAACATTTCTATTGGTTTTAATGAAAGTCGAACTCTTCAGTGAGTTACTGGCAATGTGACAAGCTAACTCCTCGTGGACGCAATTCGTTCAAAAAACTAACTTGTAAACATCCTTTACGTTCATCATTTGACCAGTTTGTGCCACATGGCCAACAATTCCTAGCGAGATCGGCATACGAATTTCGGTTAAATATTCATCACTTGTACCATTTTTTTCGAAAACCTCTGCCACGAGCTCCGAGTTCTCTTTGTCCAACAAAAATAACGAGCATCTATAAAAATAAATAACTGATTAAATCTAATTAATTAAATCTCTTCTGCATAAAAAAAAACGTATAGAAGAAATGAAAAAGATTCAAATTTATTTTTTGCTAAAAGAAATTAATCCACAAGGTAAATGCAAAGGTGAAAACAACCCAGTCGTTCCACCGACTAAAAAAAAGGTTTACTATTAATTAACTTGCTTATCTACTAGAAGTTATACCAAACTACTGCTTAAATATACATGCATAGGACATAGGCATAACCGTTTGCTGGTGAATTTTCGGCAGCGTTTTATAGGTACAGCTGAAAAGAAAAGAACTAACGTCTCGGCGTGAACCAAGGTCTTCGCTTCTTTCGTAATGTTCCTCACCAGTAAATTCATATCTTCTGAAAGTGAAAATAAACGTTGACAAATATCTGATGAAACACAGTCTGGTGATGCAGTAAATGTTTTTTTAAATTCTAAAAACTGCGATGATTTTTGTTTCCTTGTTCCCCCTTCGTCCGATAATTCTGAAAGTGAAATATCGCAAGAGTTTAATTCGATTTGGTCGGGCGATATGGCGGTAGCTTTTGTTGTTATTGTCGTACCATTTGGTAACGAAACAAATAAACGACTTGTTGTAACTGCTTTTATCAGCAAAGATTGTCGATCAAGTTGACTTATTTCTGAGATAACTGACGATGATGGTGAATTCACTGCTAGTGATAATGAAGGCCTCGTTAACTTTTCAATTTCATTGCTATCCTTTGACCTATCGACTAGCCTCTCTATCGACGTCATTTGACCTCGTTCTCGCTGATTTTTAGTCGCACTTTTTTCCATTAATAATAAATTTTTATCATTCTCAGCTGATTTTCTATAAACAATATAGCGAAATGTGTAAATGTGAAATGTTTTATTTTTTTCGTTGAAGATTCACGTCAGTAGCCGTCACATTTTCATGTAAACAAATACAAATTTAAAAAAAATTTTCCCATAATTCAAATCCTCAGATTTAATTGTTATTTAAATCATTTGATATATCTTCCTCAAAATTGGAAATTTGAAAAACGCTTATCTCCAACACCCTTATCGCTTATCATTTATCACTGTCAACAAATATTTTTTATAAAAATATTGAAGATAGAAAACATGAAAAAAATATGAAAATATAAAATATAAGTTTGCCATTAATGACAATAGAACCAAAAATTAGTATTTCGATAATGAATTTTGTTTTCTAAATAATTCAGTTCGAACCTTATCATTTATCACTTAGCACAGATGTATTCAACAATCTTATTTAAGCAAAGCACGTGCTTCGTAATTACATTGTACTCTCCTCTCTCTCCCACTTCAAACAACATTAAAACAGCACTTTGTGGTTTGGCAAGTTGCTAAGGTGAAATTCTTTCGCCAAAACATTACACGGAAGAAAGAAGTGGAAATGGATTTCCAGCATCACCTCAATTTCACTTCTAACGAGGGTTTTACTCCTTTTAAGAAACCTATAATGCTTTATCAGCTGAAATCTTATGCAATCTTTGCATATAAATTTTGCTTCACAAACGCAAACATGGCGATTTGTATTTTAAAATACATATAATTTTTTTTTATAATTTTTCTAAGATTATTTCCACATTTTTTTGAAATAATCAGAAAAAACATAAGAAAATGCCATCTTTCGATTATGAAAAGTGCTAAAAGATGATCAATTTGAAATTTGAAATTTGAAATTTAACTCGATCGAATAACTATTAATAAGCTATAAGCTGAATGGTAGTAATAAAAATTAACACGATAGGGAACTTTTTTTGAAGAACCATTTATGAGTAGAACTTAATACTTTATTACGGAAATTTATGACTGCCCATCAGCACAATCATTTTGGACGGCACATCTACGTCCGAGTGAAATCTCAAGCTGAAGACGTTGGCCTAAGGCAAAACAACCCTCGACCGCTCAGTCAGCTTTCAACTTTTAATAAAAATAACAACAGTTAAGATTTCTACTACATTATAAATAAAAATATCACCTAAATTCTAAACTTTTTTCTCTTTTCTTTTCATCGCTCATAAACTTTTTTCATTCAATTTTTATTTTTATATTTATTATAATAAATAAATAAATATAATAAATTAAATATGCGTGCAGTATTTATAGATTTACACTGTCATTAATCAGTCAGTGGTTTCAACGAGAAAAATGGAAATTAACGAAAAAATGGAAATTGCATAAGCTTTCATAATAAATACCACCCGAGCATATCGTCGGAGCATAAATCTCCTCGTACGCGCTTTTTTATAAGAAATTTCGCGAAAGAGAGAGAAACTTTAGAGGAATTGGGAAAATTAATCGGGTATATGTCGTATTTGTTCTTTAAATCCGAAAAAAAAGCTAAGGACATTGAATAAATTCCAGCATATTTTGGATCTCTTTTACAACATTTTTAAATAAATTTTACTAAAATAATTTTAATTTTAAAGATTTAAGAATTATTAAATAAATAAATAAATTCGATAATCAGTGCATAAAAATGTTTTTACGTAAATTTATCGGTGACATGACATAATAAATAAACAAGAAGATATATACATAAATCGTGATAATATAATCAATAATCAGATGTCACTATTAGCTAATATAAAATAACGAATAAAATATTTGTTATGAACCGATTGTTTTATTATGAACCGATCCTAACATTAAAAAAAGTGAAATTCTTTTCTCATTTCATGCTGATGGTACGAGTCATCCTCGACCTTATAATTAACGATTTTCTAGGGAATCTCTCATCCGGACTTTGGCAGAACCATACATTGAATGGATACCCCAGTGCCGGCTACTTGGTTGTGTCATTCGTGCATGCTGCTTTTATCCGCATCGTACATCTGCCATTATATATTATGCATTATGTGTTATCTGTTACGAGTTGGCTCTTCAAGACCTGTATTGTCTGCACCTTGGATCCCATCAGATGTGAAAGATTGTTCTTGCGTGCTATGATTAATACCTCAGTACTTTCTTTTAGTCTAGCTTTTTCCAGGTAGAATTCACTAGTGGAATTTTCCAATATCAACCAACAATTAGCTATCTACTGATGTGTATTCCATGAGCCTTGCCTTGGCAGAGCAGTTTTTTTTCCTATCGAGCTGGGTCTTCATGATCTCTTTTGTACTCTTTGGTATATGATATATGAAATATTGCTGTCTTCCTTGCCATTTTATCGCTTATTCAGTCTGCTGCTCTAAAAGCAGATGAAAAATATAGCTTGGAAGACAGATGAAGAATTACTTTCAGTTATGACATCGAATCAAGGACCTTTGTGGGCAGCAAAACCAGCCTAACCGGCACCCTTACTGGAAAAATATGTACAACTATTTATGTCATCTATTTTTTTACAGCTCTCACTGGTTTTACTGGTTTTGCTCGTTCTACGGACTTTCATCACAGAATCTCATGGGGTCTCCTCACCATCCATATTTTGTCTTCTCTAGCAATTTTATTCCTAGCAAATGCAATGGGAATCAAACTTGCAATGCTCGAAGCGAATCGAAGCAACCCTATTTAATAAAGGCTTCCATTCTTTTCCGAGCTTAAAATAAGCCTAGAAATAGACATATTCGCTAATTATTGCACATCGCTTGGTATATTTTTTCACAATTTTTCTCGTTTCTTAACGCTTTTATTGATTTTGCTGTACCACTACATACACATACACGCATATACTGTCTATTTTGCCGATGGAATAAAATTCTCTCCTCTTCAAATTACTTAGTTCGCTATAAAATCTGCCAGGTTAGTGACTACATGACAGCCTATAAGGATATATTTAAATAAAACTTTAATATATATTAGCATTTTGAATATTAAAACGATGCATAATAAAAGAATTAAGATGTGCATTACTATGCAAATCTGCAATCCCGAACAAACTCCACCTTTTACCATCCTTAGCCTCTCTGATCGTTTTATTTTAGACCTTGCATAGTAAACGGTATTTTAATAAACGATATTTTAATCATAAAGCAATGTCTAAATTTCGCTATGCATGTGTCGTGTGGATTTGCAACCTCGAAACTTATATGAATCTCCTAACATCGATTATTAAATCCTTATCATCTTTATCATTTATCCGTATTGATAATTCGAGGACGAGGAAATAGAGATCAATGATAGTATGAATGAATACAAAATTAATTATAAATACTCCAGATAGCCGATTTCATTTATGGCAGAAACAATTTGTATCCAAGGTAACATTTTTATTACGCTTAAGGCCATAAATTTACACATACACGCACGCACACACATACACACACACACAATAAAAATGTGATTATTGTCGCTCATAAATAATTAATACATTTGATTAAACTAACCCTTTATCAGTCACTAGAGAGTAGAATATTCGACTCGTTGTTATTCACAAAAATTCGAAACCTCTGCCTCTGAGAAGAATAAGCTTGGCTTGTCAATAAATCCGCTTAACCAGCTTAACTTTTTATTTATCAATTACCGTCTTCTTCCTTCGTTAAAAATCACGCATCATATCCTATTTGGCTGGCTGGCTTTACTTCCTTATGCTAGTGAGAGAGATTCTTCGAACAAATTTCTGCCACACAGAGAAAGGGAATATATGGATTTGCGGATATAACTCAGCAACTAATCCAATATTTACCGTTAATAGCAATGGCAATGCAAAATTTAATTTTCAAATTTTAAATTTTTTTTAAAATAATTTTTTATAAGCGAATTACATAGATTAAATATTATTATTATGATAATAGTAATAATATGCTGATAAAAAACAGCTTTTCACTGGATGAATGTTTTAATTAAGCGATATAACGATTATATTATCTATTAAAATCTAAGCTGGTATAATATTACTTGGAAGTAAATAGATCAAATAATGCATCGCAATGCCGCAAATCGACTAACAAAAAACAGCCTTAAGTTCGAAATTGATTTACATTTTGGTAGTTCCAATAGTATTTCTAATTTTCAAATTTCTAATTTAAGTCAATGATTCAGTTCATGATCTATTTTTTATTGACTTATCTACTTGATTAAGTAAACTTAAAAAAACCAGTGATTCATTGAAAAAATAAAGCAAATAGCCACAGCCAAAGACATGCACATACATCACAGATATATCAATATATCTATCATCCATTCCAACAATTCAACAATTTATCGATAATGGCAAAATTTTCAATTAATTTCCAAACTACCGACCAAGCAAACAATCGACCAATTCGCCGCTAACATTAATTAACAATGATCAATAAAATATGAGATTAAATAAATATTTAAATTAACGATTTTATTAATCGAATATCAAATTGCCTGATAATTAATTCTACGAAAGCGAATAGGAAATGATGGGAAAAATTTCTGGGTAAAAAAAGAGAAATGGCTAACAAAGATTGGTAGACAGTAAATCACATTTGTTCTTTTTCTTTCATTTTTTCTTTTTTTAATGGGAAAAAAATGAGAACGACAAATTGATTAATAGAAATGAAATTATTTTACATCTTTTATAATTTTTTTTATTTCAATTAAAAATGGTTGTCATTAAGATGAATCTAAAAAAATTTAAATTAAAAAAAAATTCGAAATTTAAATTATAAAAATTGATTTAATGATTTAATAATAATTATTAAAACTCATTTATTAAATATTTATTAAAAATATTTATTTATATTTAATATTTATTAAATATATTAAATTGAATGTTTATAAGTAAAAGTGATAATAATAAGAGTTATTAAAGGTAACAATTATAACACCAAGAATTGTGAAAATATGATAACAAATAAAGAAAAATTAAAAATATCAAAATATCATTTAAAAATAGATTAAAGATACTTATAATAATACAACTTAAGTGGCTAACTCATCGTTTCTTGTTAGATTTATTTCATTGGCTTAGGGAATTATTTGAAGATGAGTCGCCCATCTGACTTTTTTAATGACTTTATCCTTATTCTACTCTTACAAATGGCCGAATCACTATATCAGAAAAATAAACTGGACAACAACCATTCGGTTATCCTGCCGCATATTTTATAATACTATAATTTTTTTTCATGAATCAAAAATTTAAGGTAGTTTTTTATAGTGCTGTGGAACACAATCTAAATATATTAGTGGATTGCGAGTTATGTGACTTCGTCAACATTGCTCGCCCAATTCAAGAATAAATCTTATTTCTTGTGAAAATTTTTTCTATTTCTATTCTTTTTTAGCTGATAACGAACTCTTTCTTATCACATTAACAAATATGGAAGTACAATTTGATAAAAAATTTGAATAAAAAATCGTAATACTTAATTTTAAAAAAAAATGTTAGGAATTCCGATATAAATGAAATTTCTGATAGAAAATAAAAAAATTTGACTGAACAAAGGAAATTTGAATGTGAATGAATGAATGAAAATAAATAAGGAACAAAAAAGAAGGAACTAAAGGAATTAAATGAAATTCTTCTCAAGTTCTTCTTATCACCTATTAACAACTATAAATTCAAAAAGTTTCCCGCAAATCAAAAAATCCATATTTTCTCTTTTTTTCAAAATAGAAATTTTCGATGAAACTTGGTTTTTGACGATTTTGACTCCCTTAAACTATTTGATTGTTGTTTCGTTTGAAAAAAAAACAATTCAAAAATTAATCAGTTTTAGCTCATAATTTATAATTTATAAATAGAATATTCATCATAGAACTTTCGTGAAATTATAAGAAATTCTTACCATTAAATCAATAAGCCCACCAAATTATGATATTATTATAAAAATGATTGATTTTTAGTGATAATTTTAAGCATAGATTTATATTAATACCTACAACTCATTCATAACTCGTTAACTGATTTTAGTTAGTAATAATTAATTATCAATAAAGAAATTAAGAAGTACAATTAGTCTCCTCAATCATTATTCAATGAATGAAACTTTTAAACAAAGTTTTAAACAACAAAAAAATAAGACAACTTACGAAGGCTAGAGAAGACATTCTGTGCCATTAAGAGAAATATTTGACTTTGCCTGGCGAGTCGTTTTTGCTCTTCGACGTTTGCAACTATTGATAACAAAGCAGTTATCATGTGAAGATGCGGTAAAAGGGCATGACGTTCAGTTTCCATTGAACTAAAATACAAATGCACATGTCGTATTAAAAAATTCAAATATGGCAAAAATAAATATATTGAAAAATAAATATTTTTAAAAAATGAAATATTTTAATTAATGAGATAAAATCTCATCCGGAAGGATTATCGCTGATCCGGATTTCCTTTTTGAAGATCTATTTTTAATTATTTTAAAATTATTTTAATTAATCCATTAATCTTCAGTTGTAAAACCTCATGCAATAAGAAGAAATTTTTTTGTTCTTCAATAACAAAAAAAAATTTTTTTCCTAAGATTTAAACAAAATTTTCATCTTTAAAATTTAAATTCATATTTCTTTCCCGACAAACTCTATCAATAAGCAATTGTTTTAGTAAAATTCTTCAAACAAAATCCATTCGTCATTGTTATATAATAAATATGATAAAAATTTTATCTTGTAGAATAGAACCTTTCATTTTGATGTATCAAAAGAAGAGCGGCAACAAAATTACATCGAGCACGTAATAAAAATAATGTGCCATATAGTGGTGAATTATTAGCTGTTGACAAATTTCCACTTGATTTCTTTCTTGCATTCGCAATTAAATTCAATTTCTCTCTGAGATTCTACAAAAGTTAATGAAAAGAACTCAAACTAATTAATTATAAAGTATCCTCGTGGTTCTTTGGTTCTTAAAGAAAAAAAATTAAATCCAAATAAAAAAAAATCCATTAATTAATTCTCATCCTCATTTTATTTTGAAACATATTTCATTGCTTGATTGATTCAAAATAAATATGAAATAAAAATTTTCATCATCTTTGATCTCGAATAATCAAAGAAAATTACCCAAAAATTATTTCAATTCACTAATAATCTTTCAATAAAATTAAAAATTAAGATTTTCTAATAATTTTTTTAACAGAGAACGAAAAGAAATACTCATCCGATCCAAGATAAGCCATAAAACAAAACCTCATCTAAATTTCGAATATCAAAATACATCTGTGAATCAGCTGAGAAATTATTCTGTTCATCCTCAGAATCCGACCTTGCCGATAATCCATTTCCAGTGAAAAAATTGTGTAGTACACTTGCATCACCCTGGAAAAGAAATCGGGAAAGGAACAAATCAAAATTAATGCATCCCTTAAAGTTTGAAATCATTATTAAATTAGAGAAAAAAATGAATTTTCCCTCATTGTTTTCTCCTATTCTCCTATTATCAGTGAAAATATAAGAGAAAAATTATTGGGTCATAAGAAAATAAAGAATGTGAGAAGGACAAATGTGGCTTCAAGTGAGTCTGATCCTTGCTTCTTCAAAAAAAATTAGTAATTAGCAGCTAAAAATGAAATCAGGAATGAAAATGCTAGAAAATGCTCATTTGTATTTCTTTCCCGCATAACTCCCTGGATAGAAAAATAGATGTCACTCTTTAGTCAGCAATAAAGCACTTGCTATTTCCAGTAAGACTAGCTGGGGCAAATTTGCCGGAAAAGCACATAGGAATAGATGGAAACAGAAATTGATTCAAAGTACTAATGATCTAATGGTCGCAGTGTAGGCAGCCAAATTAGAAAATAAAAAAGAAGAAAAGATAGTAACTAACACAAACGATAGCATCATCGAGAAGAAAATCGCCACAAACCTAAAATACTTCGCAGATTATAAAACAAAAAAGAACATTCATACGAGGTAAAAATCTCATGAAAAAGGAATATCTTAAAAGGAATTCATGAAAATGATGTGATAAATGATAATATTGATAATATTCGAAGAAAATAAAGTCATATGGTAAATTTTACAATGGGCAATTATTAAAATATTATTAATATTACTATTAATATTCCGAAATGCTATATATATATATATATATATATATATATAGCCGTAAATATTAAAAATAGTAACGAACCTGACAATAACACGAACTGCACTCATTTGACAACAGTAGAAATGCAGCTAATTTCGCTCCTGTTTGCGACATGATCTTAAATTTACAAAATCATTTCGGCATATAAACGCGTCGTTTTTGTGCTATTTGTTTGGGGTGAGGAGAGTCGAGTGGCTGATGGTTCATACTCAAACATTCGCTCCTCGCTTCTCAACAAAACTGACGTAGTACTGACGATCCACTCGCATTTTCCACTGCCAAGTGATTCCCTAGCAAAAATTTCTATTCGTACTAAAAGTTAGTGCATCTAGCTTAGCTTAGAAATAATAAGTGCTGTCAAATTACTTATCCTTCACTCATTTATTTCTTCTTCTTTAATTTCCTTTAATCATTTTATTAAAAATTCACTAAATAAAATTTAAATATATGAATTAAATAAAGGACATAGGACAGTTGAGAGTTTGCAGCGACACTATGCGAATGTTCGGACGCTATTTTCGACAGCATTAAACCTGCCACTAAAAAATATGAGGGAATTCATCTATATTTACTCTCAACTGACAAAAATTCTCTCAATGAAGTGAAACTAATGGCGAACAACTCAATTTAAACAACTTAATTTAAATAATTTACAAAAAAATAATAAAAAATAATTAAATTTCTACCCCCAAATTCGCATTCACATTCTCAAATACTCGCTCGACCGATTAACCGACTAATTGAAAATATTTTAAAATTAAAATTAATTATAATTTTAAGATGGAAAAAGGAAAAAAATTTTAAGGGAAAACTAAACCCATGTATTGATGACTTGTTGAAAATGTATCATATCTGGATGTGCAGCGGCAATATCTGCAGTTAGACGATTTATTTCTTCAATAATTGAATATTTTGGCAATTTTCGTAAAATATTATTTTTACTGAATAAAATATTATCATCAGTATCATCATCTTCTTCTTTTTTTCTTTCTTCCCCTTGTTTTACTTCTTGCTGTTGCTGTTGCAGTGACATGCTTGCATTATTTAACAAACATGACTGAGTGTTTGGGAAGGAAAAAAGTAAAGAATTATTCGTGCTTGGTGATGTTGGTGAACTACTGCTTGCAAATGAGCATTTATGAAACGACGTGCAGTGTTGCTTTGGATCACCTATAACACAACCATGACTATTACTATCATTCCGTTGTAGCAAAAAACCATAATTTTCATAATCTTGTTCCTTTTTTTCTTCCTCATCCTCCTCCTCATTCGTATCGGCATCACAAACAACACGTAAAAGTGGTACACATTCCATCTTTGTGTCTCCTAATTCAATTACTCTATTTCCTTCTGAACAACTCTTTTGTTTGTTGATAATCAAATTTTGCTGCTTCGCGCTTGAACTTTTTTCTTGATGGTAAGTTGATGATAAATGTGATAAAAGCATATCACTAGATGATAACCGTTTTTCTTTTTCTTCTCGTTCACTAAAAATATTTACAATAAATAAACAGTTTATCATCTGTTTACTATTTTGCTTCAACTAATTTGTTAGAACAATAAGGGTTCTTAACCTAAAACAGTTCACTGCTACCTTAGGAATGCTTTTTGATTTAAAATATTCAAAAAAGAGATTCACAGTCTTCATTAGAATGTCTATCAAACACCCGAGGATCCAAGACAGCAAAAAGGCGAACCACAATAAATAATTCAACAAATGGTTAGAAAACGAACGAATTAAATATAAGTGAAATGATGTGTTTTTAAAATAACCATAAAAAATGATTTAAAATAATGATTGCTGATGTAACGATTATTTTTATAGCTAAGTAGTTGTTTTATTTATTTCTTGATATGAAGATATGTTATCTCTATAATGATCTCTATAATGTTATCTCTATAATTTTAAGACAATTTAAAAAGAAAGAGAAGGATGGAGGAAAGGGAAAAAAGGAGGTAAGGCAAGACGAGGGTTTTATTTCTTAATAATTTATCAATAAGCTTACTCCATGGTCGTTTTCTATCTAAAAATAAAAAACCGAATGAACACGATCTATTGATCAAATTGATCATTTATCAGAATATTTCACCTTTTTTTCTTTATCAGATTATCAGTGAAAATGAAGGGAAATTTTTAATAAAATATAAGACCACTTCAAAATACATTTATTTATTACAATAATAATCGAAGAAAGAATTATAAACCAAATGACAAATTGAAATGAAAAATAAGAAAACATTCATCATACATATGAAATGAATTAACCTCTTTCTAATCAATGTTTAATGTACTCCACCAAATTATTCATAAAATTGGAAAAAAAAAGAATTCGGCAAAAAAACAAGAATCAGCGCTTCTAGGATCGCTCAACTGGCTTTTACGTACAAAAATAGGTCATTTGGCGATAGAAATATAGGTGAATTTTCCAATTTAGATTCTGTTAATCCAGATTTTCGATGATAAATTCATTCCCTTTCAACGAGAATGTGTGTCCATCCATGCCTCAGCGTGAGCGAGTGACTGACTAAACTGATGTCTGAACAATAAACACTTGGCTCACTTCCCTATACTTAGATTTAAACGAAAACTATTGGCCATAAATAGAATTAATTAGTTTATCATCGAATGGGCTGTTTAAGATAAATTTGTCCGATTTATGCCTTGTATAAGTGGAGAGAGAAACGCGCTGGGCAATAATACTTATAATGCCTAATGCATATAAATATATTCGAGGGCACCATTATTCTTCTCCACATATTTTATCATAAAAATGAAACATCATCCATTTCTTCTTCTTGAAAATAAACTTTAAGACAAAAATAAAAAAACTTATTTATTAAAATAGAAAGAGAAACATAGAAAGAAAGCAAAGAAAAATCAGTTGAAAAAAACATTGATAACTGATAAAATTAGTGTTTACTTCGAAAAATGCGATAATTTCCGATAGTTTCCTTCATTTTTTGCTTTTCTATTTGAAAATAAATTAAATCTTTTAAAGGAAAAAAAACAAGATTACTTAAGATTATAGACTAAACATTATTAATCTATCGATATTTTTCTATTTTTTTTTTAAGAAATGTAAATAAATCATTCGACGAGACTAAACAAATTCACTGCTTTATTGTCGTATAAAACAAAACAAATTGTCCTTGTCACTGATAACCTTTTTTATCACTAATATCACTTATCAATTCAACGACCTTATTACTTCTATTACTTCTACTGATCCGTATCATCTACCTTCCATATCTCTAACAATAATTAAGACAATATTTCTGATGAGATTCACTATGCTTGCTATTGATGGTTAGAAATTTTCACCAGAGAATTACCTAAAAAAAGAGAGAGAGAAGAACAGGCTTGCCATAGTCACCCAGTTTTTCATGATAAGTACTCCACTGGCAACAGGATCCGAACTTTGAAGTTCCATACGATAGTCTGAATAAAAACATTCGACTATTTTTGCCTCAACTCAAACCTAATTCAATTATCCATATTTTATAAAATGGTTATCTTCTATTAATTTTTATTAATAATTAAAAATGAAATAATTTATTATTTGATTTTTTATTATTTATTAATAAGCATTAACAGAACTAATCAAAATAATAAAAATAATGACTTAAAATAATTTAAATAAAAAATAATATCAATAAATCAAAGCAAAATAGAGAAAAGAACAAGAAAAATTTGCCTATTTTAATGAATGAAATTTTAATAAAAATAATAAATGATACTGAACTTTTTTTAAGAAGAAAATGAGTTGTTTGCAAAAAATTTAACTCGAACAACTCGGAACAAAAAATAATTTCGAGGCTACCTTATCGGTGTTTTAACAACAACGAGCGGAGCGAGCCGAACTGAAGAATAACGATTCCAATTCATTTTCTATTGCTTTATTGCTTTATAATAAGGATAATAAAAGGCCAAAACGATTATTCGACCATTCATTTCACTCGTTCCTATTGAATAAAATTTTTTTATGAAAAATTGGCTAAAATGCCGCTCTCAATTTTGCCATCGTTCAATATTTTTCAAATACTGAACATTAAAAAAAATTGTATTTTAATTAGATAATTTGCGATTTCCACGACGATTATTCAGATATTAACAGATATATAATCCACAATGCACTACTGCTCGCAAGCAGCAATGCTGGCAAGGAAATATGCTATCTTTCAAAATCTACGTGATATTGGTGACTCAAACTTGACCACAACATTAAGTGACCACTTCTTTTTTTTTTGAAAAACCAGCTAAGCAAATCTAACCAAAATTACTAATCACTTTTAAAATATATATATATATATATATATAAATGCTAATTGTTAATTATAGTCAAATAATAAATTGAAAACATATGGATTCGATCTGTTTATTTATCAAGCCCAACATGAATAAAATAAATATGAAAAATTGGAAACGCTGAAGATGATTTCTATCTCTGCTCTTAAATAATAATACCATAGCGAAAAGGTTCATAGTTTATGGAACTAAGCAGTAGAAATTGGGTGCTAAAAGAAGAAAGAAGAAAAGTGCTAATGATGAACATTTTCATCGTATTTGTTTCTTTAACTGCTTTATTTCCTTTCTTCATTACTAATATTTTAAACGAAATTTCTAATTTTTTTATCTCTGCCAGTATTGCTATATTTTAATATAAAAGAAATTTTTCATTTTCTAGAAAACTGATAATCAAATCTTTTATCTTTTAATACCTAAAAATTCCAATGAGCTTTGCAGTGAATAACCGGACAATTTATTTTCATTGGGACGAGTAGTACCAATGATAAAGCTTATCACTGAATGAATGTCTTCGAAAGATATGATAAAAATATCATAAGATAAGACAAAGATATCCTTTTGCTACAAATAAAGCGAGGATCGAAAAATTCCTATTTATTAATATTCATTTATTTAAAAAAAAATAAATTAAGGTAGAATTAAATTTAAAATAAATTTAAAATAAAACAAAGTTGAACAAAAGTAATCGAAAAAATGAAAGAACGGAAAGAAATTAGAGAATATTGATAATGAGAATCAACCTGGTCACTGGTTACTACTTTCTACGATTATAACATCCGACAAAAGATTAGCAAAACAAAGACAAATTTTAAAAAAAGATTTAATTACTCGAATTCGAACTCATACGATTTTATCACTGCACAAGTGACCCTGTGATAAACTCTGATGTCATAAAATCCTCATGGTGACAGATTTAATAATTTGTGGAAAATAAGATTATTTCCTGTGTTATTTGTAGTAAAAAACTCAACGCTCTATAAGGAAAATCTTTCAAAAATTTATCTGCTCTTAATATCTTCCAAATAATTTAATATTTAATAATATTTTAAATAATAATATATAATAAATAATAAATAAAATAATGAAATCCCACGTTAATTAATGGTCAAAAAAGATTAAATAAACCGGAAATCAAAAATTCTCAAATAAGTACCAACCATTTCTGCTTTAATTAACTATAGCATGAAATCTTTTTCGTCATATAATTGCTTTTGAATAAAGATATAGGAGGCTAATCAAATTATGTTTTTAATGATGATTCTCAGTAAAGGAGGGATCGAACCAGTCTTGCTTACTTGCTTTCAGACAGATCACTCGACTATCTTATCCCGAAAATTCATTTTTCCAAATGGTTTGAGATGGCAATAAATGAATATAATTGAGAAATTGCTAAGGATAGCCAAATGACTCGGATTATAGTTTGAAGAGGTAAGGATTCGAATAATATCCTCGGCAGAAGTGAACTCATTATTGAAAATTTGAGTGGTGCTGATGACCCATTTGTACTTCTATCGCTAATTTCCCTAAAACTTTCTAATCGTACTAACAGCCAGCAGAGATGGTCTAAACAGAAATAATTAGCGCTAAATTATTTCTTAATATTTTTCAATAGTTTAAAATTAAAATTATTACATCAAATTTCTTATAATTAATAGATCTGAGGTATTTTTTTAAACTGAATTATTTAAAGTCACTAATAAAACGGCACTAAAAAACGAAAAAAAATTCATATTTCATTCAAGTTTTTTTTAAATTGAAAAGAAAAAAATAGAGTAAAATTGCATACCTTTGTAATAAACAAGTTTGAATGGCTTGTTCCCTTCGTTTCCCTTCTCCTTTTCCTTTTCCTGTCCGTATCCTTTCATTATTCATCGAAAGGAATGAAGTGAATGAAGGTAAAGTTTTTTTTTCATTCCTCTCCTCTTTCTTATAATTCATAGAAATATTATTCGAAGCAATGGATTCAGTTTTTTTCTCTTCCTTTCCCCTTCGTTGTTCTTCTCCTACTTCTCCTTTTCTTGTCGATTTTGATGGAATATTTTTGCGAAATTCTACCAATATATTAGCATGCATTATATTTAAAATTTACAAAATATATACTATCTAATAAACAAAATATGCAGAAAAAAGATGAGTATCATGCTATAATATGCTTAGACATGCATAAATATACGATAGCAAGCTCGTTTATGATTTGTAGATTATTTGGAAATGAGTAATACGAGAAGTACATATATCATGATTAATTCTGCAATTTTACCAAAAATATTTCCTTATCTATCCATTAATTTTTTTTGCTAACAGATTCTGATCAAGTGATTGCTTTTCTTAGCAATGAAAATCGAGAACAAATGGGATAAATGGCATGCGAAATAATTAAGTGAATTTTGCATAAATAATATTTTCCTCAATTTCAGTTAACAAATTAATGCATTAATAATAAATATTGAAATATATATTATTATAGTACGGCAAAAACTGGATTAACAGTTCAAATGAATTAATCTAATTATTCAAAAAAAATTTCATGTAAAATTCAAAAAATATAAAAAAACTTTGAAAATCAAATGGAAATAGCAATTTTCAATTAAAATTTGAAAAAAATTTTATTTTTTATTTTATTTATTTTATTTTATTATTTTTATTATTTTTTATTTTATTTTTATTTATTAAATTTTATTTATTTATTTTTATAAAATTCAAAATCAAAAAAAAACAAACCAAGTAATTGATGAAATAACGTATGATTATTGTTATTGTTATATTCATCGAGTGCTGCTGACTGCTTTCGTGATTCGATATCTCAAAAAATAATTATTATTAAAATTTAATATTTTTAGAAAAGAAAAATAATAACCTAACATAAAATAAACCAATTTAATGCTTTGCATCTGCTTCGAAATATCTTAAATCGACATAAAAATGAATATAATTAAAAGAATAGAGAAGAAAAAAATTTATTCACTTACCGAGATCGGATAAGCTATCAAATGATGCTAAATGAAATTTTTTCTTATCGTTGTTTATATTTGTTTTATCAGCTACACCATGATATATAACGCTATCATCATTAATTGTCGTTATCACTTTATGCGAAATTCCTGGTGCATTACTACTTATTGGTGAAATTTTCCGACGATTTTGTTGATATGTGACCACTGTATATGGACCTCCACTCCCAATGCCTCCTCCTCCTACATTTGTGAACTGTGTTCCTTAAAAAAATTTGCTTTTAAATCGGCGAAAATCAAAGGTTTTTGCAAGTTCAAAATTTTTATTAAATCAAAATTTTTGATGATTTAGAAAAAAAATTTAAGATATGAAGACTAACCACATGATGATATGTGCCGATTTGTAGCAGAAGTATTACTCGTAGCAGCAGAAGCATTCCTTTTAAAACATCTACTCGTTAAACATCCGCCGCCACTGCTTTCACCAGTGCTACCACGACGATCATTAACACTGTTACTGCTTGTACCGATATTTCTTCGTTGTTGACCCACTAACTCGTCGGATTGTTGCTGTCTTGTGCCACAGCACAACCAATCAACAGCACGTGAAAAAGCCGTTGTGTTTCTAAACACGTAATTCATGAAAAAAAATTTATTAGAAAGTTTTAGAGAAAAATAAATAGTAAGAATAATAGTAATAAATAGTAAAGAGTAAATTATTTGAATCACATTTTAGCATCATTTTTATTTCTATCAACTTCAGTTGAAACCTTCTTAAAATAAATAAAACAGCGCACGGATGGCCGAGTGGATATAGTGACGCAACTTTTTTAATATTATAAAATTGTTTTTCGATAAAAGTAAATCTGTTATTAAAGAATGAATGTGGATTGCATTAGCGTTACTCCTATCTCTATGCAATTTGCTTACAAAAATTAGCCAAGGAAAAAGTCTGATCAGAAATGATAAGTTGATATCACTTCTACTTATTTACAGAAGCAATTTAATAATATTGTTCTTGCAACAATAGACGAAATAATTTCGACATTATATTATAACGAAAATAACTTCAAATTTCACCTAATTAAATATTAGATGTAGAGAATGGCTCAGCAGGTTACTGCTCTCATTTTGGAGAGCCGATTCTGGATTTAAACGCTCGGCAGGAATGAACCTATTTTTCAAAAATCCAGGCAATGCAGACGACTCACTTATATTCCTATCACTATATGATTAAATTCCTGGCAAAATTTATTCGAAGAGAGAAGCTAACGGAGTGAACCGAACCAGAAAGGTTGAGTGCAAAAAAATTAAACAAAAATTAAACATATTTTAATCAACAAAAAAAAAGAAAGAAGGGAATTTTAGAGAACCAAATGTCGAATCAAATGCAACAAGAATGTTGCTAAGGTAAATAAAACAAAGCAAACGATGCAATGAATTTCATAAATTTTATAACCACAATGTTTTTGGAGAAATCCTTGATAAATGATGGTACTATTTGGTGCATCGACTCAGGACTCACCAGAAACGATACGTACTTACTTTTTTTCTTATTATCTTTTTCTAATAGTTGGCTGTTGGTTTCGTTGGTTCAACTGGCCACTATGATAAGACACTTCCAATAAAATAATGGCCACTATGATAAGACACTTCCAATAAAATAAATCTTTTATAATTTTCAATATCCGATTCTCGTTTCTTAATTAAAGAGCTATATGTAAGCCATAAATAAGACGAACTGCCAAGCTGTGACTGCCTTTAAATATATTATTTACATCTAATTAGACAAATTATTTATATACAATGCAATTTTTAAAATACAATTTTGATAAATAAAGATTTAAAATTGGTTTTCGAAATTCGATTAACTGTAAATCTAAACTCTAAAACTAAAACTAAAAAATTATAAAAGATTTATTTGTATTTTTATAAAAGATTTATTAATACATATTTATTTATCAACATATTTATCTTTAGCTACATTCCCATTTCAGTAATTTGATTTACTTGTATAAATGGAAAATAAAAAGGTTCGCGCAAATCATCGTATGACCTATAAATGTTCGGATTATGAGAAAATGCGCGAAGAACGCGAGAAATTAAAATTATTGCAATAAAAATAAAATGATGATTGAATGCAAAATTTATGCTTCATTAATTGCCACCGCTAGCCAAGTATGAATTATTTAAGTTATCGATGCTTTTCATAATATTAAAATCGCAAAATAATATGATAAAAATAATTTTCATTTCTAGATTATCTCTTAAAAAAAGCCTATTTATCGAAGTCATTTTAATTTAATCTTTCGATAGAAGCTGTTAAAAACGAAATTCGGATGGCCGCCGGAGATGCACATTCCTCACTCCGAGTGACATTCCAGGATTCATCTTAGCAACCAATGAAGGCCTAAGTAATCAGATGATAGATCAAGAAGACAGACTATACTAGTGGCACATAGTGCTAAATAGGATGATAAGGGTGCAAAATAAACGATACTTGGTGGTTATCCGACACCACAGATAACTATCGTCGCCCAATTAGACACCTGGCTCTGCCTATAATGACGGCCTCAATCGCGCCTTTTTCTTTCCTTCTCTCGAACTCTCAGCATTCACAAGCGTTCATCGGGGCATCATTATAAGTTTGGACCTTCATCGCGTATGAATGAATGGTATCGGATAAGTGAAAGGTGTAAAAGCAAAAAATAATGAAAAAAAATAACCTTACGAGATCAATTAAGTGATTGCCGTGAATGAATTATAGATGAATTAAATTGAATAAATAGCTCACGCAATCACGTTTGTCGTTCGTTTCGCCACGCAGACTTTTTCACGTTTTTTTTTCACGCAGTTGATAAACAATATGTTTGATGAATTCGTTTATAGTTGTAAAATATTGATTTAATACTCCAGTAATTGGAAACGAAATTTTTCTACGCCATTTCCTGCTGTTTTTTCTTTAGTTTTTTTATAAGTTCATGAAATCTTTTTTCGATTTTTGCTGAAATTTATCAAAATTTAAGAACAATCAAAAAACGATCGAATCATGATTATTAATATTGTATCGATTATGCATGAAACGAGTCCTTATCACTTATCATAAATCATCACTCCTTATCACTTTGAAATAACGCTTGAAATGAAAAGAATGTAAGATATTCTTTAAACACCGTAGACCGAGTTTCAATATGATTAATAATGCTTTTTCAGCAAAATTCAACACCAAGCAAAATCTATAAATCTCTCATTCTGGTAGTTGTTGGTTATCCGATACAATATCATTGTCACATACACTTTCGTACTTGTTGGTTATCCGATACAATGTCAAACACACTTTCGTATTTGTCAACTATCTGGTATAGACAGCATATATTTATATATCACATTTTAGTATTTATCAGTATTTCGCAATATCATGCGACTTTTTTATTGTCGAGAAACAGCGAAATGGAGAAGGGTTCCAATAACCGACAAGCATCACATTTCATTTCATTTATTTCATTTAATGACAAGAAAAGTAATTTTATAGTCGAATCATTTTTTTAATAAATATTTTAATTGAATTTTTATCAAATTTTTTTAATCAAAAAAAATAATTATCGATCAATTTATTAGTTCATTCTAATTCATTTCAACAACGGTTCATTTTTCATTGAGAGAGAAAAAAAAAAACAAGGCAATTTTTATTATTTAAAAAATAAAATAAAATGATTAGTGCTCCATATTTCAAGTTAGACTCGTCCCACTGGTTGTGAGAGAAATTGCTGAGAAATTTGTTTATTCGGGGAATCAAGAGGAGAGAAAATTTGTAGGCCGGGAATCACAGGGAGTGATGGAGTAACGCAGATCCTCAGCTAGTCGGATTTTTTTAATGACAAATTTACTCCATTTGAAGGAATAAATATAGGAACTTGACGCTTCAGACGATAAGCCAATAAGCACTCAGCTATCCTAATCCCTTTTATAAATGAAGTAAAAAAATTCATACAACAAATTACAAAAAATATTTCAAAAATAAAAATTTATGAAGTAAAAATAAAAAAATCCTAATTTAACAATGAAAAAAATCGAAAGAAATTTTCCAATTTGTTGGTCATTTTTCATTCAAAAGACATCTATTTTTTTTCTTATGGGATAAAAATGAAATTGACTGAAATTTTCTAATTTTGTTTTTATAGTTCCACTATTCAATGATGACAAGAGAGTCATAAAAAGTGAAAAGAATAGGTAACAGGAAAAGCAAGGAACCAAAAAGCGACGGGGTTAAAAATTGCACAGTTCTTGTAAAAAAACGAGGTCTTTGATATGAAAAAAATATCAAAAAAGTAAAACAAAAAAAATTTTCTAATTTTCTTTCGAAAATTCAAAAATTTTTTCATTAAATTTTTCAAAAAATCTATTACTGTGAAAAATTTTTTCCAAAATTAAATAAATTTCTATAAAAAATTTAAAACATCTTCTAAAAAAAATAAAAACCAAATTTTTACTTTTTTTTCATTCATTTGTACTTTAATTTTTACGTAAATAAGTGGTTGGCATTTATTCTTTCTGGTTCATTAGCTACTTGGAAAATTTCTGCTAACGAATCACTTTTAAACAGAAATATAAAAATTGGTCCCCAAAAACTCTCCACCGCCCACGCGCTTTATTCCAGTTGGGCGAAAGATCCGAAGGATTTTGATGCTCCAGACGGCAATCTTAATAATGACCATCCGGTTATCCATAAATTTTAAAATTTCGAAAATATATAAAAAAAATTAAATATAAAAAAGAAAAAAACAAAATAGAGTAACAAGTAACGTAGAGAGAGATGAATGATTTGATAAAAATTTTTGACAAATCGATAAGATCAGTCAATAATCAATAAAAAAATTCTTTTTCTTTCGCTCAATTGGTACTTATGGATTCGACTATCAGTAAGTCTAAATCAGTAAATATCTACTGAAATAATTAGATGCATAAATGACTGAACAGCAATGGAAATTCAGAAAATCAAATAAATCTCAGAAATCCTATGGACTATCATTGATATTCAAAATATATACAAGTGTACAAATATACAAGTGACTATAGAAATACACAAAAGAAATGAGTCTCCTCACGAGTTCACGCAATGGATTATGGTGGATAACAAAAATTCTATGGATTATAAAAATCCTATGAAGTACAGAAATGAAAAACCACCACACTGGTCATATCGGCACAAGAAATCCTAAGGATTATATGGACTCAAAAAAAAGCAATGGACTATACAGATGCAAAATTGCTGTGGACCGCAACGAAAAATCGTCATATGGACTGTATGAATACAAAAAACCCCTATGGACCCGTACAGAAGTGTAGATGCAAAAAAATCCTGAGGACCTATATAGACCACACATGTATAAAAAGTCCCATGGATTTACATTTACATGGATATGGATGCGAAGAATTCTATGGGAAGTAGGACCAAATGGATATGAATAAAACAAAGCCTGAGGACCTATATGGGCTATACGGGCACAAGGAACCATTTTGAAGCCAAAATTTTCCGATAAAACCGGGAAATAAAAATTTATGAATTTTTCGCTTTATATAAAATCGAATAAATAAAAATGTTATCCTCCTCTTTATCGTCTCCGAACGCTAAATATTCTCTACGAAAACTCTCTCACCGTCTCTTTGCATTGTATTTTGGCGATCTCTAGTTAACCGCAACCGTAATATTTCCACTTCGTTTATTTCTCTATTTATCTTCTATTTTCTATTCTCTATTTTGATTCTCTCGCAACATCGACTGATTTTTAGCAGATTTACGTTTACAACCATCGCAAGTACCATTGATTCCTATATATAATATCGACATATCCTGGATAAACTTTATGCAATTAATACAGTTAAACAGTTAAATATTCTTACAAATTTTTGTAAATTAACAAGTTTTAATGGTTAAATATGGTTTACAGAAATTAATAAAAATAGTAAAATTAAGTACTATTATGATTCAGCCGATTCGTGCCCTTTGACCCCCACTAAAAAAAAGATCCTCTGATGAAGAGATTTAGTGGTCAGTGGAGTGAGCAAGTGAGTGGTACCAGACTGTCGGAGCAGGAATAATAAGTAAAGCTAATATCTAAAATATAAATTTATTAATGCAAATGAAAAAAAGCATAATGGAGAGTAATGGAGAGTAATGCACGAAGGGTTAACACGTTGAAATAAATCAAAATTTACGATAGAAAATTAGCTTTCTTATGATAAATTGATATGATAAATTGATATATCATTTGAAATCTGCGATCTAATTCGATTATTTTCATTTGACTTAATATTTGATTCGATTTAACTTATGCGATTCTTGGATTATAATAAAATATAATCAGTCAATATCTAACTTCAAGCAATTTTTTGGCTCATTGGACCAGAAGAAATTTTGTCCCTCGGATTTTGACGGACAGGTTTTTACTGCGAGGAGTGGAATTTAACATCGGCGCTTCCGAATTATACCAATTAACTCACTGAACTATTTTTATTATATATTATAAATATAATTTCTCGAGTTAAAACTATTTCAGAAAAAAAAAAAATAATTAAAGTAATCTGTATTAAATTGATTAAAACGAAAACAACTTGATAAATTGATTTCAATTATGTGATGAAAAAAAAGAAAAAAACTCAGAAATTAGAAAATTTGGAGAGTTTTTTTAAAATATAGAAATATTTGCCGTAGATGAATTATTCTTATCACTGAAAATAAGTTTGTTGGGAAAAAATCACTTTCATACTAGCGAAATAGTCGATCTGATAAGAATGTCACACATCTTATCACTGATAAAATTACTCGGTCTAAATGGACTTATGTAATTCGGCTTTCGGCTAACTGGACTGATATGATAATTCAGCCAGTTTAATTTTAATTTTAAAAAATTCGTCTTATCTCATTAATACGATAAAATTCTTTATTATATAAACAGTTTACCTTAACATAATCATTGCATTACTCATTTTGAAAATAATTTCAATTATTTCGAATATTTAACGATTTATTGAAATATTAATGATTATAAACATTTAAAATGAATGGAAGCAATTGGTGATCACAGCCAATTTCAAGTTGGATTCGCTCCACTGGTTATTAATACGACGAGAATGGCAGGTTTATCCCAACGGCTCCAGCAGCGTTGACGATGTTCGATGCGACAAAACCAACCACTCGTCTATTTTAGCCTCCAATGATTATTTTAAATAACAATCCATAATTACAATTGCAACAATCTTTAATTACAACTCACCAATTAATTAAAATAAATTTTTCTTTCGCAAAAAAATTTATTTTTATTTGAAGAATTAATACAACAATTGCGAATAAAAATGTTCTTTTTTTCAGTTTTTTCTAGGTGACAAATTAAACGGAAAGAACCAAAATCATCGCTGTTTTAAAAAATTTATTTCATTGATTAATATTTTGTTTGGTGAATGATGGTGAATGGCAACGATACATTATTTCTCGGTGTCGATCTCAGTACGCAGCAAGTAAATTTTCTCATTTTTATATTTATTAAAAAAATTTAATAAAAATTTATTATATTTATTAAAAAAAAAGGAAATATATATTACCTCAGAAAGTTTATTAGGATCCCTAAGCTATTTATTATCTAGGTGTGGTACTAATCTACACCAAAGTTATTTTACTAGGTAAACTGTTGCAAAGTTTGGAATGTCGCATTTCGCGAGCTCAAAATTACAATTTATTATTTGTTCAAAATAATGTAGAAAGTAGTAAAAATAATAGTAATAAATAATAAATAAATAAATAAAGAAAATTTATAATAAAAATTTTTTATTTATGGAAAATATTCATTTTTAGGAGAAAGAAAATTTATTGTTGAAAAATTAATTTATTGAAAATTTAAATCTATTGCCTTATAAAATTAAAGAAAAAAGGGAAGTAACATGGTGTACTCAGTTAATTTTGATTAGAATCAATTGTAACGCTAACAGTTTTTTTATAAAAAAGCTTTTTCTTGATTTTTATCATTAATTTTTAAAGATCGTTATCATTAATTCTTCTTCATTGTTATTACCAATTTATCAAATTAAGAAAATCTGGAAAAAAATAAAATTTTTGAAATTAATAAAAATTTATTTAGAAAATTTATTTTAATTAATAAATATAAATTTATTTAAATTGATTTTGATTCAATATAGACGTAATAATATTATATTATGTTAAAAATATAAATTTATTGTCCAACTTCTTTATAAACATTAAATTATTTTATTTTAACAGCTGTTTGGAGATGATCTCTATAACCATAAAGACCTTTCAAAGAATTTTTATCAATGTTGCTTTCCCGTAGCTACCTACATTTAGTGGAATTAATATCCCATGCAATACGCCATTCATCAAAATGCGTTCAGTCAGTTCAGTGGGTAGCTTTACTATCCGTTACTAGCCATACATTACAGTGAGGAGTAATTTTATTAATGCACGTCCAGTGATGAGCCATATATTAATGCAAGTCCAGGCCAGTGGGCAATAATTTTATCAATTCATATCCAGTTCAATGGGGTCTATATTAATGCTGCCCCACTGCAATGGGACATATTAATTTCTGTCTGGACTCGTGGATAATGGCTGCTAAAGGTATATCTCTTCAATCAACTGGTTCGACTAGACAATATTTTATCAATGCCAAAAATTTATAAATTGTAAAAAGAATTTTCTTCGTTTTTATTTCACTTTTCCTTATTTTCAAGTAACACGCAATAAAAAAGAAATTTTCGTGCCATTCGTTATCGATAACAAATCGTTATTTTGGTTTATGAATCTCATGACATTACAAACAAGTAGAAAAACGGATAAACCTTATTTTCTTCGACTATTCACTTCGATTATTAGCTAAAAAAAGAAGTTTATGGCTTCTAATTTTCGGTTAAACTTGTTCCATTGGCCATAAGAAATTTTTGCTATATGAAAGTAACTTATGAATAAAAGTAAGACGTATGTGGTGAGCATTGTCCGCGCTGTATAATAAGAGATTTGTTAGAGGCAAAGTCTGAACTTTGAGACGATAATATTCTTTGCAGTGCCAGCCGTCCTGCCATTATAATTATAAACAGTGGAATAATCTTCGTTAAATAGTTAAATACTATGAATATTAATAAATTATTATCATGGTAGCTTTATCACTTGGAAGAATTTAACATGCCTACTAGAATTAGGCTTAATAAAATCTTTGATTTGCTTATAACTTCCACTGCTTCATTAATTGCATCAGCTTTCATAATAGTGATTACAATATCATCTACCATCTACTTTTTCTTTATAAAATGTGAAACCTATTTGAAATTCATTTCGCATAGATCAACGAGAGCAGAGAATCGACATCGGTTTAATTACCCAAGTTTAAGGTAATTATTAATTCTGGCCCTTAGGCAATCTAGAAGCAAATCTGTGTATATATATAGCAGACTGCCTGCATTTTAATTATAATATTGCTGACGTCCATATCGCTAGAATAAGCATTTTGGGATTTTATAGTCTCTCTTTTGTCAAATATATTCAAAATTGATCGAAATGCCAATTTTTCTAAAAAACTATTGTGGCAAATCTTATGAGCAATATATTCCATTTAGGAAATTTAAGAAAAAATGCTTAGAGAAAATTAAAATTAAATTAAAATTCCTGTCCAAAGTTTATGGAGAAAGAACGTTAGAAAATTATACAATATAAATTCTGAACTGACTAAATTAATTTTTTTAATTTCGTTCTAATAAAAAATATTTTAAAATTTTTTTTATAAATTCCCCTTGTTTAAAGAAAAATATTAAAATCTGCTAACTTGAACTAAATTTTTTTTTCCTTGAACTAAATTTGGTATAACGATGAGTCGGCCTAGTGGTAAAAAAATTGCCACCGAGGTTTGGGTTCGAGTCCACCGATGCACCGCTTTTCATCAGGCGGCAGAATCACCGTGTCATCTAATGGAGAAAAACAAAACAGAATAGAATGGCTCAGTGGGTAGTTGCTCAATTCTGAGCGCCGATGCTGAGGTCCTAGTCTCGGCAGGAGTAAATCTGTCCAAAAACCCGTGATGCTGCCGAACCTTGCTCCTATTGTCAAGGCACTCTCTGGCATATCTACCTAGTGTGGCAGGCCAGAGAAATGAGCTAACCAGCACAGGTCCTAACTAGTGAGTGCTCTTAGTGCACTGCAATATATTAAAGTTTGTCCCAGATTTAACGAATCGTCCCCAGAAACCACTTAAAGGTGACATTTTTTTCAAACTGCCTAAATTCTGATAGGTTTATTTTGAAGAATAAAGCATAATTTACTATACCTATAAAATTTAAACATTGCTAAAAGATTGTTATAAAATTAGTTAAATTCAATTAGCTCTAATGAACTGAATTGTTGAAGTTCATCTGTAAAACTAATTTGAGAACGCATAATTTTTTATTTGCACTATTCATTAATTTCTGGGATAAATTATTTTTTAATTATTTATATATTAATATTATATATTAATTATAATTTCCTCACGATACGACTTGTAAAGCTTCTATATTTCCATTACGTGTAAAAAAAATTGAATATTATGGATTATATACAATATTATTTAGTATGCATGCATGCCTAGGATCAATTCTAGATTTACTGTGATCTCTACTAATTTCTTGACGAATCATGGTCGAAGCCTTGAGAAGCTTGATTTGAAGCATTCGACCTTCGACCTTTTAAAGAATTAAGAATTAGAGAAAATGGAGAAAATTAATAATAAAAATTATCGTACACGATCAGTTACCGAATACAAAGAAAATTTTCGCAATATTTTTCTTCTTTTTTTAAAAGAAATTTAAAAAACGACAAAGAAAAAAGCATATTTCAACATTATGCAAGTTGTCAATTTTTCCCACTAATTCGACGGTTGCGTCGGCTAAGGAATTTTTAAAAAATACTTTATTTTATAGTTCCTTGAGAAAGATTTTTTGTTACTATTGTTATGATATTATATAATATAATTACTGAATTAATTTTACTTTCCGACAATAAATTAAGTTCAGCCTTAATACGAGCAACTTTTCGGATTATTGCCAAAGATTAATCCGAGTGGTACTGGAGACTAAACGGTTGTGCGAAGGCAAATTCCATGTACTCCTTGAAGAATTTTTATTTTCCTTGGAAGATGGACTAATAATAACAATAATAATAAAGTGAATGAACAGTAATAAATAATAATAGTAATGATAATAATAATAATAAATGATAAATTGCAATAATAAGGGCAATAGTAAATATAGTAATATTGATAAAATGATACTTTAAGGTAAAATGTATCGTGATTGATAATAAATGTGATATTGTCAGTCAGTGTTCGGTTAATTTTAATGAACATCTTCAACATTATAGGTTACTTTTCTTTTCTTATGTGCCCAAATTTTATAAATGATTTATAAATGATCGATTTACTCGATTTTATTAATTTAATTTTTTAATCTAATTTTAAAAAATTGTTAAATTAAAAAAATACTTAATAAATTGAAATAGTTGATGAGAAACTATATTGAAGAACAGAAAATGGTGTACATCGGGACGTGGATGGAGTCACAATAACTTCACCAGTATTAATGTGGTTAGAAGCGATCGATCTTTGTTTTCAAAAATTAATGGATTTGGTGGATTTGTCAAAAATAGTTGCGATTTCAGGATGTGCTCAAGTATGCACGTCTTGGCACTACTTTCGTTTGCGAATATAAATAATAAGTATTATAAGGAATAGAAATTTTGATTTTTTTCATCACAAAAAACATTGGAAATAAGAATGGTTTGCTCCACTGTTAGTGCGGTTGGAAATTTCTGCCGAAAGAACTAGTACGGGTGGGTTGCTTAGTGCCTAGTGAAGCACGTGAAGCAGGTGAGTCGAGCCCTCCTCTTTCCCTCCACAGGATCTGAACTATCCGAACTACCTGAACTCAGCATTATCATATCATAGACTTAAATTTTGCACGATAGAATGTACTTAAAATTTATTGATATATAAAAAAGTTGCACGTTAAGTCGACAGCAAATTGAAAAACTTTTCAACTTTTAAAATCTTCCATTTTTCTATTTCACCTATAATTCTGGTTTCGGTGGTTTCATTTCCAGCAACATGGAACTGTTTACTGGAATAATGAATACGCGGAATGTTTCAAAAATTTGCAAAATGGAAAAAACCTTATTAGTGGCCTTAAAGTGAGTTAAGTTTTAAAGTTAGATTTTGCATTTAATGAATAAATTTGCAATAAATTTTGCATTTTATAGTAGTTTTTACCGAACAAATTCTATGCATTTCGCTCAAAAAAAATATTTTCTTATTTATCCATTTATTTTCCTAAATTTAAATATTTTTGATTGATTAAAACTATTGTATTAATAATGAGAAAGTAAAACTGATATTTGACGGCGAACATCCGTCAAATATCCATTTGAACCGTCGATTTTAGAAAGCTTTTTCGTTATACGATTCACCGATATGGATGGATTCGAGTACGACTGATGAATGCCAAGCAATGGAAACGAATGTCGGAGGACCAATGGTGATTTTTTTTTATATAAATATTAAATGCTCTCGAAATTAGCTTTTATGAAACAAAGAGAGAAAGAACGAACTTCTCAGAAGAACTTCGCTTTGATTTGCATTTTTTAAAGTAACAAAGATAAAAATTTTAATAGCAATAAGATTAAATTGAAAAATAATAATTAAACCAGATAAAATTTGGGAGAATATTTTAAATCTGAAATATGCAATTCATTTATTGCAAAGAAACGTGATAAGCGCTCTGATCAAACACGGTTCGCTAGTTATCAATAGGACGGATGAAGGACAACTAATTGGTTATCGCACATACTAAAGCCTTGGGCAATAAGTTCCATCTCTTTTCCTGCCCACGAGAGGAACGAGCCGATTATTAAAATATCTGATTAGTGCTGCGAGTCCACTTGTATTTCTTAGCCAATAAGATGTTTTTATGACGTTAATGATCAAATATATAGCGATGCAAATAAATAAAACAAAATTGCAAAAGCGAAGATTCCAAGCAGGAAAAAAATCGAGGATTCTAGGAAAGATAACATTTAGATGGATATAAATCCTTAGCAACGGATATATTTTGACGATTATTATTATATTTTTCTAAAAACAATTTTATCGAAAAATTTTGCAAAAGTTTTTTTGTTCAAAAGTTTTGTTTAAAAAATTTTTTTTCAAACAAAATTATGAAGCGCTAAAAATTAAAAATTCGATTCCTACGATATTAAATGGGAAATAAATGGATGGTTGATTATTCAGCCTTAGCCTTCAGCATTTTATGTTTCCTAAATGGTTATAACTACGATAAGAAACTTTTTATCAGCGGTTTAAATGCTAGTAAATTCCAGTATCACACGGATTTTAGCAATAATAATCTGAACCGCTAACCACTCGGCGATATCCCATCTTTAAAGTTTATTTTTTCATTTAACTTGTAACAAATTCAAATAGTTCTATTGCTACTTTAAAGTTTGAAACTTAGGAATTGGCGAAAATAACTGGGTCGAAGGCGCATCATCGATTTAGTGGAAACCAAATTATGAAAATTTTCCGAAATAACCGTTCTGTTTATAATTCAACAGAGGTTGGTTGACTTCGTCGCGAACGAACCACCAATATAATATGAAAATAATAATAGGACTAAATAAAATAAAATCATCAAACAAGGCATTCGTGTGTAATAAATATTATAAGCATTTGCATCGATTGTTAGCTTCGTTTCATCTATTCATCTGGTTTTCAATGACAGCTGTGCAAGAAATGATAACAGTGATAATAATGGTACCAATGATAATATGCCGTATTAATAGAAATTCTTTTATGCCCCTGCTTAATTTTTATGCACTATTAATTAAAAGTTAAGAAATTTATAAATAAATTTTTTTTTATAATTTGTAGATGAATTGCTTCAAGTTATTATTTTATTCATCAATTATTTAAGAAATCTTTCGTTAATTATTTTATCGAATCAAATTTATTTTTGTTTTTGTAAATTAAAAATATAAAATTAAACACTTTATTTTTAACATTAAATCATTAAATATAAATCATTAATTAAATGCTAAATATAAATAAGTACAAATAAATATTAAATATACACCAATTTTTTATCAAATAATAAGAAAATTTAAGCGAATATCACTTGTGTCAAGTTTTCTTGCATCGGTTTTATGTGGAAAATTAGCTGAAATTGATGTCGGTGATGCTGGTGGAATGAATTTAATGGATTTGCAATGCAAAGAATGGAATGAAAAATGTTTAAATGCAATTATAAATGGAAATAATGAAGATAAACAAATATTGAAAAAGAAATTGGGAAATATTACACCTTCAAATAGTATTTTGGTAACTTTCTTCATGTATTATATATATTTACTTATAGTACCAATGGGGAAAATAGTATCATAAAATGCAAAATATATAATCGAAGATATTCTGGCTTACTGCATGTTATTTATCGCATTAAGTTAAATATTAAAGTTATCAATTACTTTATATAATTTAAAGCTTGAGACCTATAGAGCAATTTCTGAAATTTTAGGGACCAATATCACCATATTTTTTTAAATATGGTTTTTCTCCAAACTGCCAAATTGTCACATTCACTGGCGATAACCTTTGTAAGCTTTTTATCTTTATATCTTATCACATTTACCAAATAAATGCAAAAAAATGGCAATTATAAATATGAAGTGATAAACATTATTTCAAAAAAAAGATCACTGGATGGTATAGGTTATTTTCAATCTCGGAGCTTGAGAACTTGAAAGGAATAGATCTTAGCTGTTAGCTGTTCCTAGCAGTGCGCTGTTTTGGAAAGAGATCTCTGATGTTCCTGCTAAAGCCACTTTTCTAGTATATCAGTCATCGCTTCTAGTGCTCCTATCACCACTGAGATTTTATTATCCACATTTCCAGATCCTCCCCAGGAATCTACTACACCTGACAGCAATCGCATACACTGAGAGGCATAACTAATTAGCTGCTCTATAAGAATATCCGTTCAGAATACGAATACTTCTCCATCTAAATATGCAAATAAATATTGGCCAATCAACCAGATATAGTGGTAGTGGACAAGAATTAGAAAGCAGCACTAGTAACAGATTAGCAATGACAGGAACAGGCAGGAAGAAGAAATATGAGAAAGCTAGAGAAATACCAGAGGCTGAAAGAGGAACTAACGAAGGCGTGAAGACCAATGTAGTAGGAACATTGAAGACTATTGCCTCTGAATTGAAGTGGCTCCAACAGATTACAGGAACAATATCAGAAATCTCTATTAAAGAAGAGAAACAGCTAAGGTATTGCATAGAACCTTCAAGCTCTCAAGCTATTAATAGAGATTATACCGCTCACAGTTGGTGAGAGATCAAAGCCGACCTAAGCAGCAATGGTGCGAGTTATTAGAAGAAGGGAAAAATAGACAGAGGAATGAAAAAGGATGAAATATTTTTTGCACTTTCAAACTTATTCGGTTCGAAAGCATTTCTATTTATTCATTCTTCTTTTCATTCTGCTCATGCCAAAGAATAATTTTATTGGAATGAATTAGCGAAATGAATTTCAAGCCAATACGCATAAATCCTAAATCGGTTATTATTCGCAAGCCAATTTGCTTACTGTAAAAATTGCATGTAAAATTTGCAAATTAAAAAGAGTCGGATAATTTTCCGTTGATTTTCATTTTTTATTTTTGCATCTCATAAAGACATTCTTTCTTAGCATCATTAGCTGGACTTTGCCTTAGCTCTGGCCAACTTGCTATATCTCTCGGTACAAGCGATACGGTATTTTTTACGACTCATTACTATCTACCGCACCTCGATGGTCATATTTTCCGGAATCCAATTAATGAAACCGAGTTTATGGTTATGCTGTGGTAAGTTCTACTTTTCTTGGACACTTTTCTTGGATTTTAATAATCGTTAAAATCGTCCAATCGGCATTACCATTAAGAAATTCTCGTTTTCATAAATTTTTTGCTTTTGAACAAGGCGAATGAAGGCTTTGCAATTTTCATTAAAAAATTTATAACCAAAATATCAAATTATTGTAATGTTTAGCCAAAAAAAATTCCCAAAAACATTTAATTAAAAAGACAAAATGACGAAAGGCAATGAAAATTAAATTTCTTCTCAGAAATCTAACTAATTTTTTTAAAAAACCAAACAGTGAATAGCATTTAAAAGTTTAGAATAAATATTAATTTAAGAAAATTAAGAGAAAAATTTGTGGAAGTTTGTTCAAATAAATTGATTAGGCATATTTTATGGGATTTTTTGAAGAAATTTCAGCTCCGGAAAAAGCTAAAAAGAAAAATAAAAGATTTATTCAAGTAAAAAATATTCTTTTTGCTTCAATATGAAATTCATTTTTATGAAACAAAGAAAATTAGTGAATTTTTTCTTTTTTTTGGGACCATTGTGTCAACCAGGATTTATTCGATCCCAATAAGACCTTTACTATTTGCTATAGTGACTGCGAGTTTTTCTCATTTTTTCTTGAGGCTGCTGGCTGTTCCATTCGTTTGCATTCCCCATCAACAATATTTAGCGCCTATTCGACTAAATATTCAATTCGAAGTTAAAAAAAGGAGGGGGGGGGGGGGATAAAATATGAAGTAAAAATCATGCAAGTCAAGCTTCTGTGCTAATTGTTCCTATTTTCATGCATTCAGACAGATTTGCATGTTCATTAAATCATTCATCATGCGTTTTTTTAGATTTCCGGGTCTCACTTATCCCCTCACTATTAGAAGAAATTTCTGGCATGGGATTTGGCTGCGAGATAGAAATGTAATATATTACCATTTCTGAAATAAGGTCTAACATCCTGAAGTCCGAAAGGATAATCTGTGATCTCATCTATTATTCGCTAGTTGATCATTTAACTTATTGATAATCAGTTTTAAAAATGGTTCATTCACTCGAGATCGCATACGTAAATCGGTTGGCGCGAGTAACTGGCAAGATTTTTCGGCATTAATTTCATCAGTTCCTCCTGGAAATAATGGAAATATTGGTTTGAATTCAATTTACAAATTAAAAATTTTAATAAAATTCAATAAGATTTTATTATAAAATAAAAGGCGGAACCACGGAATCATTGGAAATAATAATAACAAAATTATGGTATAATTATATTTTATTTTTCTTAATTATACTTTTGTTTCACGCTTTTTTATATAAGAAATATATAAGGAAGAAATAATTTTATTTTCATGCTTATGATTGGTAGCATAAATACACTTACTTATTTTGTTACTTATTAAACGTTGCCACGTTCACTTACTTTTCTGCTTTGCTTTAAAAGTACGAAATATTTTAATCCCTCGTCTCCAACAATTTTTTCGTTGAAAGCCAACTTTAAAATGTCTAAGGTTTCTACTTTGACGACGATGAAATCCTACCAAATATATCGCGCGGTGATCATCGTTTCAGTCGTATGCAGTCGGTAATCCTAATTCAATTTTAAGATATTTTTGGATTTAATCGAATAATTATTTCTTTTTTTAGAACTGAATTAATTAAAATAAATAATTAAAAGAGTTATTTAATATTATTTTTTCGATTAATTATATATATATTCGATTTAGAATATTTTTTATTTATGAATAATTTAATAATAATTAAATTATAATTATTAAAATATTTATTTAAAAAATGATGAATCTAATTAGAAATCTTCTATTTTTTATCATCAATTTATTAATAGAAAATGTGAATGTGCCAAAAAACTTAGAGTAAGTAAACATAAAATAAAAATAATGCTTCATAAGTCGATTTCAGAAAAAAGAATTGAATTTCAGGTTGAGAAATTTCCACCAGAAGTTGAAGCAAGAGCTGTAATCGAGCACCAATGCTTAGCTAAAAGATTTTATGCCGAGCAAATCGGTTATAAAGCTAATGGGAGAGGTGAGGATAAAGTGTCTATTTTGATTTCAAAAGTAAAGATATCTGATAAAATTGTGATTTAATGGAATGGATTTTGAGAATGCATATATGGATTTCTGAAATTGCTTATTTATCCACTTCTTTTCTGTCTGGTGAGGAAAATAGGTAACTGGCTCACTGTTTCTTATTGGGTTCGATCTACTAGCAGCTGATGGAACAAGAGATTTTAGAGGATACCAAAGAGTCACCTAGCGATAGATGAATACTGTTAGGTCCTTAGTCTGATCAGATTTTTTAATAACACATTTAATCCTATCGGAGCAAAATCCTTGGCATCCGAGGCGATTTGAACGATCACCCAACAATCACCCTAAAATTTATAATTAAAATTGATCCAATCAATTTTCATTTCCCCTTTAATCCTTTTATAAATCTCATTATTCTTTCAATAACTGTTACAAAATAAGCAGATTTCATTGCTGTCGAACAACAGGAAAAACTATTCGAAAAAAAACCAGTTTCGATAAAATCAAATTTTAGGAAATATTCTCGTCACTGGTGGTGCTTCTTGTAATTTTTCTATTCTTCAAATTCTCGCTAATGTTTTCTCAACAAAAGTCTATACAACTGATAACAGCGACTCAGCAGCACTAGGAGGAGCACTTCGAGCTCGTCATGGTTATATTTTTTTTCTAATCTATCGAAAATTAAATCAGTCCTCATCGATTAACTTTCATGAATAGGATGACCTCGTGGCCTAGGCTATTGTTTCGGCATTGAATTTAATTATCATAAATCCTTGGCGCTTGACGGTGTTGGCCTTCAGCAAAAGCGAAATCTGAGTGGTGCTTGCAGGTGAAAATTTGGTGATAAAATTTAAAGTGTTTGGTGGAAAACCGAAGGCAGTGGATGTCAGTGAAAGATGATTATTTTCGATTCAGTGGCCAATCAGTGGCCATAACAAATTCTTTGCAATTTTTTCTTTCTTCTTTTATTTGGCGAGATCCATGTGCATATACAATGGACCGTCTTGACTATTTAATAAAATGGAATGGTCATCTCTGTACTGGAATATTTAGTAATGGGTCCACTCCAAATCAGAGCGCTTCCAATCAAATGTCAGGAGAGAAAATAAAATGCAAAAAATAAGATGCAATAATTCCACAGTTCTTTTTTTAAGAAGTGATTCCAGTTAGGTTTATTCCACTGCTTTGCTCAACCAGGTGCGAGTCATTTAGAAATATATGTGGGTGCTTGGATTTTCGAAAGTTCGAGAAAAGAACCATAGCATGAGTGCTTTGAAATCAGACCAATAGCCTACCGAGGCCTTCTGCCTCTTAAATGAATTCGTCCGATTTCAGTAAGTTTCTACGAAAAACAGGATTACTTTGCAATTTCATCGAATGCGATTAAAAGAAAACTTGTTGCATTGCCACAGCCTGAAGTAGTTGAGGTAAATTTTCATAGCTTTTATGAAAGAAGCAAAAGTCTTTTTTTTAAAAAGAAATCGTTTTGCTCTATTTACTGTTTGTTTTATCGCCCCAAAAGTGATTATTTCATTCTAACAGTGCCATCTTTAATTTAAATCGATCTATAAGTTGTAAAAAGCACATACATATACCTTATCATTTATCAAATTCGATTGACGACTGATAATAATTTTAGTTGATTTATCTTTATAATTTATAAATTTTCAAAAAAATTATTTGCAAATTTTCCTTTTTAAGACTTATAATGCGATGCTTATCAACTATGCGAAACTTCAAAAACAGATTCAGAAACGATAGAGAGATTTCTAATATTTCCATTTCCTGAATTCATTTATTTATCAGCAAATCGATAAAAATTGCTTTTTTTTAATTTAGGCAATTTAGGCACTTTTTTTTCTCTTTTAATTTTTTTTAAAAGAATTATTTCACTTACTCTTTTAAATTTTATCTGCACCCAACAATATTTTTTCACTTATTTATTTTTTTAATTTCCTAAAATCCATTTATTTTTTATTTACTTTTGCAGAATGTATTTTTTGCTTTCGTTTGTATTAAATTTATAGAAATTAAATTTATATTTTAAGTTTTTCGATCCGATTTATCAATTAATCTTAAATCTAAAAAATTCCGGTCCATCCCATCGTTAAACTGGCAATTCTGGTTCATCGCTGAAATTGGCGATACCGGTTCAATTCAGAGTTAAAAATAATATTAGCAATAGAATGTCGAATGTCAACATGGATTTGTAGGATTACAAATGCTCTTTTATTAATTTCTGTATTTCTGTATTTAAATATATTTTTTATTAAATATTTCCAGATTTCTATAAATAAAGTGGTTAAGCTCACTTCTTTGGTTGCTAATACGGTTAGAAATTCTTGCCAATGTCTCAATTGGCGAAAGAAGTACAGGCAATTCGCTTGGATTTTTAATAGCAAGAATGCCACAAGCAGAAGTCGATTCATTAACTCTATTCTCCCCTTTCCCCCTTGCCCCCTCACTCCCTTCCCCACCCTCTTACCAATTCACTTCTACTGAAAAAAACTACGAAAATCAGAAAATACCATTAGAAACGAACAGAAATTAGTGAAATTAAGGATTTCATCACTTTAATTAGATCTGAAAAATAAGAATTTAAAAAAAAATCCTTTTCTGAAATTCTTGCACCGAAAACTTTTCATATAAAAACTACGTAAACAATAAATTCTTAATTTTTTAAAAATTAATAATTTCAAAATTAATAACTGCAAAATATTCGTAATTCGAGTCCATATTGTTCATATTTATTAAATTAAAATTTTAATTTATACAATTTTTTCTATTATTTTTTTCCGTTATTTCAATAAAAAAGATCATTTATTAAATTATTAAATTATTAGGAATTCCTACATAAAAACTAAAATCTCGAAAATTATTCTGCTAAATCTTTCATTTTGCTAAATCCGACATTTTCTCAAATAAATTTTTTCGCATAGAAAATTTCATTATATAATTCAGTTATATGAATAATGAATGGATTCCGTTCTAATATTGGCCAACCGATACGACAAATCTGCTAATATTAGCCCGTTGCTTTAATCTTTCTTTTTAACCCACTGACGACCTAATTCCTCACTAATCCCCTATTAACTCGCAGTTTCATCTAATAGCAAAAGTCCTCACCATTACTGGTTAAACTCGCTCCACTGGCTTGTCGCACTGGGCAATATACCAGGGAGCCCCTTAGCGATGGAATTACAGGTGAGTCGCCAGCATCACCCGAAAAGCAAGAAATAATGAACAGACTACATTTCGACAATCCTTAAACCGCCAAGAAAGATTCGGCTCAACGACGCTGCCGCTTTCTGACGCCACTGCGGCAGAAAAAAGACTGGCTTTAATTAATTTCAGGTTTGGCTTACAAGATTGCCGAAAGCCAACAAAACCAAAATTTTAAAGATTAGTTAAATAAATTACAAATAAGCTCAGAGTTTTATAATTAACGAGCAGGAAAGTCACGGTGTCTGCTTCTCTAAACATTCCGAGTCTGTTTTATAGAAATGTTAAGTCGCAGCTTCGACTACCTCAACTGACGGTAGCCCCGCCCAAAGCAAAATTTTCCTCTGGTGTCATATATTTAAGGGTTTTTCTGGTTGGAATTCAGCTGATTGCCTTGGTTTCTGTTTCCGGTGTTTTTGAATAAATAATATTTCCACAGGTTTTGTAAAGCGTCAAATTGGTGCGACTGGTGAGAAATTCATTAAGAAATTCGCGAATATTTTGGTAAATATTCCTAATTCTTTTTTATTCACTTAATATTCTATAAATCGTTTTAAACTTCTTTGTTTTATTATAAATATTATTTAATAATTATTTATTGTATATTCCTTTTATTCGTTTTCATAAATATTCCGTAATTTTGCGGAAATTTGCTTTAGTGCAAAAATAATTTAGAAGAATTCAACTGCAGACGCCGTCAGTAAAAGTGAAAAGTAATATTTTAAAAGTATAAAACGATAGTGAACATTAATAATTCACAGCGTAGTTAATCATGATCCACAAGCCAGTAAATAGTGTAAATAGAGAGGACTGAACGCTAAATGTGCGCGAGAAACGTTCACGTCAAGAGAGCATAAGAAACGCGGGAATGGTTTTACGGTAGTGAAGGTGGCGAGGTTTCCTCCATATTAACCATTAAGTATTGAAAAGAAATATATTTTATTTCATTTCTGGCTTTTTAAAACTTAATTTTGTTTTATTTTATTATTCTCTTCGAATATTTTTTAGAATAGGAAGAAAAAATTTAAAAATTTCAGAGAAAAATTGATAAATCGTATTAAATTTTTTTCTTTTTTTTTTAGTTTCTTCTAAATGCTTTTTTCTTTCATTTTTTAAAATTTTTTTAAGTGTCTTTTGGTTGCTATAAAATTAGGAAAATCTATAAAATTTTCTAGTTCATTGTTAAATTGAACAAATTTTCCTCGAAATTCTTATTTTCTGGGCATTTTACTTTGTAAGCGTTCCTTCATCTCCCAACTCATTCACTGTTCCAGATTTGGCAGACTAAATTGCTTACTAGGATGAAGTTCTTTCGCTAGGGAGTCATATAAGAATAAGTTTCCAGCACCATTCGAATTCAATATTCCACTTAAAATGCGGGAATAATCGAACCATAGTGCTAGGGAAATTCTTATAACATTTTTTTTTCTTAGTTTATATCATACAGTGACTTCGTAAAAATTCTAAGGAGGTCGATGAAAAGAAATATTTTTTTATAGAAGGTCAGTGAAAGGAAGGCTGCGAACTGTTGTGGAAGAAACATCGTTCGACAGTTTTCTTCATCACTTTTTGAACATAAAAACTTTGAATATTGGAATTTTCTTTTTTTTCAGTAAATATTTTATTTGTTTTCTTTTCGTTATGAAGACATGGATATTCAATGATATAGATTTTTTAATGAATTATTAACGAAAGCTCAATTTAAAGTTCTAAAAGTTCTTTTAATTTGCGCGATAATAAATACTTTTTAATATTAATATTTCCATTGAAAATAAAAATTGATTATTAATTTTTGACGGTTGTTTGTTTTTTATTTCTTTACTTAATTTTTTATTTAATTTTGAATTCTGAATTTTTTTTCTTAGTTAAGTATACGCCATATTTTTCTCATTTTTTTTCGTAAAATTTATGATTTTCCGAAAAATTCATTTTGAAATTGAAACTTTTTTATTTTTTTTATTTCAATCCTTTTTTATTTTTGTTTTAACGAAAATAAATTTTAGAAAGATTGGGAGGCGATTGAAAGAAATAAGAATTAACCTGGTCGAATGATTTGTTTACTATTATTTACGATTTAATTTCTCCACTGGAATGGAATATTATATCGAAGGAATTGGCAATGAAGTTGCTATTTTCTTTGAATACTACATAATTATGTATATGAAATATATTTTTTCAAATTTTTTTTTGCGTTTTTAATTATTTTGAAATGTTTTATGGTATAAAAATTTTTAAATATTATTTTTTTAATATAATTATTTTTATATTTCATAGGTTGGAAATTTTTGCATTTTTACTGCAATGATGCATTTCTTTTTTCAAACTTTTGTTATTGGATTCTTTTGCAGGTTGTTTGGTTCTTTATGGTGCTTTTTGCCATCACAGTATTTGTAGTGGCTTGGCGAAGCACATTTGTACCTGCAAATGACTATCATGTATGGCTTGTTCAAATGCAAATTTATCCTAGTAGGCGTATTTTCCAAGTGAGTTATATGTTTCATTTTTGACACTAATTTTCTTGAAATAAAGATAAATTGAGATAAAAAAATAAAGTTCATTTAGAGTGATTCATTTGTAATATCAACGTTAAATTTAATATAAAAAATTATTTCGATTGCGAATTTTGACAGGCTCAGAAGTGAAATTTTTCTTTTAAAAAATTTCAATCCATTTTTGAATTATCAAAATTTTTTTTGATCGATATTATCTTGATAATATGTTTGTTAAAAAATCGCATTTTAATTATCATCTTTCAACTGATCTTTAATCAACGAAGTGAAAAACTGGCAATAACTGGCAATTTCTAAATTTAAAAGATGTTTCCAGGTTCTACAGTTTGATCGTCATGCATTCGTCGTAATCGACAATCGTTATCCTTTACATTTAGAAATTTCAAATCTAAATGTTAGATACAGTTATAGAAGTATAGTTGATCTGATACCAACAAGTATTCGAAATATGCTAGAAAATTATTTTGGACATTTACATTCTGCATTAAGTGGCAATGAAGAAAGGTAATTTGATTGAAATTTGCATGTTTAGTTCAATAACTAAAAATTAAATTTAAAAGTGAATTTTTTAGATCACATATTACTCAGGCACCAGTTTCGTCACATTCGCAGGTTTCCATTTTTTTCCATTCAGTCTTAAATTACTGATTCATAGAAATCGTGGCTTCGATTTGCTCAGCATTAAGGAAAATTTTCTAAAATTTCAAACCTTATATTGAAAATTTAAAAAAATTTCTATTAATTCTTGTCCACATCTTATGTATAACTTCGAAATTCGTCACATAGGTGTAATTCAAAATTAATTTGGATTTGAGTTTGAATTATCTTTAATTCACTCAAAGCTGAAAAAATTAAAGAATATCCGATTCTAGTTATGCTAATTTAATTTAAATTAACTTGAATACCAGCTTTATTAAAAATAATGGATTGAAATTATTTAAATTTGTTTATTTTTCTTCATTAGAATTATTAATGAAACAAGTTATTTATGGATATTATTTTGGTTTATTTCCAGTTCTGTGAGAGAATTTTAAAAGTCTCCTAAATCTATTGTTCGGAAGATGTGGAGTTTCTCTTTTTTTCTTTTTTTTCTTTTAATAAATAAATAAGCTAATAATAAATAAATAATGATTAGAAATTACAATTTGGGGAAAAATTATATTGCTTGTTATGTTGATGATATATGATTAAGAATAATCAATATAATAAAACCTTTAAAAATTTACGGACTTCTTAAAACCTTCACTTTTATATTTCTGTATTTTTACTGTTTTCAAAATTGATTGTTATATTGACCTTGAAAAATAACTCTTTTTATCTGTCGCACTAGAATTCTATAACTCACCATTTTTTTTGCTTTACCAGCTTTTAGAAAATTGGTACCATAAGATTCTTTCTTATAAATTTAGTTAATTATTCCGCCTATAGTTCATATAAAATAGAGTATAAATTTGTTTAAAAAGTTTAAGAATAGTTATTAATATTTATACGTTGAGTGAAGTTTATATCACATATTCACTATATTCATATTTCATCGATGATTTGTTGTCAGAATAGAAAATAAAATTATATTTTCCTATTTATTCATTAAAATTGCTGAAATCTATTTTATAAATTATTTGCAAATTGGCGAAATATTTTAGAACTTCAAATTTTTGTTGGGATCAAACATATTCATTATAATATATATTATCTTGTTTTCTCTTGGTTATTTTAGTTCCACTTTTCCTATTCTTGTTACTTTTTTATTTTTTGACAAAAAATTGCAATATTTTTTCCATTTATGGTTTATTTTTTATTATTTTATTATTTTATTGAATGTTTTTTGTTCATTTCAATGATTCATTTTTTCCTAAATCTCACCGTATAATAAATCTTTTCATTAGTATTTTAGGGAAGTAATGAAACAGAAAGAACCTTTGAACAGATGGAAAATGGAAGTGAAGTGGCCGCGAATCAGATAGGTTTATCTTAATAAATTATAACAGGCGAAAAATAAATTGTAAATGGATTGTAACTAATGCCAGTTGTTTTATAGCTGTTCCCAATATAAATAATCTGCCTGAAGACACTGAATTCATGAATAATGAATTGGCAAATGCAGTTTCATTATCTCATATAAAAATAAAATTCCTTGATGACAGCGAGTCAGTTGTTAGTACAGCGTTAAATATTACAGTGGGAAATTTTAAAAGGTCATTCATTATTCATTATGAAATTTTTTGTATTTTAAATCTTTAAAAATTTTTCTCGAGGTGAAAAAATATTTTGAGGTTAGGGAACTAGAGTTTATTCACCTAAAACTTATTTATTTTAGATATACTGTAGAAAAGGTTAGGTTATATAATTGGTTTTTCGCTTAATTTTATGGGGATTTATCAATTATATTATTATTCGTATTATTTCTCGAATATGAGATTTTTATATTTCTATTGTAGACATTTCTTTTGTAAAGAACTATCATCTGGCAAGGTAGTTCGTCTTATTTTTCGAGGACAACTTCTTCATGATGATTCGAAGTCGCTGTTAAATTATGGTTTATTCGATTATTGTGTTGTACACTGTGTTATTGGTGCACCAACAAGCTTATCGACTTCGATATCCAATTCGGCCTCGCTTGTTGAAGAGCCGAATCTAGGTAACTTCCATCAAATTTCTCTCTGAATTTAGCTAAAGATTTTTAAAAATCAGATGAAATCAAATATTCTTTTCATTCATTGAAATGAAATTTTTTGCGGTTCTTCATTCCTTTAGCAAATAAATTTTGATTTTTAATAAGTTTTTATATATTAAATTGAATTTTTAATGCATGCAGTTATTTTTGCCATTGCCATTTTGACTATCTTGTTGCTTGTAAAGGATGAAATTTAATTTGGCTTATACTTATTAATGGTTCAGAGTTAATTATGAATAACATACTTTTTATCTAAATTTCTCTAAATTTATTTTAAATTTTATTATCCATTTTCTCATCCATTCTTATAGGCGAGAAAAAAATGTAAGTTGCAGTTATATATTTAATTATTATTCTTTTCAGCTAATCATAATGGTATTTCAATCGAATCTGCTACTAGTGCAATCGCTGCAATAGCTGGTTCACAATCAGTAGCAAATGCCAGTTCTCAAGAAATAGTTACTCGACAAATTCAGCAAGCACATCATGGTCGTTCTATTGAAAATAACATGAATTATCCTTTGTGAGCGATTTTTTTCCGTTTTATGCATTTTTCAGTAATTTGCATAGTGGATAGAATTGGTCAGTGGGTTGTTGCTCAGTTTGTAGCGCCGATGCTGAGGTTGGATTCCCCGCAGGAGTAAACCTATATAAAAACCTAGGTGATGCTGGCGACTCACCTGTATTTCTATCGCCTCCCTGGACTCCCTGGCATATTGCCCAATGCCACAAGCCAGTGGAGCGAGTTTAACCAGTAATGATGATGATTCTTAAAAAAAAATGATATAATCGATCTTTTGGTACCTATATTACTTTGACTGGATTCAAATCAAGGAATCAATCCCGGAGGATGGAAACAAGTTGAGAACCCATCTTTTTTAAGTCCATTTGGCTCTTTAAGAAGAGTTTCTCTTTAGTTATTAATATTAATAGAGCCAATCAAACCAGAAATTAAATAAATAAAATTTTATTTTGCAGACCAATACGATTGCGGAATCAGTTTTTGCGAGGATTTCGTGTATTATATAATGCAATTTTGGGGCCTGATCCGAACGAGGAATTAGAGCTGAGTGACGAGATAGTCGACCCATTTCATGAAGCGATCAATGAACAAACTTGGAATCAAGATCAAGAATCACCAGATTCATTTAGTCATTTGATTGGTCATTATCTGTATCTTATATTTAGTGGTAAGTTTGTTTTGTTAAGGTTGTATTGCAAGCATTTTTAATGTTTTTGATTTATAGATCATTATAGATTTGATATAACTGAATTATTAATTTTCCAATTAATCTTTTTCATATAATCTTATTTGCAGTGAAATTTCTTCTTCTATGGATGTTTGTTTTTTTTTATCCGCAGTACACGGATCGTTTTTCTGTGCTTCTGCTAACATTTCTAAGTCTTCTTTTTGCAACTATAATATTTTCAAATTGGCAAACAGATCAGACGGAAGTAAACTCGAATACCTAATTCAAAAAATTTTTTTTTCAAGTAGAACTTTTTATTAATTGTTCATTTTAGAACTAAGTAATTTTTATTGAACCGTTTTTTTGAATTCTATATTTTCCATATTTGAATATTGCAAAGGTTTAAATCCTGGTGAGGTAAAAGAATTATTGAAATATATTTATAATTTAAAATATAGGCAGTTTTGGCCTAAGCCATCATATGATCTAATATGTAAATATTTAAATTCGGTGAAAATTAAGAATTCGAATTCTATTTCCATAGATGAAATCAACCTGTTAATTTATTATTGGACCAATGTTTCATTTCTCAAAAATTCAACTAAATCACGAAATCTTATTCAGTTTTTTATAATCCTCATTTTCCTTGAATATTTTTAATGGTTTTTAATTTAGTAATTTTGCGCTTTTTTTTGTTTCTCTTAGTTATTGCTTTTAATTTTATTTATTTGTTAGTGTTATCACGAATTTGATAAAATTCTTATAAGAGGCAGGCGTATTTTATTAAATTATATTTAGATTCTGTGTTTCCTTTAATACTCATGTTTTTGCGAAATAGAACAGCTGTAATGTGCCAGGCCTTTGTTTTGTTGTCATTCCTTATAATTTTAAAATTTCGGTGAAATTATTAATTAATAAATAGTATTTATTAATTTTAATTAATAAATCATATTTATTAATTTAGGAAATAAATTTTTACAGGTATATTGCGCTAGTTTTTTTCTTTATTTTGATATTTTTCACATAAAATTTTATAAATTATTCGAATTTGTTTTTATTATTAGTTTATTTGTCTAGAAAATTCTTTTATTGGAAATTAATTTTCATGGCTCTATTTGATATGTATATGTATTTTTTTTTGATTTTACTTTTTGGAAATTGGTTATAAATGTCGAGGAAAAAGTAGATTTTATGTTCCTGAATGCTAGTACCAAAGTAAGAAAATGACTTGTTTGCTTCTAGCGCTGGTACCAAGGCAAAGAAGCGTCAGCCAAAATGTGCAGACCGTACTTGTTATCATCGAACAAATTTTTGATAAAAGTTCCCCATCTAACTGTCGGGGTGGTTATGTTAAAATTTCGTCCATTCGCCAAGAATTTATTCAGTTCCTCAGCCGGGGAATCTCTTCAACATTAGCTTTTTAATGTGTTTGATCATTTCCCTCATCATAGGACAATGTGAATGTCCGTAGACAAATTGAAATGTTTAGTTAATGAAATTGTTGAGCAGTTCCATTCAAATTTCTTCATTTCTCTGCTGCCCGTTTGCTTGAATAAACGTAATTCATAAAATAACATTTCGTTCAATTTGACAACTGCAAAATGATATGACAAAAGATACAAATATACGCTTCAAAAATCCATCGAATCCACTGAAATGTTTTCTGAGAATCTGAAAAATGGACTGAAATGGGCGAAAAAGGCGAAGTATATTTAATTTTATTTTAGATATTTAATAATGAAATGGTTTTTAAACTAATTTAGATATTTTATATATTTTTAGTTATATTTTAGATAGGCGTAGAACGAACGATCGATCTATGTTTGCAGTAGAACTCCAAGCAGCGGAAGGGATCGAATCCGACGTCTCAGCTCCGATCTCAGCTAAAGCGATACCACAACACTACTCGACAACGCAGCCGAATATTTACAAATAAAAAATATTTACAAATATTAATTATTATTATAAATTAAATATTGACATTAATTAAGTAAGTAAGCATTAATACTAAAATGCAAATGTTGATTATAAATAAAAACGTAACGTACATATTAAATATAAGAATCTTTTTTTCAGATGAGAGCCTTTAAATTTTCGGCACACATGAAAATTTAAAAGAATTTATTACCTGAGATTGCATGAAAAAATCCATTATCCATTATCCATCCATTATATGCACAATTAGGCATTTATGAAATAAATTACAGGAAAATAATAACACTATAATAATAATGCAATACAAACTATTAATAAAAATGAGATTTATATTACCAGCAAATTATTTAGGATGATTGTAGATTTATTGTGATTAGAAGAGAGGTGGTGATAACGGCTATTTAGCGAGGTAGAAAATAACTGTTCTTTACTAATGGAAGTGAAAAGTGAAAAACACATCGGACGAGAAGCTGGAAGGATAAAATCTCACCAAAACATTTTACGCTTGTAAAATATGCAAAATATTAGAAAACCTCAAAACGAACTGAGGCGATACAAAATGAAAAAATTCAAAAAATTTTAATAGAATTTAGAAAAAACGATTTAATGAATTAAATTATTTTTTCACCTTTCGATACTATCAATTAATGGTGGAAAAATTTTGGAAGCAAAGAAGGCAAGAATAATTTGAAAATTTAGAGGCTGAAATTTCTGAGTACATAAAAATTTAAGAAAAGCGCAACAAATCTACAAACGCTGATAGACGGGCAAGAAAATAATTAGATATTGCATTATTAATAATAATTTCATTTACAAATTTGCAGATTTGAAAATTTACAACAAACACTACATTCTCTTCTTTTCACGTATTTTTTTTCCACAAGAAGTGTAAATGCTCGACAATAAAAATTTTAAAATGTACTTAAAAAAAGTGGGATAAAAAAAAAAAATTTGCGAAAATTTGCAGAAATTAAAGATTATATATGCTAATTTTGATCAAAAAATTTTGATTATTCATGATTGTTCTTGATTTATTTTTGATATTTGATTATTCTTAACGAATTTTTAAAAAATATAAAAGCAAAACAAAAATATATATATATATATGTTTCACAAAATAAACTATAGATAAATAATTATCACAATAATTAATTTTATATAAATAAATAGTACAAAATATACATAAAATTATTGGATAATTTCAATCTTAAAATTAAACAAAAATGAATAAAACCTACTGGCATTTATGGCAATGCATTAATAAAATTACAGAAAGCAAGGCGGTCATTTCGAGATCGATCAATTAAGATAGAGAAGCCCATTTAAGAAAGCTTGGAATGGTCCTGCAAGGAATGTTTGCACAAATAGCCTTAATTTTCAAGGCTCGATCCTCGGTTAGCAAAACAACACTGCGTTGAATGCGTTGTGTTTCACTTGATGTACCATTGTTATTACCGAAAGAAACAACTGGCAACTTACTGCTTAACTGAACGCAGCTTGCCAAGATTAAATCATCATTCACAGTCTGAAACAAGTACAGTGAAAATATTCCAATATTTTAAACTTTATTCACCCAAAAATTACTCTTAAAATTTGTTATTATAGGCAAGTTCTTAAAAAGTTTACTTTATCGAAAAAAGGAATTTTTGAAAGTTAGCAAGAACCATTTATATTTAAATTTTAACAGGAAACTAAAAATTAGGAAATGAAAATAAGATTGATAAAGCGAAAACCTTTTCCTCACGAGAAACAAAATTTTGCTCTTCGGCGAAACATAACGATGGAAGACGACTTCCTTTGGTAGTAACCGTGCAAATATGTGATGTATGATTTTCCGATGCATTATGCAAATATTTCATTGCTTCTTTAGCACGTCGACCTACCCAATTCTCATGGTTTTCATCAATCATAGTGAACATTGTCGGTTTACTCGCTAGAGGTAGAGAAAGGCCACTCAGTTCCGAAATCACTTTAAAAAAATATATAAAGATTATGAATAAATAAATGAGAAAATTTAGCCAGGTTCCAATTTAGTGGTACTCATCAAATCAAATTGGGAAAAAGATTTTCAAAACTACTTAGCTCTGATAAATTAAGACATCATCAATAATCTCTATGAAAACAATTATCAGTACATCGACCATCGATCGTCAATAAAATTTATTTCCTTTGTGAAAAAAACTGCACTTTAAGCAAAAATATACCAGTTGTTGTGACGCATACTTCATACATACCACATTCAACGATTCGAATGATAGATTCGAGATGATCAATAAATGTATTCGTATCAGGCACTAAATAACGAGGATGGACTTCAATAACCACGCGATCTTCCACTTCCCGTTCAAACAATTCCTGTGAAATGCTTGGATTATCATTTCTTTTATCATTTTATGAAAATGCTTGGATTATCACTTCTTTTGTCAGTATCATTTTATCGACACAAATTGAAATTCTAATTATCGAATTTTTAAAACAAAAGAATGAAGCTTTAAAAAACAATTCTAATAAATAATTTAACTAACCATTTTAACTTTATTTTCTTCAACAGCTGTTCTAAACTGTTTATGTTCATCCAGCAAATCACTCTAGAAATCAAATGGTAATTATGATAAAAAATATTACTGAAGAAAGTTGCAAAAAATTGAAAAAAAATTTGAAAAGAATACATCGTCATCAATCGGTGAAATAATATCCCCAGTTCGTTTAGCTGATAATGAAGAATCAATCTGGACCAAAGCTGAAGGTTTATCAAAGAGAGGTGACGATAAAGTAGATGTAAAACAGTGCAAATTTTCATCGAAATTAAAGCAGTGAAGGTCAGATCCATCCAAATACTCGGCTGTTGAGAGTACGGCGGAAAGTCGTGCATGCATCGCAAGAGATGCGGACTAAAAAAGCAAAATTGCGAAAATGCAAAAAAATGCGAAAATATTAAGAATAAAAAAATCTGTAAAAGCGAATGTTTAAAAGATCATTAGTGATAATTTTTGTAGTAAAAGATTAATCTTATAATAAATGTACCACATTAGTAGCATTTGTTGGTGAACGCAACATTCTGATCGCTTTCGGTACCGTAGGAAAAACATTGAAAAAAGAAGCAAGAAAAACGCTTTCGGGAAGGACAATTTCAATTGCACTTGGATAAGCATTTGCTGCTGAACATTTTAATTTATTAAAAATCATGCAAAAATTAGAGGTCGAAACTCAAAGTTTTCTTCATTCAATATCAGATAAAAAAGAAAAAAGAAAGATAACTTACGGCTGGTTGACGAAACTGTGCGGATCAGCTTTCCATCTACTTCTGCATTAATTAAATGATTTGCAATCTTTGCTAGTGTTTTCCATGTGTTTATGCGAATTAACGATGTATCTAGTGGCTCCAAAGAAGGCATAGATCGATATAGCATATTAACTGATGGCATCGAAAACCATTCAGATATTATAAAAACAGCAGGTAAAATTCTTCGAACCTGAAAATTTAAGGAAAATTATAAATAGCAATAACCTAAAAAAATAGCAATATGATTTGAAACTGATAAAATAAATAAGGAAAAAAGACAACCTTAGATGACAAAGGGATATCACCACACAAAATAGAATCAAGAACATCCAGAATATCTTCAACTGGCTTCAGAAGAACACCATATAAACTTAAAACCATTTGAACAGCTTTCTGCTGTTGTAGAGAACAAGTATCAGGATCAGCATCTACATAACTGGTGAATAACAATCTTCATTTTTAAGTTATTCTAATTTATAATAAAAAATTCAAAAATTTTCAAGGTTTCTGGATTTCAAAATTTTTACAAAACTGCACTTTTCAATGTCAAATTATGCACTGCGAACAAAAAATGCGTCACGATTTGTACAATCTGAGTTGCGTTAAGTGGACAATGATCACGAGATAGCAATGAACATAACTGGCAAAGTGTTCGATCACTGATCTTTTCGAAATCCTCCATGCCAATTTTCGTAATTAAAAGACCAGCTGTATGCAAGAGATAAGGCACTGTTCTTCGATAAAGCTGCAGAATATATAATGATATTTACCAAATTTTTTATTGATATAATAGCTAAAAATTAATGTAAATTAAAGATCAAAAATGCTGACAATAATAAGTAATAATTCAGCAAATTTCCATCTCTTTAAAAGAAACTAATTAAATTTCACCAAACCTTAACTACAGGCTCCAAGTCAAACGTGTGCATATGACCATCAGCCAAGTCCGAATCATCGCTTTTTGTTCGATGACCATTCGCTGACACCCAAATTTCTTGTGGATGACCAGCACGCAATGCTGCAGTTTCAGATTTCTCCCGTAATGAATCGCTGCCCAACTTTTCATCCAAATCCTTTTCGTATTCTTTTATCTGATAATATAAATTTGCATGAAAAATTTGCAAAAAATTTATATTCTAATCAGATTAAATTTAACAAATTTATTCAGAATAATTCAGAATAATTTATAGATTCTCTATGCATAAACTGAGAACATAAAAACAAATTTCCTAAACCATCTTTTTTCGACAACAACCACTAAAAAATTATATAAAATAAAAATATAATTGATGATGAAAAAATCCAACTTTCTTATTCATATCATTGAATACTGTTAGTAAGGACTGACGAGCTGTTTCAAATGGACATCGCAGTGCGAGAGCTCGAACATAATAGAATATCACATCGACCCATTTTGACTAAATAAATTTACATTTAAATTCTCAAACTACATGCAATCTTTTTTTCATTAAACCATTGGAGAAAAATTATTTTCATAAATTCAAATCGTCATAAGAATTATAAAAAATATTAAAAAACCACTGGGCTCGATATGAAAAAAAATTTTTGAGCTATTCTGAACTGAAGAGGAAATAAAATTTCAAAAAAAAAGAGAAACAAATTTTCCATAAACAAAAATAAAACGAAATTTTAACAACATAAATTCCAGTGACATTAATTAGCGAATTAGGTCGATTAAAAACAAAATTCACAAAATTATTAGAGGATTTAACAAACTTAAAGCTTGCAAAACTTTTAAAATTTTCCAAATTTTCCACTTAGAAAACAACAAAGACAAATATCTTTTCATAATTTAGAAGCATCCGATTAAGCAAAATACCTCATTAAATACAATTTTTTAGAGATAAAAGTGAATAAATCTCAACAGATAAATGTGGTTGAAATTTTTGAAGAAAAAAACAGCATTAATGGTATATTAACCATTCTTTCTGATAAGTAGTTTTTAATTCTAATTTGTTCATCTGATGGTCATTTTTTACTTGAACCAATTTTAAATCCGAATTTCGTTAACGATCTATATCAAAATATTTTTTTTCATGATATTCTCGTTTTCTCCTATTATAGAAAAAATTCAAACAACTTTGTAAGCAAGCAAAAAGCTAGTTCAGTTAAAAATGCGTTTCGCAGTAGAAGCTCTCCTAGGATAAAAGGTCTAATTGAAATAAAATGAAAAAAGGGAAAACAAAAATACTGAGACCTTCTGATGGCATTTGGCCGCATTTATAAATGATCCAATGCGAATGAATGGTGCGTCTCGTGCACAACGCATAGACATACGTTGTACGATCTACAAATTGTTAATTCACGGAATTCATTTCTACAGACCAACTGAAAGGCAATATTACTATAACTCATTTAATCACCACAAGTCAACTATTAGTTTTATAGGATTTCTTAGTACTTAGAAAATGATAGTGTTACCAAAAATAAAATAAGAATGATAAAAAATGCTAGAATCATTACAATAAAAAAAAAGTCCATATTTATAAAAACTATCATTTTAAGTAGCAAATGAATTTTCGTTCTCTCTTAAACAGGCTCTAAATTTTATTAAAACTGATTTAATCGAAAAAAAAATGAACACTGAAAAAAAATCCGAAGGAAAAAAGAATGAAACATAAAAATGTATACTTTTAAAAAAAAATATATTACTTGTACATACCACTACAAATTATTGGACTGGAAAAAAAGACAAGAACTAATACTAAATAATTAATTATTAATTAAAAAGTCAATTAAAATAATACAAAATAATAGTGTAAATAAAACAAAAATATGTGGTTCTTTAATAAATAGCTTTCCAGGAACAATCTATAAAAATTTTAGAAGTTCCATTATTTTGTCGTAATTTGCAGTATTCCTTTCGAAAATACTTTTTCTTGAGATTTCTACATGATTTTCATAGAATAAAAAATGAACTAGAGAAAAGTAAAATAACAAAATAGCAAGCTAAAATAACAGGAAAACTGTAAGAAAATTTCCATTTTTAAATTTAATTTAATTTAATAAACCGAATCAAAGTTGCAAAATTGCAAAAAAGTTCAAATTGCAAAGGAGAAAAACAAATGGAATTTTTGGAATAAGCCGATATGGCATCCGTTTGAAGCCGATATATCAAAACATGCATATTTTATATGCGAAAGAAAATTAACAAATATACAAAATACTAATTTAGAAAAAAATAAACAAAATTCAAACCGTATAGACAGCAAGCAAAGCAAGTTGGTTGTACGAACGTCCATTTGAAGATGCTAATTGCGATGCTTTAAGGTACCATCTAAAAATCATCAAAATTTATAATTTTCAACATGAATCAAAAAATTTTAATAAGAACTCACAGTTGAGCAGAAGAATAATCATTTGAGCCATTAACCATAGTATTATAACGAGCCAAATCGCCGATAGATAACATTAAACGCTGCGTGGACAGATATACAACCTAAAAAAGTTAATAAGTTAAAAGTTAAGCAAGAATAAGCTAATAGTAATTTCTTTATATTTCAGTAATAATTCAAAAACTTGAATGATAACCTTCGTAAGCCTGTCAGCTGCTAGCTTCGGACCAGTCCCAACACAAGCACATGTATCAAAATCATCGGACGACCGGCCTTCTGGCCAATATAATAAATCTTCGACGATGAAACCAAACGTAATTTCATATTTATTTAACAATTGCGAATAAAATGATAGGCCCTAAAAGTCAACGCAAGAAAATAAATTATAATAAAAAAAAAAATTCATATTTCCAGAGAAGAAGAAAATATTATAAATCTGCGCCTAAAAACCTATAAATATAAATAAAAACTAAGATAGTTCTAGGTAGTAATCGATTGATCTGAAAGCTCAGATCTAAATTTTTGCTATTTTTTTAACCTGCTTGATAAGCTGTGAAAGATGGATACAAAATGCTTTCGATGCATCGCCAGTCGAATTGCTAGCTGTGCGTAAAACTTCTATGGGACTATAGAAACACTGTTTCCATAAATGCTGCTCCAAGTTCATTTGAAATGTATAATCAATGTCTCGAGTCAATATTGATAAATATAAAGCAGACAATGACGAACTAAAAAAAGCACAAAATGTTTAAAAATCCTTAGAGGAAAAACTAGAATACAAAATTTCTCCACTTCTTATCTCTATTGATTATTTAAATTCATACTTAACTATTTAGTATTGTTTCAAAATTTATTTCTGAATTTTTTATATTTTAAATTCTACAAATGCAGTGCTTTTATCTATTTTATATATTTTCTATAGAAAAATGAAAAAAGAACCTGATCTCCAGCAATTCCTCTGCTGCACTAATATCGGCTGATTCACTAATCCTTTCTAATAATAATTTTATAGATTCATTTAAAATATGGATTTTTTGTCCTTCATTATTCGCAATTTCGTTATGTATAAGCCATTTGGATGGTCGGAGATCTGACTGTTGTGATTTCAGCAAACGTACTGGAGATGAGATATTTAGCGGAAGAATAGACACTGGACGGCTGCTTATTAAAGAAGACAATTCGCTGAAATGATTCAACGTTCTTATAATAAAGAATTTTAAAGAAAGAAATTTTAAAGAAACAAAATTTAAAGAATTTTAATGGACTTTTCTTCAGATATTTTCTTTACCAATTAATAACAAACGGCACTATGAAAATTAAATTTATTTTCTGGCAAATTTTCACCGGCTTTTCTCTTTGTTCTTTCTTTTTCTCTAAAAAAATCTTCATTACACACCTGTCAAATTCATTATGATCCACTGATTTCTCATGATGAGATTCACACTTTTTTATTAATATTTTACTTTTTCCATTCCGCTGTCGAGAATCGCCAGTAGTTGGGGATAAATCACCTCAAAAAAATTATATTTGCCCTTTTGAATAAAAGTATAAGGCAAAAAAATCTTAATACATTTTTCAAATTAAAAAACGCTTTAAATTTTTAAGATTTAAGAAAACTCCCTTACTATCGGCTACGATATTCACAGTTATGATGCAAAACTATGTCATTTCTCACAAGTTCTTCAAAAAAATAACGAATGATTCATATCCCAACGATTATCATTCATTTTTTCATAATAGAAGAAATAATGTAGAATTTAATAACAACAATAATACTAATAATAATAACTTATGCTTCTATCCTTTATATTAAATTGTTCACTACCACACTTAAAATAATCATGCGAAAAAAATAAACCTTAAAAATTTAATATCACTTAATATTTGTAGCCAATATTCATTAATACTTTTAATTATTTAAAAAATCAAAAACAAGATAAAAAATTTTAACTTGAAAAATAAAATCTACTGCCTTAATCGAAGAAATAATGCAGAATTTAATTTCAACAACTCCTCCTTCCCCCTCCTGTCAATATTGAAAATTTGCAAATTCAGAAAAACTAAAATATTTTAGTTTTTTGAACCTACATATTTTTTGATATCTAATTTTCGATATCAAATTTTGCGAATAAATTTTGCGAAAAAAAATGATTCAAGAAAAACTGCTTTTAAATTCTAATTCTAAGATTTAAAGCAATGGGAAAATATTAAAATAAAGTAAAACTAAAAATGAGAAAAAAAAGCTTAACATTGAATAATATGAACTATTTACAGCCATAAACAAAAGCGAAACTGATCAACAAAAAGCACTTGAAGTTAAGATTTAAGTAAAATTAAAATTGAATGAATGGTCTCTACTTTCTACCAATTCTGACAATGGAAATTTGAATTTTGCAGAAAAAAAAGCAAGTTCCGAGAAAAATTATTAAAAATTATTAAAATTACTAAAAAAATTCGAAAATTATCAAAATTTTTTCCGAAAATTCAAACTTACTATGTTTATCGCCACTAAGCTTTTTATCATGCTGATTTTCACGATGTTGCCTATCTTCATTTCTCATAATTGTTCGCTTGGATACATCTATTTCCAATATTTATGCATTAATTACACTAATACCCTCATATTATAAAAGGTAAATAAATGAATATTCTTAAAAAAATATATATTTTTCGAAATTACCTTGCACCATGCGATTTGATTTATCGTTATCATGTCGATTTCCACCTTCTGCATAACCATATTCATCGCGATAGCCTTCTTTTCCAGACACCATAGGTCGTCTTGACGTCGACGGACCTCGGTTCTCTTCATGGGCTTCACAATAATCCATTTTTTTCAAATTTTGATGCTGATCTTCAGCTTCCTTTAGTGATTCATTCCATTTAAAAAAAAAAAAAAAATCTTTTTTCCTATAAATATATATATAAATTAAAAGCATACATATGTAAAAAATAGTGATATTAAAGAAAAATCGCTAATACATACCCTTCTGCGTTGATCCTGTTCAAATTCGAAGTTGAAATCGATTGAACCTTCGTACATGGCACATAAATCCTGTGTAAAAGCATTTTTAAAAATACTTTTAAAAAACAGATTAAAAAACAAATTAAATATAAATTAAATTAAATAAATTAAACAAGAGCTTTAAAAAATCTATGAGCTCTAAAAGCAGTGGACAGTGAGCAGTGGAAAATAAGAAATTATATATATATATATAAATATGTGGAAATGAATCTGCAAAATAGGTATATAAATAATAGATAGAAAATAAATAAATATAAAATATTCTACATGGATATTTTGTTCCACAGATTTTGTATTATTCAATTTGTGTGCAAGATGAGTTGAAATCTGAAAAAAAATTTCAAAAATAAAAAAAGGTAATAAAATTTTCTTAAATCAATATGTTAATTTCGAAATTTTTTCTTTTTTGTCCTCAAACAAATTGCTCAATAATTTCACAGCAAGAATCAAATTATACTTTTTTCCCTTACTTCTCTTTTCCCTTTCCATATTTTCCCTCCTTTTCTGATAGGAAGAAATAAATTTATCATTAAGAATACCAAATTTAAGTGATCCAAAATTAAGTTAGGGATCCAAGTTCTATTCGCTAATTCAAACAGTGAGTTGTTGCACTCATTTCTGATAGCCGATACTGAGATCTTCCCTGCAGGAGTGAAGAAATTTTCAAAAATTCCGCTGATGTTGGCGATTTATCTATGCTTCTATAGCCAATGTTCCCTAGTAAGAATTTATCTGATTCGACAAGCCAGCGCAGCCTAATTAGAAAAAAAATAATTCAGTGGTCATGCGCATAACAAATGGTATCCCTGAGGCTCCATCGCTAACTCGATGGTACATGAACGGAATCCGAATGAAAACTCAACAAAATTACGACAAATTTACTGATTAAAATAATAACCATACATCATTCTTTTTCTCTTTAAGTCCTGCAGATTTATTAGTACAGCGATCATTATCTTTTGCTTTGCTCACTTCACCAAGGTTCGACTTCTCGTTACAATCACTACTCCATTTCTGAAAAAGCGGAAATTTTAAAAATGTTTGGAATTTTAAAATTAAAAGCTTCAGACGAATTAAAAATCCTGAACCGCGTATCGATGGTTCGAACGTGGAGTATTTCGCTGATTTCCGCAATCTTTCGGAGTCATTTCATTTCTTGACCATTTCAAATTTTGAGAAGAATTATAAAATGGTTGTTTTTTGGGTTCAGCAAGCGACTGACTTGAACTCTAAAAAAATTTAAAATAATAATTAAAAATAGTAACTCAATTATTGATTACCATTGAATAACTCAAGTAAATAAAGAAAGGAAAAAAGGCAATCGAGAAAAAGGAAATTTTGAAATTTTCAATCGTTTAGTTCAATCTTTTAGCCAGTAGAACAAGCCTGCAATCAGCAATGTTATCATAGAAAATTGAAGAAAAACGTCAATCAACGAACACAACACCGACATAGTGATATTTTACGTTATTCTGCATTCTATTTCGTTCTTGTACATTCAGAAACGATGAATCTTTTTGTTCATTTAAATATGTGATACTGCTTCGACGAGAAGATGCGCGTGAATCTATTCCATATTCGTTTGATTCATAATAGCTTTTTCCATCATGCCGCTTGGATTGTTGCCTTGGAAAAGTGCCACCTATAAAAATTTATCGAACCTAAATTTTAACATTAGAACTATCAAATATGTACATGCAAACCGAGAAGAATGATGATCATAGTTATTTAAATCTTGTCATAAATCGAAATTCAAAAAATCTACCAAAATAATTTTGAACTTTTTCACGATAATTTTCTCGTTTTTTGTTAATATCACGATTATCACCATATTTGCGGTATAATCCAGCCTGGAAATTTCGTTCATTAAGACGTCCCCATTTTGAATGGCCTCCTCTGTAAGAAATTCTTTGCTGAAATTGTTTGTCTTGCTGAAGTTTTACTGAAATATGAGGATCATCGACTGAAGCACTAATTGATGGAGTGGACTGTTTCAGCGATTGAATATCGCAGCCATTTTTCTTTTCATTCGAATAATTGGCTATGTTTTCTGAATAAATAAAAAATTTTTAAAAAGAATAAAAGCATAAAATAAAAATAATTTAATAAGTTTAAATATACCTCAGATATCCAGCATTTTACACAAATAAATAATATTCTCGAAATCTGACTGAGATTTAAGAAAACAAAAAACATTGGCATCAAGAAAATAAAGCAAATTGAGAACTATGTAAGAATAAACTTATAAGTGCTTCGCATTCATAATTTCTGATTAGATCCGCTGGTATGGTTAGAAATTATTGTCAGGAATTGTTAAGGACTTGGCGATAGAAATACACATGGATTACCAGCGCCACCAGCATTTATCATAAGATTTACTCTTTTTGGAGGCAAGAGTCGAACTTTTACCTCATAACAAAATAATCTGAGTCACTATTAATTTGGCTATTCTTCTTTTTAAAAAATATACATATATATATATATGTATATATACATGATTTAAAAAATACCTGGTTGATTTTTTTCATTTTTCAAAACTCGATTTCTTTGACTGCGTAAATTTCCAGTAATGTCTGTTCCCGTTTTTAACATTCCAGGACGATAAAGTGCTAACGAAGGTCGACTTGTTCTTTTTGGACTGCTATCATTTTCGTTTACCGAAGTTGACATCGTCTTTATTTCTTTTTCTATAAACCTAAAAAAACTATCAAAATTAAAAGTAAATCAACATTTGTAAAAATAAAAATAAATTATACCAATAATAAAGCATTTTTATATAAGAAAAATCAATAAAGAAGAGAAAAAATGATAGAAAAATAAAAAACATGGTCACTGGTTAGTGAAGAAACTGATGGCAACTGATGGCATCTATTTCTGGCTCTAATTACTAGTTTAACTGGCTCTAATTACTGGGATGATTCGAGTATTTCGATGGTCCTTTCGATAGATTAGATTTTGATTTGGTGATAGAATTACAAACGATTTAATAGTCAGCAGTAGCTGAATTTTCTTTTAAGAAATATTTTAAGGAATAAGGACATATCAATAGCTATCATAATATAAATTTTTTTCTCACTACTTCTAGGCTCAGTCAGCTGGTTTAACAGACCAGTTAAATAGTTAAATTTTGCCAAGGAATCACTTGGCGATAGAAGTATAGATGGAATGCATTCCACCCCACTATATAGGCTAAAAAATTTCTGCTTATTTAATAACTTTTATTAATTTCTGATGCGATTAGCAAATTTAGCAATTTTGAATAAATCAATTGATATTTACAATTTTTAAGACAAAAAATTTAAAAGTAGGGAAAATTCACAATTTGCGACTGAGATCAATCACTTCAAGATAGAAATAGGAAATAGGTGGGATTAAGTACCATTAAGGATTTTTAAGGATTATTTGATGAAAATTTTGTTCCTGCCGGAGGAAAAGCCTAGTCGAAATATCGATGATCGAAACGATAACCTAAATAACAACCACTCGAATGCTACCACATTATCCAACTGGAAGTGGGCATATACGATTCAGTGCGACAGAGGCTTAGATAGAGAAAAAATGAATAACTTCAGGCACCGAAATAATAAGGAGCGGGCCAAGACAGTTACGTGGCCAAGTCAAATACCACTTCTCTGCACTGGCAGCAGCAGGTTTAAGTGCATCCACGTCTACTTCTATTGTCAAATGATTCTCTACCAGGCACGTAAAGAGAGTCAAACCAGAAGAAGAAGCGCAATGAATAAGAAAATTATTGCAATCAATGAATGCGATAAATCTCGGCGACAGCTATAATTTTGCGGACGAGAGGCTTTCGGAGCTTTCAGAGCTATCGAACTTACTGGCTGCAAAGGCAAACGACCCGACCTCTGACCCCCCACCCTAGTAAACACACAACGCCTTGTACAAAAAATGCCGAAAAAGTTTCGGAACAACTTCATAACAAACGTTCTAAAATACAAATTGGAAATGTGCCAAATTTTAAAACTTCGTCTCTAGAGTCTCAAGAGTTTGTTCAGTATCGCAATGCTAAGGACCATTTTTAGATAGGCTGTGGGAGGGGAAGGGGGAGGGGAGGGGGAGAGGGTTGGGTGATTTGGAGTCGATATTTCTCAGGAACTGTTTTATTCCGCCAGACCTTTATGATCTCGGCTCAACCCCATCTGGTTCTGGCTGACTCCTTGAAATTAAAATCTCCGCTAAATTATTTTGAAAAATTGTGCCCTCAGTGGGTTGTAAAGAACACATCGAGTGGATATTTAACGAGTTTGGAAATGCGATTGCAGCATTATCTTCTCTTTTAACTGAACCCTCCAGACCTTAGCAGTTTTCGACTGCCGCGTTTCATTTTTGATGTCGTGCAGGGAGACTTGCGTCAGTTCTTGTGGCGAAGTTGGCTTAACTAGCGTAGGCAACGGGATATAGCAGAATTTTCGGCCGTTTTTTTGGCTGAATTCGCGTTGTTTTGCCTGGTGGTAAAAGATATTTCTGGTTGTGCCTGTCCACAATCATGGGAATTCCGCCTATTACTTTTCCATTCGTTTTTTATTTGTTATTTCAAAATATTTGAAAACTGGAATTTCTTCAACCGTTGACACATTTATTTACCGCTTGTGGCGATGATTGCATTTGGCGATTAAGTATCCAAGAATTAAGTTAATAGTTAATACGTGAAATACGTGAAATGAAAAAATTCAAAAATTGGAGTTAACAGGGAATATTAGCAAAGTGCCAAGGTGAAATGGTTACCAAATTTTTTAAAGACAACCAGTTGTCCAGTTGTTGATAAAATTCTAAGCACGCCGAGCAGCCAAAATAAGAATATCTAGTTGGTTTGTTTTGTTTGGCTTCCATGGCCATGCGAGTCTTTTTTCATTTCCTTGAGCCATCATAGGTCATTGTTTTTAGTCTCCATCTGTCAGTCCTTTTGAACACTCTTAGTCATTTCTGAAAACAGTTCGGAAGCAATTACTACGATCATATACTTATGTTAATCATAGCAACATATAACATTGGTAAAATAACTGAATAACTGAAAACTATAGCTGTAGTTTATTTATTTTTCGACTTTGGCTTGCCTTCTAGTCTTGTTGGGCTTCGTCAGAGATTTTGTTGAGGGCCATTTTTTCTGCTAGCTGCTGCTTTTGAAGTGTTTGTAGTGTTTGTTACAGTACCTCATAATTGCCAGTAAATATAACCTTTCATGTCAATAAATATAACTTTTGCCTGGTGGATGAATGGCAATTGACCTGAAGAGTTCAGCTCAAAGAGATCACCTGATCATATCGTAGCTATTGCGGGTCGTTGTGATGATTCCTTCCATTCGAAGAACTCTGTATTAAAACGAAAGGAAATGAATCGCTGAAAAGCTTTGCTAATCTTAATGTTTTTAATTTTAAGCTGTTTTTTCTTTTCTCGAATTCATCCTTCACTTGAATATAATTTCCGTTGCGTTTTCATTTGGGAGATCTATCTCCAGGCAGGAGAAAGTTTGCAAAAATCTGGTGGTGTTGGCAATCCATCTACCTTCTGTCGCCAGTCTTGCCATTCTGACTTGTTGGCAAAACTTGATTGCTCTAGCAAGCTAGTAAAACGAGCCAGAAATGGTGGGAGTCCTTAATTCTCTTAATTCGATGTCAGTTTTATCTAATCTGCATTAATTCCAATTTAAGGTAGAGTATTATTTAAAAATTTTTTTATTCAACTTGTTTAGCTTCCTATTGACATTTTAACTATTTCATAAACTCTTTACCATAACTTAAATGTTAGAACTTTCACTGGCATTCGTTGACAAATTTCTATTTTATTGCAGCTTTTTCCACGATGTTTGCTTAGCATTTTGTGTTCATTAAAGCAAGAGAATCAAACCTCTTAAACATTATTAAAACAATAGAGAATCTCCGAAACATTCATTCAAGTGACATTGCATAGCACAAAAGAGGACGAAAAAAAAGCATTCTGAAAATCCAAGATGTTTTGTTTATTGATAAGCAGTGCAAGCACGGGGACAATGTCTGCTGAGAATTTTCTTACATCTTTCATTATCTCGGAAAGGTGCAAATGCAAATTGCCCGCAACTAATTCTGTCATCTTCGCATATTCGGGAAGATTGTCGTGCTTGTTGAATCCGCAGCTATTATTTTAAGGGATTTTACTGATAAGTAATAAGTAATATGGCTTAATTGATAGATTTCTGCTGCAAAGCCTGCAGAAAAAAAAGACCCATAGAACATTTATGGTTTGAGAGGACCAGGAAGCCATTTGGTGATAGAGGAGATGCATCCTCACCATCAGCCAAATTTTCGCTCATTTGCTCTTGCCAGAGTGGGACATTAGAACATTAGACATTAGACATTAGCAATGTTCTTATTTTGCATCATCTGGAAATCTAAAAAATTCCATGGCGACTTAAACAAATAATGTTTCAAAAGTTTTCTCAGCAAGAATTTACCTCCAAACATGTTATTGCAGGATTTCATATAAGCTTGAGCAATTCTTTTACTTTTGCTCGCATCTGCGAAACCTTTCATAGTATATATGAAAGGTAACATACCGGACTAGTATCTGCGCTTCCCTGGTAGACCGCATCTATCGGGGCACGTCCAAAGGACTGCATCTGGGCATTGCCCAAGCTCCCCTGGTTGATCATATAGACCGCATCTATCGGAGCACCTTCAAAGAACTAGTTGAACTATATAAACCTAGAGTGTGTTATAATGCAGTTTTTCACAAGTCACCTCAACGAAGTTAAATTACCAATTTTCTAAAAGGAAAACTCTCGTTTCAAGAAATAAAACTTATTCAGTATTCTTGGCGATATTCTGGTGGCATTGTCGGGAATGACCATCGACAATCTTCGAATATTCCTTTATCAGTGTATCGCAAACATGGTTATTCAAAATTAAGCAAAAAAAGAGGAGAAATAAGAGGAACATGGACATAGACATTCTTTGCAAGAAAACTTCATAAGTGCGGTGCTAAAAATTTATTCAGCTTATATTTCACTGAAAAGAAAACTATTTCAGGTGTTTGGTGTCACAAGGAACTTTTGATGCATCAATCGCCACGCAAAATAAACCCAATGACGAAATTAATTTTGGTTGAAAATTCTCAACTGTTGGCAAATTACATTTTCATTCACCATTTTTTTCTTATTTTTAAAAAGCTGATGAAATTTAAGGAAAATAATTTCCTTTTTCTATCTATCTTATCACTTATCGTCTTATCACTTTTCCGTTTTTTAAAAAACATTGAAATATATTTAAAAATCCCAAAATATATTCTCTAAATTTAACTATCCATTGCTAAAATTAAGTTTAAATTTCCCACAAGAAGAAAGAGTTAATTTTTTAATAATCTATAGAAAATCTATAGAAAAAGCTGCAAAAATCTTGGCCTGCAAATTCAGTGTACGTTCTACGCAGTTTTAAGATTATTCATATTTTACGTCGGAACTTTCTTATTTTGAAAAAACTTGCACTCTTTGAAAATTTCCGACGAATTGCAGTGAACCGTTAGTGAAAACTAATAAGAATGAAATGAATGAAACTGAAAAAAGAATGAAACTTTTCAGCGAAATAAAAAATATCTGGAAGTATTAAAATTATTATGAAATTTTCTCTCAAAATTCTTTTTTCTGAATTTTTTCGATGAAAAATGCGATGCAAAAAAAA